CAGCACAAGTGCCCAAGGAAAATTTCATACTTGGAACTCATTCATACAGCTAGGTATATCCATGACCCCGGACAGTATTACAAGTAGGTATACAGATCTAAGCGGAGCTGTGATATAATCACTGCTATCTAGGCGAAGCGGTGACAAAATTTTGACGCTGCCCCTTGCCAGTTCAGTGACAGCAGCCATGGCCAAACTCTCATACACGTAAATTATGTCGGCGTACGATCACAATGGAATCTCCACCCATCGCCAAGAAAAACTGGTAGGTGACTCAACAAGTGATCCCTGTTGGCCCGATATTCAACTAGGTTATTAGTAGAAGACTAGGATTCTTTCTTCTATCTTTGGAATCAATAGCACTGGAACAGTATAAAAGACGGGAGTTGATTACAAACAACAAGATACAACCCAGCGCGTTGAAAAGTGGCTTTTACTTAAGACTCTTGTTGTTTTATAAGAGTTGCAATTAAAGTGCAGTTTATTTTATTTTTTTTTTTCTCCTTTTCTTATTTTAGTATTGTAATCCTTCATGTAATCAAGCTGCGCTATTCGCAAAGAATGAGCACTTGCGTATATGAGCTGTCCTTTTTGGAGAAATTTGGGCCTTATGGGGAGCGGGATATCCCCAGACCAATAGCCCAGTAGGCTAGGGCCAACGGGCAATCGGTATTAACACCACGATAGTACGTAGTACCCGAGACATTGATTACTCCGTAATTCCTGGACAAGGGTAGATCATCAGTAAACTCTCCCCCTTGCAGCTCTTTCGGCACCGGGGAGTCAGTCCGGAACTCCAGCTTGTCCAAGCAGAAAAAGCACCATGAGTGGCACTATTACAGCCATCTCCATCAGATCGTTGTGCAGATCCTGGTTGCTGTAAACGCCGAACATCCTGGATAACTCCGGTGCTACTGGTGCACGTATGTACAACTGCCATATGGAGGACTTTCCACTTACACGCCCCCCTGGCTGATGATCGACAGGTGCCGAGTATGTAGCAGCAAGATTCTCCTTGTTCAGCCTCCGGATATCGACCGACTTATCGAATTTTTATTTACACCTTTAATGAGTAGATGATTACGTTATTTTGGGTCCCATGGCAAGCCATCATGAGCTCACTTTGCCCGCCCCAATTCCGGAGTTTTCAAAGATGCTATATATTAGGTTCCTTCCCTTGGTATGCAATTAACGCATGACTTGACATCCTTTTTCCTTCTACGCACATGGTCCGGTCTATTCAGGTCATCTAAGCGAGAGAGAGATGACATGATCAAATATTGACCCAGTCGGAGCTAGGAAGTTTACTAGGACTCTTTGTATAGCTATCCACGGAGCAACAAGTTCTCCGTCCGAAAGCACTAATTCTGACAGAACAAGCTGCTCTAACTCCATGTTAAAATAGATCCGTGGCATCTTCCGTGAAGCTTTCTCTTACAGACCTAGCCCCCGAAGACGCCACCAATGTCCGAGGACTTGAGATACACGCAGATTCCAAAGGCACGGAGCAAGCAGTGTAGGGAGTTGAAGTGATGCGGATTAAGCGAATATCAGCCCCCGTTTATTTTCCATAGTCTAAAAATATCTAAAAGGGGGCATGTGGAATACACGCGCCCTCTCTCTTCATTACCTGCCCGTAAGCCGGATTTCGGCGTAGCGAAGCGGCACATAGAGCAGCGAAGCCACTGCAAACGCCATCTCAAAGCCAATATCTCCTGTTGTCTTTGCTATAGGTCCCTGCCACCACACCTGGTCCATACACGGGACAACCATTCCAAAGCACAAGATGCCACTCAGCAGAGCTGCAATGCCCAAGGGCAGCCTCTTAGCGTCGCTCCAGATAGCGTGGTCATACGAGCTATAGTCTTGGCGACGGAATAAGACGTGCTCCACGATGACGATTCCGACGAATGCCGCGGACCAGTAACCAATCAGAGACACGAAGTTCTCCAGGCTCTCGAAGAAGTTGTCCACGGCGGTGATGGCCACCGCTATGATAATGGCGGTGATCACCACGGCAAACAGGTATCGAGGAACCTTGAAGAGCCATGGTGCCAAGGTTTGAAAGTTGAGGGTGATAGCGTAAAACGTTCCACATGTGTTTCCCAGCAATGTCAGCGCCAGCACAACCACGATGAACTTGCCAAAGTTGCCCGCGCTAGACAGCATCGCTGCAAGGGCACCGCCGACAGAGTAGTTGTCAAATGCATCTTGCCACTCTGGGTTGTTGGGAATCGCCCCAGCAACGGCTGCTCCGAGGATCATGAGCAGTACGGTGGGTGTGAGAAGGCCCCAGTAAGAGTAGGCAAAGACTCTCCATCTGTCGATCGTTAGAATCTCGCTTATTGTATATGGTACTACCGAACTTATATGCTGAACTCAGGGGGGGAAGAAGGAGAGCTGGAAGGATTTATGGAGTAATGGAGTAATGGTCGGTCTGTGCTTCTGATCTTTATCTTCCACCCCCCTTTTTTTGGCGTTGCAATCGATTCAAATGATGTGGAGGGTGGCAATGGAATCACACAAGCGAAGGGGGTGCAGGGGATAGCGACTTACGATGGAACCTTGGGATCAAAATAAGTCGTGAAGTCACTGGCTAGAGCGGCCCAAGGAATTTGGTAGCTGGCGACGATCATGCCAAAGTTGAGGACATCTGCAGCCGTAGCAGGCTCCGCGGGGGTGGATTGCTTCTTGAGGCCTGAGCCAGCGCAGCCAGTGGCGATGACAACGCTGATAATGGCCGGGATGAACGCATATGTCTCGTATATATGCAGAATTCGAAAGCCGCAAAACGAAACCAGCAGAGATAGTACTGCAATGATGACGATGCCCACATCAATGCTGACATGCCCATTCGAGATGGCAGAAATACACTGTCCGCCTGTAATACAGATGATGACAGTGAAGCCAGTCATGCTGGCCAAGTTCAGCAGCACCGGTAATGATACGATATATCGGCTAAATGTCCGATTGGTTAGGGTTTTCTCTTTAGACGTCGTGGGTCTCAAGTATATCTTACCCAAAGCTATAGCGAGCCTGTATCATCTGTCTCATGCCCGTCTTGGGGCCCAAGATGGCGAGGAATGCCGGAGGTATAGTAGACAGCATGCAGAAGAACAGAATCACGAGAGATGAGTCTCTCAGGCTGAGATTATATGACAAGGGTCCTAGCATGCCAAAGGTGATGCTGCGAAAGGTTAGCAAGTAGTCGCCACATATAGGCATATGCTACTCAGTATAAGTAACAGGTGCATATTCACAAAGTGAGATGCACCATTCTGAGCGCCAAGACTTACCCCAGGATGTTTGCATTGATGGAGAACCAGACGGTGAAGATATTAAAGAAGCGTGTTGAAGTGCGCTCCTCCACCGGTACCGGCAGGATGCCTCGCTCCTCGATGCGGCCAGCTCGCAGGACTTTGTGGAGTAGCGACTCTTCATCGCTTTGATGGCCATCCTTCTCCCTGACCGGCACGGCCGTTGCCTCTACCGTATCCACCAGCATCTGTGCGTTGCGGGCGCTGCTGAGTTGTCCAAAGGTTATTAATACTCCGTACTTCTAGAGGACTTTTTTTTTTTATGAGGCCGTAAGTAAGCCGGCTTGTTTCTCGAACAGCTGAACGGAAAACACGAGGGTGTTTCTGAGCAAAAAGAAAACCAAAAACAGTGCAGAAAAAAAAGGGGGGACCTCAAGAGCTGTCACACCACATCACCCTTCTAGATCGCCATGCAGGTATATTAAAGGCAGACGGAGTTGCAGTGAGTCAAGATTTTTGCCGCCCTTTGACAACTACTCACTTTTTCTCTGAGCTCTTCCACCCCTCTCCGACCCGGGCCGGGGTAGGGAACAAAAACTTTTCGCTTTCACGCGCAACTAAACCACTAAATAGGGTCTAGGAGGCGTCTAGGAGGCGTCTTGGGCCAATCACACGGTGGATGGCCAGGGACCGGTTCATGAGCGACCGGCCCGCCCACCAAAACCCTGCAGCGCCCCTCCGCCACCAAGCAGGAACAGTATTAGTGTGTTTATGTTGCGGATACAGCTCAAAACTGTATCTCTTTCGCTATCTTGCAGTGGCAATGTCGGGGGTATGCGATCTGTGATGGTTGAAGTTATTCAAACGTTTACGCTATAGGAGATATCTCATCCGGACGATGAGAACAGTCATCCAAGTTGCTCAACACAATACTGATCACCGTAATAGAGCCGTAAGCCCCCATCTTTTTCGGTTACACTATGCAGAGAATGTCTCACCAGGGAGGAACTGTGCAATCATCTGACGAGATGTTTAAATTAATTCTACAAATAGGATAGCTTCAAATAAGGCGATACTTAGACGTAATACTTGGAAACCAATGAGAACTATAATATACTCAAGAAGCCCCTATAAATAACAAACAAGGTGTAAGTGAATCCCGGCAATACTATCAATTACCATTCTTAGGCGTAGTCCAAACTTTGCATTCAAGGCCATCAACCCTATTCTCTAAAATAATAAAATTAATAATGATGAAAATTATCAAATAATAAAATACAATTCACAAGTGGCGTGTGCCTCCTAGTAGTGGTGTGACGAGTGAATTGCATGTATCCCGGGTAAGGTCTACAAGTGGTGGGGTTAATTTGACCATGAGTGTTTGAATACGGTGGTGTGGTTCATTAATGAGCAGAATTGCAAGATGTGTAGAGAATTATTTCTTATATTGAAGATTTTGAAATAATAATAGTTATCGCACGTAGAGAGACTTGTTATCGAGAGAAACTATGATCAAAGGTAACGATTTGTGGCCCAGAGATAATCAGAAGCGCATGGATAAAAAACTTTCAAGCATCGCTGTATTAGAGGCGATTCTAGGCGAAAGGAAGAATATTTAGGTTTTGAAGCACTGTAGAAGATAAAGGTGTATATAGTATTTACCAATTATATTACTAGAGTCTAAGTGAACTGCCGAGTAAGAGAAAATTTGTATCTTGACCCATAGTTCATCCAGCATTCAGCTTAACTGCTTGCCATTCCTTGCGACTTCTTGCGAAAGAAACCTCCCAGCGCTCCCATTAGCGCACTTATCCCCTTCTCATTACTATCCTTCTCAAGGCCGTCGCGAATCCATCCAGGCAGCTTGCCTCGGATACGATCCGTACCGTACCTTCGATCGACTAAGATGATCGCGGCATAATCTCCACGGTGTCGGATTGCCCGACCAATACTTTGGTTAACGGCTCGCATGCAGGCGTTTTCGTAAAAGTCTCGCGCGGCCTGCTTCGCTTGCGCCGTCGCTTCGCTCGGGTTTTGCCCTTCTGTGATGAGTCGGTCTTTGATGGTGGACTCAATGTACTCAATCTTTGCCTTCCAGTCCGGCGATGCAATATTTGGGTAGGGCAACCCAATAACCACTACGCATCGCCCCAAACGATCTGAAAAGTTGATCCCTTCTGACATCTTGCCACCTACGACACTTAGGAGCAAAGCTCCAGTGCGCCTATCTCCCGCCGGTTTGGTCCCCAGGATCGCTTGCGAATAGTCTCGCAACACATCGTCGCTGCTTTCGCCCTTTGTGTCCCTGAATACTGTTTTTCGAGCTTGCAGCCGATCCCATATCGCTTGCGAGCTGCTGTTTTGGGGCTGCTGCCATACTTTTATTATCTCGTCAAGGTAGCCATAACTTGGGAAGAAAACGACGACACCATCCGGCACAATGTTGCAAACATTCAATATTGACAGGCCCAGCTGGTTCATCATATCTCTGTTCCCCCGTTGTTTAAAGCTGAACTCAAACGGTGGTGATCCTGGATGGCTCGAGGCTAGTGTCCACACGCAAAGATTCTCTGGTGGGATGACATGTCCACAACTTAGCGATGTTACCTTTGTTGAATCAAGAGTAGGGAATAATTGATCTTTGTAGTCTTGGAATGGCGACATGGTTCCGCCGGCCAAAATTACAGCTCTAGCGCTTGAAACAATTGACGAGAAGGCGTGTGTTGGCGAGAGAAGAAGATACGTCAGCTTCACATCTGCCGCAGCCCCATGAGTTTTTTGGTAAAAGATACGGCCTTCAGAGCTCAAATTGGTCAGAGCAATAAGGAAAGAGACGAGGGCATGTAAGACTGGAGATCCAGCCTTTAGGGGCCCTGACTTTTTGCTCTCCTCATCGTTCTCTACGTGAGCGACATAGCTCTCAATCTTGTATGCAAGTTTTGAGTCTTGTATATACTGGATTAGCTCGTAAACATTGATCTGGTCGATGCCCTTGTGTCTTGTTAGATCGTTTGGATCGACAATACCATGTTCGTCCTGGAGAGATATTGGTTAGCAGATCATCAACCAACTAAATACCGCTATTCCGTAGCCATACCTTGAGTTTCAACGCTCCTTCCAACCACTCAGTAAGGCCGTCAATGACCCTTCCTACTCTTCCCACGTTTACTCGATTTATGCCCTTTAGCTTTTTTCCAAATCGTTTGACATACACCCCAAGCATCTGGCGACCTCTACGAAGGTCACTCAATTGCAGCTCTGCCGCATGCACGTTGGAGATTGCATCGAGAATATTGTGCGCCTCGTCTATTATGACGACATTACCTTCAAGCTTTATGCCTAGTGCCTCGCGAGCACTCCGTTGCAATAGAAGCGGGTATGGAAGCGTGATGATTTCGGCTCCGGGTAGGGCCACTCGGGAGGCATAATAAGGGCATACTGACAGAGACTTGCCTAGTTGATGGAGATCTTCGATATCAGGGAGAGTCGCCAAGGTGGAATCTCGAAACTGATGGGTTTGGCTAAGAAGCTCTTCTTTGGGCACAAATGAGCATTTAGTGCTGGACTTTGCTTGTTGAAGTTCCGTACAGCGATCATTGATGGCTTGGACAGACCCAAGGCGAGCAACCGAGGGGTTGATGCAGAGTTTTTGGCGTGATGATAATGGCAACAGCTTCACAGGCTCTGTTGGGGAGGCATCTGATCCCTTGGCAACTGAAGTGGGTAACGAGGATGGAAATACAGGACGGCGCAGTTCTGTGATAAATTGTGATAATTGAGAGTGCGTTCTGGATGTATAATAGATCTATAGTCTCTGGTTACTATGAGTAGGAACTGAATCAGTGTCAGTACTCGCACCTTAATTTTCTCTTCGATAATTTCTTCGTCGCTATCCGTTTGCTTAATACGGTTTCCTAGCCCGATCTTTTCAAGAATCTCTCGCGATTCTTTGCTCAATCCAGATAGAGCATCTTCCTGACGTTCATCGTGGTCATCTGTGTCCAACAACCATTCAGCGTCCTCGTCTGCTGTAGTTTTTATGGAAGCTGGAACCTCTTCCACTCGACGTCGTTTTCTGCCTCTTTCCTCTTGAACCTTTTCTTTGAGTCTAAAAGATGCAAGACGCTTTTCTCTGTCTTCCCATTGTCTCAGGAGCTCTCCTCGTTTACGAGACAGGAGTTGTTCGACAACCCAGGACGGCTCGTCTTTGTACGCGTCTCCTGCTTCTTTCAAGGCCACCTCCTGTTCAGTAGCCTTATGGTTTCGAAGCCATGTTAAAGATGCGCATATTAATGAGAGAGATTTACCCTGGTAGAGCAATTAGCTTGTGCCGCCTGAGCTCAACCCGTCACAAGCATGATGTCCTCTACTGTCTCCTCTTTTGGCTGAATAAGGAGGCTTTTCTCAACATGAATCTCACAGAGGAATAATAAACCTACAGTGCCAGTTGGGCTTTCTAAAATTCCCACCTGTCCTTCTCCAGTCTCCAGAATCTGATATACTGTTTGCATAAACTGATTCTGAACCTTATACGGCGTGAATGGATGGTGAAAGTCAAGATTGGACAACTCGTGAGCAATCCCATCAACTTCTTCTGATGAAGTCATCTCGTCAAGTCTATTAATTTGCTACGCTTCTTCATCGCATCTCCTGTTGTTCACGCTACAAAAGATACGCGGCACTCACGATCGGTTTGGTCCGTTAGTAAGCGCGTTGAAGTTTCGCGGGCGGTGTGACGGTCAATGCGCTAGATCCTTATCGGTGGAGCAGCTTTGCGATACGAGATACGGGTTATCGCGGTCGCACACCACGTGATGGAAAATAATTCATGAGCAAAAACGTCACAATTAGGCTTAGGGCTGTGCTGCCCTCTCGCCTAACAATTTTCCGGGGCCGTGCTGTGCCAAAGCCGCTGGCCGCAAAAACACCACCACCCACTTCCAGTCCTTCGACGCAACACATCGGAGAAGCGACAACACCACAACCGTCGCCATGCCTACCCGAACTTCGAAGACCCGCAAGCAGTACGTTGATGAGCCCGTCCGATCATGATTCTTGAATTGCTGGGGAACGAGTGTCACGCCGTCGTGGCGCCCGTTTGACACGCGCATATTGCAAAGATTTGCACATTGAACATGGCAGGCTAACAAATTGCTCTCGAAACACAGCCGCGGCCACGTCTCCCATGGAAAGGGTCGTGTAGGAAAGCACCGCAAGCATCCCGGTGGTCGTGGTCTGGCTGGTGGTCAGCACCACCACCGTACCAACATGGACAAGGTTCGAACGACATGATTCAACGACAAGCGCCCCGAACGTGATTGACTGACCGTTTACGATAGTACCACCCTGGTTACTTCGGTAAGGTTGGTATGCGATACTTCCACAAGCAGCAAGCCCACTTCTGGAAGCCCATCATCAACCTCGACAAGGTACATTGAATCCTTCCCCGCTAAGAATTTTTTTGGTCCCTCGGAGCAGCAAAGATGGAAACGAGAAAACACCAAAAATTATTCTGAGGCAACCTGTTCGATCAAGGGTCAATTGGCTAATGGGTGATTTTTTTTTTTTTTTTAGCTGTGGTCACTCGTCCCCACCGAGACCCGCGATGCTTACGTCTCCGGCGAGAAGAAGGACACCGTCCCCGTCCTCGACCTTCTCCCTCTCGGCTACTCCAAGCTGCTCGGCAAGGGCCGCATCCCCGAAATCCCCCTGGTTGTCCGCGCAAGATGGGTCAGCAAGCTGGCTGAGCAGAAGATCAAGGAGGCTGGTGGTGTTGTTGAGCTGGTGGCTTAAATGCATTACGCTGTGCTGGAGTAAGGCTTGTGGATTTGGAACCGGGTTTTTCACGGTGGAAAATGGATCTTCGCCCCTGTATACCGAGACAAAGGTCTCTGGGGAGGGATTGGGTTGTTCGGCTACGAGCATTGCATCAGGGACTCTATAACGGAGTTTTTTTAACGAATGAAAAATCAAAAATTCGCCCATGCTTCGACACTCGACTTCTGTGCAAAAAGAGGTAGACTGGTGCGTTGGCATCGAGTCTCTCGGGGAGGCTGATGATGCTAAAGTGATACGTGGGAGAGAACGGGAGGAATTGTTACAACTATGAATCTGGCCCCAGATTCAGCCATGGTCTAGCTCGCAGAGTTGATGTAGTAATGCTCCAAAACGCCGATACCAGCCCCCATTATAGCATACATGATCTAGTACAGTACATGTTGACCCTTGCCTATTCCCAAACTTCCATTGCTCATTTCATCATATCAATCCCATATGCTTATGCTCGTAATTATTAAGTTATGCTAGTCCTATAGATCTTTCATGCAGGGAGCATGTCGACCTCGTCTTCATCCGTGGTTTCATGAGACGCTAGTCCTATGTTTAGAAACTCATGGTCCAGAGCTTCTTGTGCCGTGATTCGTCGGCTTGGGTCCAACTCCATGCATCGTTCAAGGAATCGGATCGCAAGCTTTTCGTCAGTAGTTAGAGGTTTATCCTCTGCCCTGCATGTGCTCCACAAGATAATCTTCTCCATAGTGAAGCCCTGCTGGCCAATTGTGGGTATAGTTGTCTCGAAGACGCAACCGTGCAAAAGCCCAGCTGCCTTCATTCGCCTAGACCCGAATATTGTTGCAATCTCAATCATTGCCTCGACATCATCAGCGGAATTAAAGAAGGGGAATCGCTTCGACAAGATCGTGAGAAGTATGACGCCAGCCGACCATATGTCGATTGCCGGGGTTTGTTCCGTACACTTGAATAGCACTTCCGGGGCGCGGAACCCTCGAGTACCTGCACGATTGGCCCGCCGGGAGGGACGAGTGTCTGATTTAGGGTAGCCCGGCTGTGTAGTCATCGATGTTTGTGCCCAGGCAGAGCTTGCCTGGCGATGCTTCCGCGTTTCTCTCGCCTCGTGGCAGAGGCATGGTTTGTTATCTGTGCCCTCCCGTTCAGCCAATCCAAAATCCACGAGGACGCCATGCTGGGTTGTTGGGTCGTAGAGGAAATTCGTAGGCTTAATGTCCCGGTGTAGAATTTTATGCTCGTGCACGCTCTTGAGAGCAGTGAATAAGGAGCGAAGATATATAGCAATATCAGGAACTGTCATCTCCCTGAAATACGCTCGAAAGTCGCCATGACGGAAATATGGAAGAATGGCAACGACCTGGTCGGTATGGCGAAAGGCAGTAATGAGAGGACAGACGGATGCGCATTGTCGTAAATCATGTAATAGCTCGAGCTCGTTGAGGATTCGCGCAGGACTGGATGTGACGTAAATCTTCTTGATGGCTACATAACGCGTTCGTTTCCGCGGGGAGCGAGACCCATTCGAGCGTCCTTTGAGAGGAGGAGGGGTCCATTTGGACAAATCGTCTTCATAGTCCCAGCTGTTGTCGTATCGATCATAGTGGATGTCTTCGGCCTTGAAGACGGTAGAGAAGGTGCCTAGCAAACAGGAACACGCTCTCAGCCCACGGGGGTCTCACCACGCAGCCAATCAAGTGACATACCTTCTCCAATGCGCTTGATCAGCTTATACCGATCTCGAAATCCGGGGAAGTCTTGCTGTAGCCGGTCCATATCGGCCTGGACACTGGATTCGACATGCTCATCTTCAGAGCTCTCGTCCTCTTCCTCTTCCTCTTCCTCTTCCTCTTCTACCACCTCTTCTTCCTCTGGCTCGCCAATTGTCGTGGCATCCTGGCCGTCTACATCATCCTCATCCACCATGACCTCTGTGTCTTCTGTTCTGGCATCCTCGTGGATGTCAAAAGTATCCTCCGTTGGCCGGAGCATTGCAGCCGCCATAGCAGCCAGCTTCCCTGCGAGCAAATTGGATTATAGGAGGAAGCGAGAGCAGCGTGTATGCCAACCAAGAGAAAAGAAAAAGAAATCAGCAAGAAAAACAACAGGAAAATACAGCGCAGATGTGCAATTGGGTTTCTAAGCTGCTCACCCAAAAAAAGCACCAAAAAGCAGCGACTCAATGCAGGTCCTAAAGAAGTTCTAGGGCACTGTGGGGTGTCTTTTTAGTGGCTTGAGGCAGCTTACAGAGCGCTTCCTCAGTGGTCGAAAACGCGACCGCCGCAGTTGATGGCGGGGCGGCTTTCTTTTTTACAAAGCTGTCGCGTCTACAAAATAAACAGACGGTTGCCAGGTCCAAGATTCATCCCCCCCGCCATTTTGCCGCACAACAAACGGCAGCGCGAACAAGACGACGCAACGACCAGAGACGCAAGGCGCACCACTTTGACGCTGAGACAAGGCGCAGTGCAGCCAAACGTTGGACTCACTAAGCAGGGGAATCTCGACAGGTTCATTTTCCGCCCAGGCTCGACTCGATCTGCCTCGATACCCAAGCTCGAAACCCCGCCATCTCGGCGCACAAATCGCCCATCATGGGGACGATCAGCTTCGATATCAACGATGCGCTGAAGCGTTACATGTCCGATCCTGCCACGATACCCACGCCCGAAGCAGATGCCGCCCTTTTCGACTGTGAGAATGACCCAGAGGCGCTCACCAACCAGGTGATCAACCCGGTGCTGAATCCTATCATCGACGCGGTTGCCGACAACCCTGATGCCATCTTGCGAGCTGTCAACATGGACTCATTGCAGTTCTTGCTCAAGTACGATTCCCATGAGGCTTCCACAACCCGCATGCGCGAAAAGAAGGAACTAGGTGACGAGAGGAGAAACGATGGCTGACGAGTGGCTTTTTTGAAATAGATATACGCCCTATTTACCAGCTCATGCACTAAGCAAAGTGTTCGACTTAGTAATGAGCGGGCTGAGTGCCGAGACAGACGCAGTGCATAACGATATTGAGTCACCCGATGAGCAGGAATCAGTGCCACATCACAAGCAGCTATTAGAGATTTACGGATTTCTTATCCAGTGGACCATTGCAGCGGTCGAAACGAAGGCAGCGGAAAAGTCGTCCGCAGCGCCAGTCGCAAGGGGCCGAGGAAAGCCAAAGAAGGCTTCACAAAGGGACGATGCATGGGATTCAGCAGCACAACTTCAGGGTGCACTGGAAGTCATGTGCAAAACTCTAAAGCTGAAATTGTCCAGAATATTTCTAACGACCAGTGAGAGAGATACGTTTATCGGGCTTCTAACTAGGCCAGTCTACATGATCCTAGAAAACGAGCAACGCATCAAGACAACGACAATTCGGATGCACTGCTTCAAAGTACTGTGTATCGCAGTCAAGCATCATGGTCATGGCTACGGTATGTTCCTAAGCCATCCCGAAACATCTCTCTGCAGCCTGCTAACTTCATTACAGCCGCTCAGATCAACATTATTCAGAATCTGACATACTTTGAGCATCTATCTGAACCAATGGCGGAATTTCTCCACATTCTGGCGGAGACCTACGACTATCCTCAACTTACCGACGAAGTTTTGCGTGAAATTAGTAATAAAGAGTTCAACTCCAACGATACCCGAGGACCAAAGTCGGTCTCTGCCTTCATCACCAAATTATCGGAACTTGCGCCAAGATTGGTAATTAAGCAGATGACAATGCTAGCTAAACAGCTAGATAGTGAGGTAATTCGATCGCAAATAGAACCAGTCATCAGCGGCGGAATAAGTAACAGCTGACAACTCTCTAGTCATACACTCTTCGGTGCGCTTTGATTGAAGTGTGCGGCAACATGATTGCCTATCTGAGCCGACAAGACGAACGAAGCGAGAACCACAAATCACAGCTAAATGCCTTCTTTGATGTCCTTGAGGAGCGATTCCTTGACATTAACCCCTACTCAAGATGCCGCACATTGCAAGTATATATGAAACTTTGCGAACTCGAGCAAAAATTCCCCAAGCGACGGCAAAAGGCTGCTGAGCTGGCCTGCAGGAGTCTTGAAGACAGGAGCAGCAACGTGAGGCGTAACGCCATTAAGCTATTAGCAACGCTTATCAAGACTCATCCCTTTACTGTCATGCATGGCGCTCAACTATCTCGAAAGGAATGGCAGGCCCGCTACGACAAGGTTGAAGAAGAGCTTAATGCTCTGAAGCCTCCTCCCGGTATGCCTGGTTTAGGGGATGCGACGGTGGATAACAGTCTCCTCGATGAGGCGACCCAGTTGGGCTCTCCAGAAAAGCCCAAGGAAATGACTGACCAGGAGAGGTTTGAGGCGGTCCAGAAGGCGCGAGAAGAGGCGGCGACAAGCGAAGCAATTGAAAAACTCACCCTGACTCGGCGATATTACAATGAAGCTCTCAAGTTCATTGATGTGTTGCACAACGCCACTGGACTTATATGCCAGCTTCTTGGAGCCCGAAACAAGAGCGAGGTCATCGAAGCAATTGATTATTTCGAAGTTGGTGATGCCTACAACATTGAGCAGAACAAGGTTGGCATCCGGCGTATGCTACGCTTGATTTGGACCAAGGGCAATAGCGACGAGGGTAAGGGCGTGCAAACCCACCTCATTGAATGCTACAGGAGATTGTTTTTCGAGGCCCCCGATTCATTCAGCCCAAATGATGCCGCCAACTATATTGCACGTAATATGATCAGCTTAACTTTTGGAGCCACGCCTGCTGAATTGACTTCATTAGAGCAGTTGCTCGCCACGATGATGAAGAGTGGTGCCATTCCTGAAATTGTAGTCACCAAGCTGTGGCAGGTATACGGTGTCCAGAAACGAGAAATTTCCAAGACTCAGAGGCGAGGCGCCATCATTGTTCTTGGAATGCTTGCCACGGCCAACCCTGAAATCGTGGTTGGTGAAATCGAGACGATGCTCCGAACAGGTCTAGGATCTCTTGGGCGGAACGATTTGCAACTAGCCAAGTATACTTGCATTGCTCTAAGACGGATCAATCCCACGGGAAGGCAGGCCAAGGAATCGAGTGCCAAATTTTCACGGCTTCCAAACGACCATGCAGTCTGCTCACGACTAGCAGCCATAACCGAAGTGCCCTCAGACAGCAATGAATGGTACGGGGTCGCAGAACAGGCAATCAACGCCGTATACGCTCTCTCTAAGCATCCTGATATTCTCTGTTCAGCTATAATTCGGCGGAAGGCCAAACATGTTTTTGGTCGCCCCGGCTCAAGGCCAACTTCGCGAGACGAGAATAAGATGGATGAATTCGCCGATCCTGGCTCGCCAGGTGCTATGCAAGCATCACCGAAAAAGTCTAGCAGACGTGATAATGCCATGTCTCTGCCTCAGCTTCTCTTCATCGTCGGCCATGTCGCTATCAAGCAGATTGTACATCTCGAACTTTGTGAATTAGATTTTAAGCGAAGAAAGCAGGAAAAGGAGAAGCAGACACCGGCAAAGACAGATAAAGACAAGGAGGATGCGAACGAGTTGGATCTCATCGGCGGCACTACAGAGGATGATTTCACAGAGGCAATGGCACACATCCGAGAGCGAGAGCTTCTCTTTGGACCGACCTCGCTCTTGGCAATGTTTGGGCCTCTAGTATCTGAGATATGTGCAAACAACACCACATACGCAGATAAGGATCTGCAGGCTGCAGCTACGCTGTGTCTTGCAAAGCTCATGTGCGTGTCTTCCGAGTATTGCGAAGCTAATCTTCCTCTTCTCATCACGATTATGGAACGATCTCCTGACCCTACGGTTCGGTCGAATGCTGTCATTGCGCTGGGCGACATGGCAGTATGCTTCAACCATCTGATTGATGAAAATACGGATTTCTTGTATCGCCGCCTGGCAGATACAGACGTATCCGTAAAGCGGACCTGCTTGATGACGTTGACATTCTTGATTTTGGCGGGTCAGGTCAAGGTCAAGGGTCAGCTTGGCGAGATGGCCAAGTGCATGGAGGACGAAGACAGGCGGATTGCTGATCTTGCGAAAATGTTCTTTACGGAGCTCAGCACCAAGGACAATGCAGTATACAACCACTTTGTGGACATGTTTAGCTTGCTCAGTGCTGGCGATATGGAGGAAGAGAGCTTCAGGCGCATCATCAGATTCTTGCTCGGATTTGTTGAGAAGGTAAGGACAGTCCTGCTTCAGAGAGGAACCGAAAAATATTCATTTCCATTCTATTGGAATGCTAACAAATGGTTTGCGCAGGACAAACACGCCAAACAGCTGGCCGAAAAGCTCGCGGCAAGACTGAATCGCTGCGAGACGGAGCGGCAGTGGAACGACGTTGCGTTTGCTTTGGGTTTACTGCAGCATAAGAACGAGGAGATTACGAAATTGGTTTCTGAGGGTTTCAAGGTTGTGCAGGCCGCCGCTTGAGGAGGTATACCTGGCTGAGGGATTAGGATGCATATAGCAAAGGGGTGGCAATGATTTTTAATTTATTTATTTTATTTTAGATGGGCAGTTTATTCGCCTATGACGGATTATTTATGAATGCAACGCGGTTATGAAGTCGAAAATGATGTAGCGTAGGATTTAATTTGAGTCTTCCAGGGTAGTTACTGTGACGCATATACTTGGCTGAGGCCAAGACGTAAAATGCAAATTGCCGGGGTATTTGTGGAGAGATCTTGTTAGATTAGGTTTTAAATGCTGAATAGCTCCGTCATAAAACGTATGAATAAGCAGCCATATCATCGAAGACAGTATTGGGCCACATGTGTAAAACAGTTCATGCTTCGAGAAAAACTCAAGACGGAATCTAGCGGCAACTTGACTGCAATTCCAACCGTACCTATACAAGCTGCTTCAATTGAACCAAAGAAACAGTAAACGTTATTTGGTCATCGATTTTGGGCTATTGTATATCCCTCCTGTTTCTCCACACAGTTGCAAACTCTGATCTAGATATATCCATCTACTTATATCTGCATTAAAGCATCTGCATTTACAGACCGCGAGTTTCTGAACAGGCCCTCTCGGAACTAAACTAAGCCTCCAGCTGTACCCGCTCGGAGCTTTTGTCTCGTCCTCTCGGAACGTACCGTAAACATTTGTCTCTCGCTCCATCCCGATCCAGCCTAGCGCGGCCCATTGGCAAAATCCAAACATCCAATCGTACCACGTGATCGCTTCAGCTGGTCTAACCTTGCTCAGAGGCTTTGTGGCGGAGCTCCGTGGCTATAAAACGGAACCTTGGCAGGTGAAAGAATAAAGTCAAGCTGAGAAGCACAGCGCACTAAAGTACCAAGTACCGAGTACCAGCTCAATTGAAAGTCGGTTGCGGGCAACTGCGTCACGTCACCATCGGTTTGTTCTGATGGACTGACCAAAACAAGCGACCAATTTCAACACAACAGATCTAAGATTCAGCTCAATATCCATCAACAGGTGCTTATTATTTGAGTATCCTTTCGCCACAGACTATTACATCTTTACAGCGTCACTCTCGGATTTCGTCGCGAGCTGCTCCGCGATCGAGTTCGACCTCTTTTTTTCTTCTTTCTCCTTGGTTGCCACAAGCTTAGCACCACAATTTTATTTGGACCCGCGCCGGTGAGGCCATGGGCTCGGCTACCGTCGCTGAAGCCATTTTGATTGCGCACGGGCAAGCTTTTTAGGAGCTTCTTGGAACAAGCAGCTGGGATCCCAATTGCCGTCGCGATTGTCCGGCATCGCCGCCGTCGATCGCGCTAATCGAGAGAGCTCGAGTAGCGCTTCTTTGGGGCTTGCAGAGCTTGACGACGACGCAGAGCCCAAATCTCGACCGCGAAATCAGAATGTACGACAAGGTCGTCTCGCTGGGCTCGCGCCTGCACTACCCCATCGTCATCACGAAGCTGCTCAAGTCGTCTGGCGACTCCATCAAAAAGCAGGAGACTATTTTCGAGTACAAGTTCAGCTGGCGACGGAAAATCGGCGACGACGAATGGACAGATGAGACGACGTATACCGAATTTGATAGCCCTGCCGAAGGAACGCTGAAAGAATGGCGCATCAAGGAGGGACAGACGATTTCTACCGACGTGCCATGCATGACCGTCGAGGAGGCTTGCGGACACGAGGTGCAGATCCAGGGTCTATGCAGCTTGTGCGGTGCAGACATGACCGAGATCAATTGGGCTAGCGAAGAAAAAGACACAGATCGTGCCATGATCAACATGACGCATGACCAGACAGGCCTGATGGTGAGCCAGAACGTTGCCAAGAAGGCAGAGCACGATACACAGAAGCGCTTGCTCCGCCAGCGCAAACTCAGCTTGGTGGTCGACTTGGACCAGACCATTATCCACGCGTGCATCGAACCGACTGTTGGAGAGTGGCAGCGCGACAAGGCTAACCCCAATCACGAGGCTGTCAAGGATGTCAAGAGCTTTCAGCTGAACGACGATGGGCCCCGAGGGCTGGCTAGCGGCTGCACCTACTACATCAAGCTACGGCCGGGCCTCCACGAATTCCTGGAAACCGTCTCTACCATGTATGAATTACATGTATATACTATGGGAACCCGCGCATACGCTCTGAATATTGCACGAATTGTGGATCCAGACAAGAAGCTCTTTGGCAATCGCGTCATCAGTCGTGACGAGAATGGAAGCATCACTGCAAAGAGCTTGCAGAGATTGTTCCCTGTCAGCACAGACATGGTTGTTATTATTGACGACCGCGCGGATGTTTGGCCCATGAATCGACCAAATCTGATCAAGGTTGTGCCTTACGATTTTTTCAAAGGAATCGGTGATATCAACTCCAGCTTCTTACCCAAGCGACAGGATATTCTGCCTGCCCCGCCAAGATTAAACGGGGCCCCCAACTCCAACGCTGAAAATGCTGCTTCTGGAGAAAAAGTTTCACCACTCGATGAATTAGCACGAATGGGAGGGGACGAAGCCAGTCTAAAGGTCCAGGCGGAAGAGCAGGAGAAGACTCTGGAGAAGCAGTTGACTGATCGCCCGCTACTCCACATGCAAGAAGAGTTGGATAAGGAGGACGAGCAGTCAAGCCAAAACTCGGAAGGCGGGGAATCTTCGCCAGCCCACCACAGACAGCAACTGTTGAGTGACGATGACGAAGAGCTTATTACCCTGCAAGACCATCTTACCGACCTCCATGCTGCCTTTTACGACATGTACGATAAGCGACGAGGAGAGAGAAGAATGTCAGAACCTACCCACCCGCCCGGACATAGCAAAGCACGCAGAAAGTCTATTCACCCTGACGACGGCGTAGATCTATCTCTTGTTCCAGATGTTGGCGATATTCTGGATGAGCTCAAGTCGAATGTCCTCTCAGGGCTTGTCATATGCCTCTCTGGTCTTGTACCATTAGGAGTCAATATAGAGGAGTCTGAGATTGGAATGCAAGCGCAAAGCTTTGGAGCCCAGGTCGTGGACGGCATCTCAAATAGGGTCACACATCTTGTAGTTTCTCTAGCACGGCCGCGGACGAAGAAGGTACAACAAGCAGCAAAGATTTCGAGTATCAAGATTGTGAACCAGAGCTGGTTGGCGGATTGTCTTAGCCAATGGCGTAGACTAGACGAGAGCCCGTATTATATGACCATTCTTGATGTCGATCGCGAGAGATCCGAGGACACTGCGGATACAGGCTCAGCAGAGATGGAGGAAACCGGTATCTCCATTGACTTGGGGGATTTTGATGAAGAGCTCAAAGAGTTTTTGGGAGATGACGACGATGATGAGGACGACGACGAAGGGGATGGAGATGAGGGGGGTGAGGCGGAAGATGAAGATAATGGGAGCGAGACAACGGATAGTGACGCAGACGACACCGATGATCCAGATCAGAGAGGCACAAAGCGAAAAGCCAGAGCGGCTACTGTTGAATCAGACGGAGATGGTTCCAGTACCGTTGGAGAAAGTGCATTAGCGAAAAAGCAGCGGGTGTCACGGAGTAGAGGAGCCTCGTCATTGAGATCTGTACATACCAACGGAGACACAGGTGAACCTGACCAAAACGATGCATCAGAACCTCGTGCTGCAGATGCAGATAACGAGGCAAATTTCGATTACGACGAGCTGGAACGAGAGCTGCTCGCAGGGCTTGAGGCTGCTGGTGATTAGAAGTTGTTCAAGGCAGGCTGCGATGATTGGATTCTATGTCATTTGGCACTTCCTTCTTAAACTAATACTATATGGCCGGCGCTTTTTTGAGTTAGAGTAGTACTATTATTGGACAAAACTGGGTCAAAGTGTTGATTGTCTTTGGTGTGCCTGCTCTTTTTTTCTTATCAGTGTGATTTATTCTTCCACTTTTGTCGGTATACTGGATACCCCATTCTGTGGCCAGAGAGCGATAGGGAAGCAATAAGCATTTATCGTTCTATTTTCTCTCTCTCTAAGAACTCAGGTTTTTGGGTTGGTTATGTTGTTGATATGAAATATGTGATGTGAAGTGATGTGAAGTGACGATGGTTGATACGCGCATCTCATACACGTATCTCGTGCAGCTAGTGACATGCTAGGTAAAGAGACGAAATAATGTAACTCTAATGAGGCATTCTGAGAAATGTATTGGCATCGTCTAATGGAGTGATAGGTTATCTATGCATAATATTCCTTTGGAGAGTGAACCGCCGACTTACTCCGGGCTTTCTCGGTCATAGGAGGCTTAAGTCCATTGTCAAGCGCAACACTCTGGCCATTCTTTGCAGCGACTATATTTCCTAGCAGTGCTCCGCCGGTCGAATGTCTCTCCGGAGACCCATGCTATTGACTTTTATTTTGGTGAATTCTCGCTAAAGACTTTGAATCTTCGCTGGTCGTGTTCTTATGGTGTGTGTTTGCGGCGGAGATTTATATCTAGTTGCGGAGATTCGTAATGATGGTTGAAGGATTTCATGCCTTTTTGGATATGATTGGTAATATGGAAATGTGGCTGAAGGGCGCAAACGCATAGGCATCTATATACAAAGAGATGGATATAAGAGGAAATGAAGCTAGCGATTTTGTATACTCGATAAAGCATCATTACAATTGAACACTGATATTTCACAATGGGTCTCCAATACAATCCTGATACAGATGTGCCTGATATCTCTGGCAAAGTTATTATCATCACTGGAGGTTAGCTTCTTTGATTATCTACAGCCATCGCCCTTCTTCCATAACTGACACGGTGGGCGAATCAACAACTTTATAGGTACCAGTGGCATTGGAAAAGCTGCAATTTTTGAGCTTGCCAAACACAATCCGGCACACATCTACTTCACCGGTCGAAACGAGAAAGCAGCCAAAGAAGTTATATCTCAATGTGCCAACCCCTCAAACATGACTTTCATATCCTGCGAACTCGACAACCTTGAAAGTATCCGCGATGCAGCAACCAAGTTTCAACACCATCGTCTAGACATATTCATTGCCAACGCAGGAGTCTCGGCTATCCCACCCGCCCTCACCAAGGACGGTTACGAAGTTCAATTCGGCACCAACCACGTCGGCAACGCGGCACTGCTGCTCCTCCTCCTGCCCATCATGTTGCGAACGGCAAACGAAGTACCAGGGGCAGACGTTCGCTTCGTGGCCATCACGTCACTGGGATATGCAATGGCCAGCGGGATTGAATTTGACACCCTGCGGTCGAAGCAGGATAATATGCTGCTGATGGGCAGGTGGAGGCGCTACGGGCAGAGCAAACTCGCCAATGTGCTCTTTGCGAGGGAATTGGGAAAACGCTATCCGAAAATAACGAGCCTCGCTGTTCACCCAGGCGTGGTCGGGACGGAGGCGGTTGCCAATTTCGGGACTTTTGACAAGATGCTCACCCTCATTACGTCTCCGCGGGGAATGTTGACTCCTCGTGAAGGGGCGTATAATATGCTGTGGGCGGCGACGTCTCCGGAGGTGAAGGAGAAGGTTGATGGCAAGACGGCGCTCTTTGAACCCGTTGGGAAACCGCATGTTGGAAATGCGAATTGCCACAGTGACGAGTTGTCGAAGAAGTTGTGGGACTGGACCGTTATGGAGGTTGGTGTAGAATTCAAGTGAAATTGACCCATGAATACCTGTGAACAAGCACTTGTAACTTTGGTTTCGTCGTTTCTTCTCCTCAGACAGGAGTGAAAGTAGTAGTTGATCTGCGTCTGTAGAGTTTAGTAGCACTGTAACAAAATTAGGCGAAAAAAACATGATTTGCCATGCCCCCCTTTATTGATGTTTCTACCCCATTTTTGTCGACGCTATCAGGCCGAACAAGTGAACACATAGATATATACAAGATTCCAATTCATTCGAGCGCATTTTCTTCGTCTTCCCTTGCTTAATTCACCCCATTTATTTCGAAGGTGCCGGGGAAACGGCAAATGTTGGTCGCACGAATCTGCTCACGGTTAGCATACCACTGACTCATTTCCCTGGGGCGGAGTTTGAGACGCACCTGTCGCTGTTGTAGACCTTTGTGTTCTCGCCCAACAACTCCTTCTCACGCTTCTGGTCGGCCCAGTATCGTCGCACCTGATCACGGTCTTCTTCGGCCTGGAGGAGGGGAGTCAGGTGGATGCGAGCCCACATCTTCTCACGAGCAAGCTCACTAAGGGAAAGAGAATGATTGTCAGTCTGCGAGGGTTTTTATAACCAAGGGCTGAAGACATACTTGGCCTCCCGAATACCGCCGATCAGCTTGTACCAGCCGTAGCCCATAACGGCGCCCATGCCGAGAAGGAGAATTCCAGGTCGGAAGCCCTTGGCGGGCAGGTTTCGCTAGACAGAGCTGTTAGTCTAGTCTATCCTTTTCCCTGTCGCAAGCCTTAAAAAAACAACGTGATATATATGAAAGGTTATATATCTCGATCGTTGCAGCCTCGAATCTGGATTGGCGACACTCGTTTCCCACGCAACAACCCCACGGCGACATCAGACGGCGCCCCAAGTTCAAACAATGGCAATTGATTCCACAGCAATAGCATTCACAAGCTCCCCATCGTGACGCACCTTGTACTGGACGGGCTCGTACCCGCCCCGGGGGGGCATATCTTGAGGCATGATGGGCAGTTGTTGCGGTCGATTCGGGACGATGGCGGGGTCAATCGCGGCGCGGCAAAATTGGTCAAAGAGTCGCTTCGTCAATCGGAGTAACGGCCAGTCGGGCTGCCTCCGCTACGCGCCGGTTTGCAGTGGAAATTCGAGATTGTCTGGCGCCGAAGCTATGATGGAGGCTCTTTTGCAGCGAAACTCCTCTCAAGAGGTTGACGGTGCGGATTACATAATGCATTTCGTGGTGGGGCACAGCTTTGTCCATGGAGAGGCAGGCAGGTCTGGTTGCCACTTGCTGTTTGGGCAAATGCGTTTATCTTATCTGCAACTCGGTCTAAGATGTTTGTATGTATTCACCGCATGCATGTGTACCTACCTATACATACATCTGGTCTACTTTTGTTCATCATCCCAAATATGCCCAGCTAAAATGCTTCTCCCTCCTATATGACGCCAGCTCCTGGAAACAATCAATGAGCTGGGTGTCCAGGATCATCACCAGGCAGCAGATCGACTCTGTTCAGCGCCCGTAAGCGACACGCACAGCATGTGAGAGAGAAGCAGAGACGGGCAGATGAATGGATGGATGCAATGCAATGCCACTGACTGACTAGCAGGCATACATGTGTCCAAGTCCAAGCAATGGACAAAGGCAGAATCCTGGCCTTTGGGCATCATCGTCCTTAGCTCGTCTCTTGCAGCCGCATTTGAGGTTTGAGACAGCGCAGAGTTGCGCCGCGGCAAGCCACACCCTTGGGATGGCCTAGGATTTGGGCCACCAAGTCGCAGAGCGCAGAGGCAATCAGGTTGATTCAATTGCTCATCGCCCTGCGTAATATCGTCTCGGTATCAGAAGCCTCTTATCTGGCGCCGGCGGTCTAAACGCCTCCCTGCTGGCGCGGAAGCTATCGCGGGATTTTGGCCAGCACCAAGAAGGCGGCCTATGCTTGTCCGACACAGCAATACTGCCGCGAAGGAAAATGACTTATTACTCCGCCCGTCTGCCCGACCACGGAATGGTGTGGAGTCTTATTCAGAGATCCCCCATTGGGGCGTCCACAGGCTGGCTTCGGTGGCTTGTCGTTGCGTGCTTGACTAGAACTCGCCGCATTATCGCAGCCATGTAACGCAGCATCCGGTCAGTCCAACACGCGATGCCCAGCCTCATCTCGCCCAAGTACCCACAGCGCCTGTCCTTGGCCTCTATGCTGGGCCCCGCCCGCGCCTGTTTTTGCCACAGCTCAAAGCCATTTCCGCTGGGATCCCGATCATACCCGCCGTTCGCCGCTCTACCCTGCGGCTTTAGCTTTATTGTCGTGCGTCGCGGATCGACCTATGATGCAGACGTTTCTGGTCTCTCCCCGGATGGGCAACCCTTGTAAATGCTACCCTTCGGCTGTCCTAGTCAATTCGGCGACAGCGTTGCCTTGTTTGCCTCCTGTCGGATTCGCATCTTGTTGGACAGCTTTTGGGAGGCGATATGGGGTGATGGGCGCGATGCTCTGATACTCGTCAACAAAAAAGACGCAGGCCCCGTCTTAACTTTGCATGAATTTCCTATGTGATTTCATCCGTGCGTTTGTGCCTGACTCATTCTGTCATTCAGTGTTTTTCTTTTCTTTTCTTTTCTCTCCTTGCTTTCCTCATTCATTGTCTTGTTTTTGCCAACTTTCAACCACAAGTGCCATTTGTGCAGGGTTCACCCAATCATACTCTCCATCTATGGGACCATCATTGAATCTATCAACAGGGAACGATAGGACACAAAAAGAAAGAGGAAAAAAAGAAGGAGAGAGCTGGCATATATAATACATCATGTATGGAAATTTTCAACGAATTTCGTACCCTATCCACAAGAGTCCGATGGACTGCGACACAGCCCATCGAGAAAGTGACTGGGTTCAGGCGGCGAGCTTCGATCGCATCTATGTTCTCCAGGTGGGCGAGTTTGGTGTTACGCGTCAGCAGAAATTAGACCTGCTGCAAAAGATATTTTGGCCTGCCTTAGCCCGTTGGGTTATATCAAGGCAGCAGATTCTGCCTGGCGGCACTATCCTCGGCGGCTGGTGGCGCGCGGACATGCAGGGCATGATGGACTGGTATCGCGAATGCTTTCACATGACAGCCCGCTGGGAAGACGCCATCATCGCACACACGGACGGCATCTGGAGGATAGCTCTGGAGACTTCACCCTGGCGAGACTGGCCCGAGTTTTTCCTCCTGCTGAATGAACCCGTCGTAGACGGCAACGGTCAACCTGTGAGAGATAGCACCGGTCGCATCGTGTACCAGGACCGAGATCCAACTACAGATGGCATGGAGGATGCCTTCCTAGACCTGTGGGAGGCAATAGCTAATTCGCGACCCCTGGTGGGCTTCTCAAATAACTTCACTTCCAAGGATGGCGTCATGCCACTTGGATCACAATCGCACGCGACAAATTTGTGTGTATGATTGGCTATTTATGGATTTTTTCCCTTTCTTCACTTTTCCTACTCTAAGCGAGCACAGCAATAACAGGATTTTTGGGTATTTTTTTTGGGGGGCGTTTTGGGATATTCTTGGTCTGCGTGCGAATCAGTTACGAATACCTACAACACTGGCAGATTCTTTATGAACAAGAAGTATTATTAATTTACTGGTTTTACTCTTTTCTCTCTTTCAATCGTGCTAGAATCCATGCGTTTCCCATTCTCTGCATCGGTTTGCCTCATCTATAAGAACCACCTTGACGTAGCATCTGGAAGCATTATATCAAAAGTGCGATTCAGCTTTGCATTCTTCATTCTATAGCGTGAGATCTATTCCCAATAATAGGACCGCAGTCATAACAGTCATCCAATCTTGTCAAATACCCCGATTCTCCTTCCAACACATTATCATCTCATCTCGTTTCAATCGACTCTCCAAAGCATGAGCTAGATCCAAGTCCTCGAGGAAGAAAGAAAAAAAAAAAGAAAGAAAAAGAAAAAAAAAAGAAAAAAAGAAAGAAACAGAAACCAAGCATTAAAACTCATCTCTAGGGTTTGTATGTAGAAATCCTGTAACCCGCTCATCCAAATAAAAGGAAAAAGAAAATGGGAAGAAAAAAAAAATTAACAACCCAAAAAAGACATATTCGTTAGGTTTCATCTTATTATGACTTGCCTGACGCCTTGCTATTGTTTCCCAATGCTACGCCATCCAAACCTTCGCTCAACTTGGTCGTAATCACGTCTGGATCCGGTTCATCGCCGCGGACAAATGTCCAGCTCTCTTCCGTATCTTCATCTTCTTCTGTTTCTAAATGTCCATCTGTATGCTTAATTAGGCTCTTTGCGTATTCCATATCTCGGTATATAGATTGAATAGCAGTTTGAACACCGCTCTCCTACATGACTGTTAGTTTATTCATCAGAGACAGAGTCGACAAAGATGATAATTACCCTTCGAATTTGTTCACCTAGCTGCCGAGCCTTGACAATCATCCGCTCGTTACGCGTGACTTCCCAAAGAGCTCGGCCAAACGATTTCGTTCCCCACTTCTTGACCCAAACTCCAACACCCAAATCTTCTACACGACTGGCAAAGAAGAATTGGTCCCCAAAGAAAGGCCGGATAATGGTTGGTATACCGGCTCTTAGACTAGCACCGGTGGTACCGGATCCACCGTGATGCGCTGCCGCGTCAATCTGTCGGAATAGCCAGTCATGTGGAGCAGATTTGATAACATGAATCTCTGGTGGCATCACTGGCTCTTCAACAAGCGGTCTATTGGGTTCGTCCCTTCCAGTGATGCGATCAGACCACCCCTTGGAGAGAATGCATCGGACATCAGCCTTAAGGATCGCGTCAATCACCTCCTGAGTCATCTTGACCGGGTCGTTGACGATAATCGAGCCGAAACCGACATACACAATCTTTTTGCCATCGGCCCTTGCTTTCTGGATAAAGTCTCGCAGTTCTTGAGGAGGTTCATAGTCGCCACCTTCGTCCAAGAACCAATAGCCGGTAACTCTGACCCAATCCGAGAAATCTAGAGGTGGCGCAACAACACTTGGGCTAAAATTGTATAGGAAAGGTACCTTGTTAGGCTGCATTTTCTCTAGTCCAGTATTTGGCAATCCAAGAGTCTTGTTCCTCCATCTGTTGACTTGATGAGCGGTAGCTTTCCAAAAGATGTTGTCGAACATGACATAGGTCATATAGTTATAGGCACCGCCCATCTTGTTTTCCGGCATAATAAAGGCGTGGGGATACGCTCGTGTCCTTGTCCAGGGCATCGTGAATGCTCTAAAATACGGAATCCCAAGTTTCTCTGCGATGTGAATTCCTGCCATGGCTGACGGTGACTCGATGAGAAGCTCAGAACCTTCGCAAGCCTTGTAAGCGGAATCGAGGAGGTCATCGAGCCAGCCTCGGAAAGTCGCATTGGCTTCTCGAAGGAATGAGAGCGTAAACGTTCCATTCTCAATGCACAAACGCATTAGCTCTCCCGGGTCACCTTCGACACAGGCAAATTCAATACCATGAGACTCGATCCATCCTTGGAACTCTGCATGAGTAGCAATCTTCGGTCTATGGCCGTCTGCAAGTAATCCCTTGCACAATGCGATATAAGGTTGGACATCGCCTCTGGAGCCGATTGTTAGGCATGTAATCCTCATGGAATGCGGCGCCTTGAACTGGATCACCGATGTTTCTAGATCATCTCCCAAGATATTGGCAGCATGAGTCTGCGCAGCGGTTGACTGCGGTAGCTGAGGTTCGCGATTTGCAAACATCTCTTGTCCTGCTAGTTTCAAAGCTTCCCGCTCCGCAATCGCAGCACTTGCTTCCTCTTTGGACGCATGTGATAATAAACCAGATCCTTGGAGATTGCGATCGATTTCCAGGCACTGCAGCAGTGTCACTGCGCAGTCGTCACGAATCTCAGCTTGCCGGAATTCGAAGAAGAGCTCCTCATGTCCACGAATAATCACAACCAAGCCCGAGTATCCAAAGCGAAAACCCTTCTCCTTATGCGCATTCTCAATGTCTTTTAGAGGAAGAATCAATTTTGTCCGAGTGCCAGGGAGCAAACTTCGGAAACAGAAATAGCCACCGCTAAGATAGATTTTACCATACAGCGGCAGGACGCGCATGATGTATCCAAAATACGTAGCCTGCAGCCTTTCTGTGGCAGGGAGTGCAAAATGTGCTCGAAATCGCTCATTTGATGTCTTGATCTGCCCATCATCATCCTCTTCCAGATCATCTTCGTCGGGTCGTAGACCAGCAGGTTCATCGTAATGCTTGCGTTCACCTTTCCACATGCCAGAAACTTTTTCGACATAGCCCATAGATTCCGTCGCAAGGAGGGTGCTCATTCGCTTGCTTGTCTTGTTCAGATAATCGGCAAACGCGCCAGCTCGTTGCAAGGGATATGCGCCCATTCTCGTAATGCTCTGCAACGTTGGCGTGGACACTCGTGGTAGGTCAATAGACCCGGCATAACCGGATCCCTCAGCATGGCTTGCTGCTGTAGAATCAGCTGGTTGAAGATCTGACAAGTCCTTTGACTCCTTGTCGTCACGGATGGAGCTTTGCGAGTGTCTCATCGTCGGATTTTGGAAGACGTCGCTGCCCCTGAGGATCTGACTCGCAGAAGGATCTTCAAAAGCAGATTCGTTGAGGCTAGCGAAACTTGGTTCTTCCATTGACGAGTACAAATTTGATTCGGACGATTCGAGAATCTTTGATGATATCCTTTCTTCACCCTGATGGCTACTTTCTGATCTTTTATTGTCGCTGGATCTTTCCCGAGAACTCTCGTCGTGACTGTCTCTCTCTCTTCCGATTGCGTCGAAGCTTGAATGGAGACCATCATCGCCGCTAGGATATGGGTTTGGGCTTGTGGAACTGCGTGATGTTGAATGACCAGCTGCCTGTCCAAGACCGGAAAGTTTCGTAGTGAGCGCACTATCCACGCGAGTTAGATTCCGGAATGCGCTTCCCGAGGCGCGAGGCGATGACTGATTTGAGGACTCTTCTTCTTGTTTGGCAATGGCTTTACCAGCTGTCGGGCCCTCAAGTGATGCGTCTTCTACCAAAAGCTTAATCACATTTATCGCCTCTTTACCATAGTTGAAGAAGGAGAAAAAGTACTGCACAATTTGCATATTAGGACTGCATCTTCAGAAGGTTGAAAGGGAGAACAAGGTGAAACCATACCTCGTCGATGGCAAACGTTTCGTCACTGTCCATGACTCGAATCTTGCACGTATCTGAAAACTCCATCATCTGCGAGTCCTCGACATCGATGACATCGTTAATGGGAATAGATATTTTGACGCTGTCGCCGTCATTGTGACTTCGGAAAATGACTCTCTGTAAACTCTTCACCCACTCCTTGGCGCTTGGCGCACTCTCGGCTCTGAAGTTGTAGGTACGATGGCTTGTTACCACTGAAAAATGCACACCCTCCTTGTCTCTATCTGTGATGCTAGCAGATATGCCAAAGCTGAGATCGATGTGGCCGTGTGGAAAGTATAGGTTCGTGGAGTCCTGGTAGTATGACAATACATCACCTTTGAGGCGAAACCAGTAACGACTGTATTTTGGGTTGCGTTTTCCGCTTTTTGATAGGTAACCAGACTTGGCAACGGAATGCTATGGATACGGTGAGTGATTTTGCTTGGCATAGAGTAGGTACTGGGAGTCAGCCTTACTGTCTTTTTGGGGAGATATGCATAGAAGCAAATGTGTTTCGAAGTGATGTATAGATAGCCTTGCAGCAATACGCTCTTGAGCAACCAACACGGATACTCTATACATGATTCGCTGTCAGTAGTGATTTCAAGGCAACAAGTCAGGCGCAGCACGGACGAACCTTCTATAACACGCTCTGGCTCATCGAACTCAAAAATTTCCATTAGTCTTCTTGCCAAGGCTGTGACGTGGCTCCCTTCTCCCTCCTCTTCTCGGTCTTCCTCCCCTTCATCTGTTCGATCAGGGCCAGAAGAGTCTCTTTCAATATCAATGTCAAAGCTAGACCGGCTGGCCATCTCGGCCTGGGCCTCCAGCATTCGGCTCATGACGGGTGCTACTCGGAGATCCTCCTCCTCATCTAGTTGTTGGGAGGGCTTCTTGGGAGAGGGTGGCTCGCTAGATTCGCTCTGCTCGTCCACCTCTTCTGTAGGCTCCCACATCTTGGAGCCTCTCCCGGGTTTGCTCTTCCTTCTAGGCAACGAGGCAAATGACTTCAAGAGCCTGTGACCAGAAAGCTTCTTCTTATGCCCGAGGCGTTTATCCTTGGCAGGGAATGAACCTAGTATAGCCGTCTGTGAGAGGTCGCGGTGCCGCGAGCTTAGTGGTTTTAAGCGGCTCCCTTCGCCCTCAGCTTCATCGTCGTCTTCGTCGCTGCTGCCGTCATCAAAGCGAGTGTTGAAGTCGACCCGAGATCCTGCGGCGGCAATTAAACCAAAGATGCTCTGGTTCATGTTCACGGCCATCGGGCTGGTCTGGGCGAATCCCACATTCTCGCTTGTGTCGTCGTCGCTGCCTTGGAGGGGTTCTGGGAGCTCGGCCGTCAGGGTCGAATCGTCTCGCTGCAATGCGGCAGGTGTCTCGCCGATGTGAGGCAGTCCAGCGTCGTCGTCGCCGCCAAGGCTGCCGCGGCGGGGAGTGGGAGTCGTTGCCATGGTGGCTGCAGGTCGAGATGAGTTCCAGGCAAGGCGATTAGGGTTGGGGGAGCGCCAAAAGCGTGTCCGCCTAGTTCAAGGCCGCCTGGCGATGCGGAGGCGTAACCTTTGTTGAATGGGCCGTTTGCGCCGCAGGGTCAGCAGCGAGTTGGGGATGACGGCAGAACTGCAGGCCAGGCAACCGCCTACTCCGCCAAACGCCTTGGGAATATGCGAGGCACCGGCACTCCACTGAAGAGGCGACTTGGGGATCAGCGCCCACAGGGTCTGGGAGGGTTGTGAGAGGTTGTTGGGAGGTGAATGAGGCCGCTTTCATTGATGGCGCCTCAAGGTCCGCTAGATAAGGTTCGCGACCTACCCGCCAGGTACTCGCGCAGCGTACACCGCTCGCTATATATAAGTGCAAGGATACTTGGATCAGCGCCCAGTTAGCGCATGGAGCGCGGTATCTTGGTACGACAGTGCGAGGAAGCCTGGTGTTGGATGGGTAGCCCTTGAGGTAATTCGGCTGTCCTTGGTATACTTGGTATGACTTACTGCTTGTCTCGCCCGATGGATGACACCAGCACTTATCGATAAAGACCCTAGGCAAGGGTGTCGCAGCTGTTATCTTGGATTGTCGCACTCGGCAAGCTTTGTTCAAACAAATTCAATCGCCATGAAGCTGTCGATAATCTGCCCTCAACCAAGCCAATGGAAGCTGCGTGGTTTATCTCCTCGATGATATTGCAGCGTTCGGGCGGCAACACAGCGCAAGTCACACCCATCGGCGACTTAGTCCAGCCCATTGCTCTGCCTCCACTCACGCCTCCCATGTGATATGATCATTAAGAGGCTACGATGTCAAGACCACGGGCATGACGTGCGCCGTAATTCCTAGTACTGTGATGTGCACAACAGGTGATGAGGGACTTGGTAATTATGACTCGTGGATTTTTACAGCAAACTCTTGTTCTTGAGCCCATGTCGGTGCCTGGTGCTGCTGCAAGGAGGTGGACGTGCTGCATACACCTACAGTATAAGGCACATGTTGTACCCAGTGTGTGTTGATATCAATGGAGTACTACTACTGCATCACTTACTGCGCTATTACCTACTACTATGTACAAGACAGTGCTGCCTGTTTGATCTCAAAATCGCACAGCGGTTCAGTCCGAGTACGAACCAACAAAGACATGAAGAAAGAGCTGGTGCCACAAGGTGCACCGGGTCACGTTCACTGCGCTGCCTCTTTTATACGCTGAACATGGCTAGCCCCTGTCGTAAGACAGCAGCCTCTCTACCTCAGTATTAGACATGGAGCCGTCCCCTTTCGGCCATCAACTGGATACGTCGTTTTCGTTTTCGTTTCGGCTTTTCATACATCGTCTGTTGTTTCCTGTATATGTTGATAGCTAGTATGTACTATCGGTGTATATAAAGGAAGAGAGTATCCCTCTCTACCTCGGTATTCACTACACCGACGCTCAGCTGATCCGTCTCTCTTTAGTGAGCCGGTTCTACCGCACTGCCACACGAGTAATACGTGCGCTTAAACTTTCGGGGCTGCTCGCTGAGCTGACTCACCCAAAGCCTTGAGTAACGGACAATCAATCATAGCTGCTGCTTTGCTCTGATACATGGAGAGGTTCCAGAAACGGACGAAAGAGACCATTATTTCTGACGAATGAACCCTGATATCTTCTCTGCTTCTAGCGTTCAATCGGATCCATCGGAGGGCTTCTTGGCGATCTGAGAGGCTGGTAGTCCCATTGCAAACAAGCATTTAGCTTGGTGCACTGTCTGCCAGATAATAAGCCATCGACTGCTGCTGCTAAGACAATCAAAGCGGGTGCTGCCATCTTTCAAGAGGCTATATCACTTGCAAAATTGTTTACTTGTATTTGCCTTGTATATATAGTGCGCTCTTGCACAACGAATTTACTAACTATTTTCCGATAGACACGTTACAGGTGCACTGGCTTTGTTGAACTTTGTGTAATAGCAGCCGCAAATTATCGCGATGCGGCTAATAGTGAGGAGTATCAATTAGCGTATCGTGGGGAGCTCACTATCTATACGAGCGTGGGATAGCATTCACATGTAACGTCGCAAACTAATAGACTGACCCTACTTCAATAACGTCTTCTGCTGAGAAATTTCATTAAGAGAATAAAAACAATCTCATTTCTTTACAATAATACGTTCTCTCCAGCATTGTCGTCACCGCTACCACAAGACCAGCTCTTGCAACAATGTCCACTCCAAGCCCCATATTCCCCGCATCCCTTCTGTCTAGCGATGCCGCAGCAGCTCTCCCGGATGGCTACACCATCAGGCCTTTGGAAAAAGGGGATTACGCAAAAGGCTTCTTAGAATGCCTCCGTGATTTGACATGGATGGACAACCTCACAGAGCAGGAATTCAACGAGCGGTACGATGAGATGGACACTAAAGGAAATGGCCCATATTATTACCTTGTGATTGAGCGAGAGGGCCGGATTGTAGGCACAGGTGCTGTGATTGTTGAAAAGAAGTTGTAAGTTTGTTCTTCAGAAACACAATCATAAAACTTGCCTGTAACTAATGACCAAAATAAGCATTCAAAATCGCACCACCGTCGGCCATATTGAAGAAATCTGCATCTCCAAAGACCAGCAGGGAAAGAAGCTGGGATTACACATGCTCAACGCTCTGAACTCTGTGGCGAAGAACGTAGGATGCCGGAAGACGATTCTTAACTGCAGTGAGCACAACATTAAGTTCTACGAGAAGTGCGGTTTCGAGGTTTCTAGCACCGAGATGAAGAGGGAGTTTAAGGAGTAGAAAGCACTTGATTCGAAAATATTCTTCATCTGAGCAGCTAAAAACTCATAGGCAGAGCGTGGATGTATAGTTCCTAAATAGACAAAATCATGATGTATTCAACAGGCTCCTCTCTCTTCTGTTGCCAGTTTATTTACAAGTCTAGAAATTCTCGTTGAGCGCGTTACCAACGCCTCTCGCTTTTCCTTCTCAGCAATACTTCTCCACCATTGTCGATAATATCCATAGTAGAGTAGCCAGTAGAACATGAATTCTTCTTCATCAATGCTCAATGGCAAACGGTGGGATTTGCAGCCTTCCCTCTCGTAAATATTTTTAGGCCAAAGTTCATTTACTGCCATAAACAAAGCTTGCCGCTGGCGGTGCCTCCTGCTACCCAATTTTTGCTTGGGTGAAAGTGAGCCACGGCTGGGACAGCAGAGATGCCATCGCCCCCGAGCTGAGCCAACTGGCTTCCGTCGGAAGCGTAAACATCGACAAATCGGTTCATATTACCGATAGTGAATTTCTGGATACCGTCTTCTGGGTTTTTTTGCCACTGTGGCTTCAAGATGGTTACCCATCTACCTGTCTGATTGTTATGCTTGACAGTGTGTGCGGGTTTCATGTCGATGCTTTGACCTGGCTTCCATTTCGAAGCCCCGGAACAGTCGTAGATTTTGACTGTATCATCGTACGATGAGGTGGCGATGTGCCCGCCGGCACTCCATGAAGCATGCGAGACTGACAAGCGTGATTCATGCTCTCCGAGCAAAGAAGGATGTTTCAAATCCCCCTTACCATTCATTTTCCTCAAGTCCCATACCTTCATGGTTCTATCCAAAGATGCGGTCACTAAAAGATACGAATGAAGAGGATGCATCGAGAATCCTCCAATTTTTTGATCGGAGAGCGTCCATAATTCCAGGCTACCGGGTACTCTGGTGTCGTATCGGCCAACAGAGCCATCCAGTGTTGAGAAATACAACATGTTTGGTTCAGCCGCAGGAATTTCCAGTGCCGAAATCGGTAAATCCTCGTATTGGTTTTCGGGAGCAAAGACTTGGATAGAGGTGCCTTTTTCCAGATCAAGTTTCCGTATTGAAGAATCATAAGAGGACGAGTATATGGAATTTGCGTCTGCTTGCGAAAATGCAAACGAGGTAATGGTTCTCGCGTGAACTTTGAATGCCGATATGACGGGATCTGGGATACTCTCGTCATCGTCGTCTACCTCGGGGGCCGTTTGTGAACCGTCAAAGACTCCCATCGCGCCTTCTTTGTCTCCGGCAAACACAATGGGTTTGTCTTCGGTCGGATGGAAGCCCAGTGCGTATACTCTTTGCGGTGTGATTTTGATAGCTATAGACGGCTCGTTACTAATGTTGGTTCGAGCAGAAAAGCAATGCGAAACTTACCATTGGGTATCCAATGCTCATACAGCCTCAGGCCGCTCATTTGTGATCGTAGTTCCTTCAGGCTGACATCGGTAGTCTCTTTTATATCGTAGTCTGAAAATGTTCGCACACCGGGCTGCGCTCCGCGAAAGATGCCCTTTAATCCATCCATACTGCTCGTGTACTTTCTGCCGTCGACGACAATATCGCCCAAGTTCATATCATCGCCGCTGCGAAGTCTCTTTGCCTTGCTTTCAGCAGCTTGATGCTCTACCTCCACCTCTAGTTTCCTCTTCAACACATCATCGTCTGCAGACACCCCGGCAAGTCGGGAGCTCATGCGGGTGCCACGCCGAGGCTCTCTGAGCACTGGCTCGGCCCTCGTCCTCTTGCGCGGGGCTGATGGTTTGGACACAGGTTTGTCTGGTATAATATTTTTCGCTGTAACAGAGATTTCGGACAGCAGAGCTTTGTTTGCAGCAATGTTCTCCAAACGGCGGCGCTCGAATGCGCTGAGGCCATCGCTTTCCTTTTTTGGAGCCATGATTGGTACGACGTTGGACAATAATTCGAAAGCAAAAGAAGGAAATCTGGTGTGAAATCGAGCGTGTACAATTCGCAATCGTCTGATGCCAAAAAAAAAAAAAAGCTGGTGTTAGCACCGTGTCCAATCGCAGGAAGATGTGAATGGCTGCTGACGGGGGATTGAATCCAGAGCTGAATTAAGAGAAATCGCGTGGGACCGCGTCTCGCCGTTAATTGTCTGGCGCGAAGTCACGCGCATCAATTACCGACTAAATTTAGGCGGCACTCTTAGGAATCAAACCGCCTGCGCAAAGTCCAAGATGCAGTTCACCGAAGATTAGCCGTGTAAAACACCAGGATGAGCATTCAGTGATGGGCTCCAGATTTTAGAAAATTTCGCCGTGGAAAGAATTGCGCATCGGCATCTCTAATTCAGGGACTCTGGGTGCATTTTCATATCAGTCAGCCATGTCGTCGACCATGCTTCCGTTTTTATACCAGACTCGGACCCTTCAACGGGCTATCAAGAGTCCCCTTGTGGCGTTGACTTCTGCCCGTCTGATGCACTCTACACGACGGCCCAAAAAGCTTGTAGATAATGCCATCCCGTTTCAATGGGAATCCAAAGAAGACCAAGAGCTGGAGGGCAGCAACTCAGAACGAGTCTCCACCATCACGCCTTCTGAGGCCCAGATTTTCAAGAAAATTTTCAGTGAAATTGCCGAAGGCAAAATGCCACCCGTGAAGAGTCGGACTCTGGTTCAGCAAAGTGTCACTGATGCGCCTGCTATAGGCGGCGAGAGAGAGAGCTCTGGCTCAGCCCGCGTACTGGTAGAAAAGGCCCGCATCACTGAGTTCCGAGAGAAATTCTTGAGCCGATATCCCAAGTCGCTCCAAAACGCTGCCCAAGTTGCACTGGGCCTGTATGAGGTCAAGCCACAAGACCCGGAGTCTGGGCAAGAAGCCCAGATGATCGAGTTGGACGGCGCTGATGAGGCTACATGGGCTGAGCGCACAGAGCGCGAGCTTGCTAGAAGCCAGGAGTGTGAGAGAGTAGAATCTTTGATGAAGCAATGCAAGACTGATGCAGAGCTGTGGAGCGTCATGGAGAAAGAAGTCTTCTCTCTGCCGGAAAAGCTGCATATTGCACAGACAAAGCGAACGGCAAAGGGCAAAAAGAAGGCGTCCCGGCAATCGAGTGCACTCGTGGAAGATGCTGAGGCAAGTCTCTACCAAGAACAGTCAGCATTGGAAATGGCCTCGCAAGATGAAGAGCGAGTGATGGATATTCATGGCCCGCTTTACTCTCGGTTCCTCAGCACTGCCTTGGACCTCTTTAACTCGGCATTCGCTCGACCTTCTCCATATATATTCCAGATCCTCCCCCGCATTAAAGAACTCGGCTTACCATCTTTTGTCCTTGGCGTCTCGACGCCATTTTATTCCAAGCTGGCGGAGATCCACTGGCAACGCTTTGGAGATGCCAACTCTGCGCTTGATATGCTGGAGGAGATGAATTCTGCAGGCCTGTTTGCGAATAAAGAGGCACATGGCCTTCTTTCGCAGCTGCGCAACCATCTGCATGCCTGCACTTGGGGCGGCCAAGGCCCGTTTGTGATGGCAATGATGGAGTCTTCTGAGTTTGGCAACGCATTGATTCAGAGGATAGAATTTATAGAAAAGATGGTTGAGCAGTCGTCACATGACCGGTTCAAGGACCCTTCTTTTTAATGAACTTTGCAGCAACGGAAACAATTTCTCTCTCTCTATTATAGCCTTTGTCCTCTTAATGTTTCTAGATATGTTCTTTTAGAAGCATTCATCGTTTATTTGCCTGTACATCTCCAACAACCCTCTCAGAGAGCTGTGGCCGGAGCTGGCCGTATGCGCCATAAAGAGGAGAGCTTAGCTTATATCAATATCAACTTACGAATTCATGACCACTCAGCACCTTCATTTTTTGTACAATATTCCTTTGTGCAAGACACGCATAGATATAGACAGTATTCTCTTCTCTCTTACCATATACGGCTGAAAGGCCCCAACATGGCTTTGGAACTATTGTGCATATGCACATGCATGTTTCACTCGAATTCCTTCCCATGCCAGGTGGGATGCCGTGATTGGATCTAATGCAACCGGGGGGCAAAGAAGCTCTTGACCGACTGCTTCAGCTGGGCTGCTGTTCGCCATCTTCGCACTGTGCCTTCGTAACCTGCCGTTGCTTGCGTCCATCTCCTGCATGAGATGCATGCAATCACACCATCTCAGGTACTTCAAATGCAGCCTCAAATAGATCTGGTCAGATGTTTACTTTTATATATCCCTCAATCTCGATGAGATGTTGCTTTAAGGATAGATAAATAGAGTACCTCCACCCAATGATTGCGCTAAACCTACTATACCTCTCCCATGATTTATATGTCATTATACCATTCAGACCTATATCTCTACCAAAATATCACAGCATCGCAAGACTTGTTGTTCCAATAGCTAGAACCAACAAATACTCAACATGGCTACGCATGGGAAAGACGATCGTGTTGGTCGATCTTCTTCGCTCTACCCAAGATTACACCTGTTGCAAATGCCGTTGGAGGTTCACTTCAAAATCTTCTGTGAGCTATGGGAAGATCGGGACTTTGACCTCCTCATGGTCATTAAAGATTACGAAGACAGACACAATGACGAAAATCCCATCACTCTCGCCTCTATTGCCTTTGTCCACTTCTCCAATCGCCCAAACACACATTGGCCGAATGAAAAGATACCTTGGGACAGATATGCTCCATGCCTCATCAAAACGGAGATTCTTTGGTTCAATCGGCGGATACATGGAGGCACTCGCAGCAACAAGAATTATTTTAACGTTTTCAACTTGATGATATGTTGCAAACAGCTGTGGGAAGAAGGAAGTCTTGCATACTGGCGCTTCAAGCAGCTGCAAATTACGATTTCCAGAGAATTCGGAGAAATCCCACTGGGTGACGAAGAAGAATTTTCTATGGCTCAATGCACAAACAGCAAACTCTTGGGTGGCGTCATTGGAGAGAGCGTTAGAAACTTGACACTGCGATTCGACGATAAAGTGTTGAACTGCCGTGTAACCCGTTGCGAGACTTTACCGGGCGTGATGAACTGCAAGCGCCATGCCGACGCCACTTTTATGCCAAAACTTCAATGGGCTCGAGACACCATCATGAAAGCCCTTGGGCTCTTTACCAATGTCACAAGTCTAGTACTACTTATCGAAAACAACCGTATATTCGACTTATATAACAACCTTGGAATCTTTGGCGAAATCATGGACTACATTAAAGAGGAGAGGCCCATGATCAAAGTAGTACGAATCAAAGGAGGTCAATGCGAGGATCTTGTGAAGAAGTGGCATCTTGAGCTTGATGCTTCTGTGTCGGGGACCACCTGGTCCATGAACCCTTGCGTTCCCACATGTCAATCGAAGAAATATAGCGACCATGCAGACAAATTCGATGTGACACCGCGAGAAGTTGACCTGCGTCCAGATTTTTCTTGAAATCAGTTATGCCTTTAAGATGTGTGAGGATACTGTGGAGGTCATTTAGAGATCGCAAAGCAAGGGGTTAGATACGGCTATATGTGCTAATGTGTGCTGCTATTATTCTACTGCTTCTACTGCTGCTAGCCGGAGGTTCTTATACTGAGACCAAGCCAAATTCCAGAATGATATTATTTACAACGCTGTCTGCCTTGCATAAATTTACATAAGCTATGAACCAGATATTTATTTCGTTTCCTTTCTATTAGAACCTCCATATTCTAAGAGAAAGTCCAAGTTTTCCATCTTTCGTCTTGATACAACTGGCGGAGTACATTAGCAGTGCTTGTCACCTCAGCAAATGGATTCAAGCTTTCTATATGGACTCGATGAACTATCTCAGCATCGACTCCCCCTTTGCCAAATGCCCTTGTGGCATCGCCGATGACGACGATTCGGGCCATATCAATAGCGTAGTCAACTAGATCTTCTTGGCTAACATCTTGATTACCGTAGACGTGCTTCTTTGACCCGTATACCCCGGCCCCGTCAGTTGACAACCATTTAAAGGTATCTTCAACATATCCCGGCCCTCCCCACTTCCCATCCATAGCTAAATCATAAGCTGAGCGCACGGTGGTGCTAACAGCGTGGTCTGTGGGGATCCCAGCGATGAGGAGCGTTCTAATATTTCTCTTCTTTAACAAAGATTCCAGAGGCGTATTGTTGAAAACGTTTGGGCCCCGGGAAGTTATGACTACCTCATTTAAGGGTAAACGAGAAGGGTTGTCTAGCTCGGGTGAAGCAACAGGCTCAGACGAAGCAACAAGCTTAGAAGACATAGTAGACTCAGACAAACTAGAAGGCTCAGTAGGCCCTTCTGGCCTCTGTATCAGCGGGACCGAACATTCTAGGAAGTCTATGCCCTTCTTCTCTTCACCATTTGTGCCATAAGGACCGACTTTTTCTGAATATAATGGAGAGTTGACCCAAATGGGTTTGAGTTGGACGTGAATAATGAGAGGCAGCTTATCCTCCGGCGTAGTCTCAGAATAACTGCGGAACTTGGCAATGAGACTGGTCACGTTCTTCTCGTAGTCGGGGTTGGAAGCACCGTCGCCCCACGAAGGATCGCGATATCCGTATTGGCTATGTATGATGAGAAGCGCCGTTGACCTCCATGCCGGAATAGGTGGGCAATAGCCACCGGGCCAGGAATATTGCATAACCGAAGGTTGACGCAGCATTTTGTTTGAGATTGTCTGGTGTAAATGCACCAATTGAAACTTGAAATAGCCCCGCTCAACGAGAGACACAAATACGTGTAAAACCAGGAGCCCACTTTAGGTAGTTTGGCAAGCTGGTGTAAATACATGTACCTATTGTAAAGCAGACGGTCGCATTTTCGTGGACTTCATACCGCAAAGGATAAAATGTTTGTAATATACTCAGTAAAAAAAATGTTTCATGGGGACCTTTTTTCTCTTCTTTTTTAGGATAGCTGTAAGTCTTCGCAGACTTAGGATACAAGGAGCTACGCAATCCGACTCAAAGGCAGCAGTGTATATGTAAAATTTCACATATCTACTTTGAAATAATGACAGATGACAGAACTCAATGAGTTGGATGCTTTTATGGTTAACCACACACCTAATTGCGTCTTGTTTCTCAGGTTTCTGCAGGGTAAAGCCTGCTCGGCAGTTGGAAGTCAGAGGTGCAGGATTGCATTTAAGGGTTCTAGGCCGCAACTAATACGAGAGCAAATATTTGGTGAAAGCTGAGCTTCCAAGCTCCCTAATTGCAGGACTGGTGAAAAGCTGTGGCGTTCGCTTTAGTTCGGCAGATGCTCATGAACCCAGAGCACACAGTGCAATTTGACATGTTGAGCAAGGGTTCTATGCAATCAGCTGGGGTCCCTGCTGCTTCTTCCCAAAGCTTGATTTGTATTTAGGTTGGGGGATCGATGCCGTGCCAGCATTGCATGGTTCGGAGGGACCCGATGTACTCTTTCTCACTACTATTTCTCATCCTCAAAACGAAAATTCCAAGGGCGTTAGTTTGGGCTACACGAGTCTTATGCTTCAATCTTCTCTTATCGAGCTGGTTGCTTCAAATTTGAAAACAAGTCTAGGCAGCTCATCATGCCTCAAAACTAGGTCTAAATTCAACCTTGTTTACGAAGACTCACTGCCGGAGCCCACCGCTCCGCCTATCCCCACCTCCCCTAGCCAGAAGCAGTCTCATCATGCACCTGGAACATTCAGCCTCACCACTGCTAGTTGCAGAAAAAGAAACGAAAGCCCCATTCTAACTGAGTACAAGACCTATTATCACTGGATGGAACACACTAAGATCTCCTTGTAACGGGGCCGCGCCAATCAAAAGGTACATGGTTTTATTCATAAAACACGTAGTAAACTAACGTACCTTTTCATAATGAAACTCTGTGCTAGAACTGACAATTCAGCTGGTTATAGGGGGCATCTAAATGCTCCAATCTATACAACACGCAATCACGAAACATCAACAGCAACATCAAATTCTACCATCACAAAAATGCCGCTCCAACCTCCTCCGATTGATAAGTTGTTTATAACAGCAGAGGAAGCATTTCAAGCTCTTCAAGATCATGCGCGAGAGGAAGGGTATGCGCTTGTGAGAGCACGCGCGACTTCATATCAAAATAACTTACCGCGTCGTTATGATATCTCGTGTGTATGTGGGAATGGCGAATACAAGCCAAAGGCGGCTGGGATACGCAAATCGAAGACAAAACGAACAGGCTGCCCGTTCAAGATGAAGATTGTGCAAAGAAAGGATTCAGGCGATCGTTGGAAGGCAGGAATCCTCTGTGGAGAGCATAACCACGCCTCTGGCCTCGCGGTTAATTTTCCTGAACACCGGCGCGCTGCCCTGACCAAGGAACAAAGAAACAACATTGAGGTGCTCCTAGAGAATACAAGTCTCACAGCAAGGGCGATCAACGAGATTATGAAGAAACGACATCCTACTATTCTTCTCACCGAGAAAGATATCTGGAATATACGGCAAAAAGCCTTGAAAAAGAAAAGGTGGATAGGTGCAGCAGACCTAGATACAGAGGTAGCGGAAGCGCTCAAGAAAGCAGGAGTTTTATAGCTCGAAAGCCATAGCTACAACTCGAGTCGCAATTCATACACTGTGGAACTTGCTACTGGACATTGTGGCGCCAGCAATCATGCACCTACTTCTCTCTCCTCTTTGTATTCAGGCCAATAAGACATTGGTCCATGGTTGATGCCGCCTTGTATACACGTCCCGGCTTGGACCCTGACACCGGGGCAGCCCAGCGACCTGAGCCGTCGATCACTAAAAATAATCAGCCTTGGGCTGAAGCTACCGGTGCAGGCATTAGGATAGCTCCTCTCTAAACAAGACTTGGTGCGGGAGCCTATCCCTGATGGCTTCAGTGCAATTTCCACAATGCAGCTTTCATCCTTGATGCCCAGCGGTGGCGTCGAATGAGTCAATCTGCCGAGTTTTAAAAAGCAAACAGAACAAGCAGCCCACAGACTTCCCGGTAACAAAGTCAAATGCCGTTAGTACGAGGAGATATAGTATGATTTATGCAGAAGCTGCAGCTCGTGACATCGAGTGAGCACCTGTTTGGGTCTTCAGCTTTAGCGATAGCGGGCAGAGTTTTGATAGGTTGCCGAATGGCGGAGAGACACGACTGCAAGGAGGACGCGTTCTGGTCAGTTTCGACTTATGCAATGCAAGCTGGCTCGATAATTGATGTATCATGTCATTGGCACCACCATCTTCACGGTGCTTATCCTCTGCTGCAGTGACTATCATCCGCCCGAGCCGAGTTTTCAGACCTCTTCTGTTCTCCTATCTCGCTGCCGGATTATTATAGCGATCTTTTTGTAGATTTGAATGTATCTTTTGGGATGACTTCCTCATCTCGTAATTTGACTTTGTACAGCCTGCCTGGTTACGCAATAAATGGCGTTACACCAGGTATTATTTGGGCAAGGCGTCTCATCATTCCAACCCTTTGTGTAATACACATGAGATGCGGCTGAAATTAGCTTACAGGCCAGAACAAGCTCGTCCCAACGCTAGACAGAATATGCTCGAGCGCGTCCTCTGACAAGAGCCAATGGCCATGCTTGGGCCCTCGCGCGTGGATCTAGGCTTATACTTGTCAGTAGCAAATCTGACAGCCACTGACAGCTTTGCAGGCTGGCTTGTTGACTGCTACCCCTAGCATCATAGGTTGTCGGTCCGCCTTGGGACAGACTATTCAAGTTCTAAAATGAAAGGATTTTGCGTGGCTTTGGAGCTAGAGCATTCGTTTACATGAACCTCAAAGTATATAATGGGCGGCAGATGCTCTCAGTGCCGGCGTTGGCTTCTTGACTTCTTGTCCTGGCATCTACCACCACACGTTCTCTAATAACATACCTAAAATTCCTTCTCATTCACCTCTCGTCACTCATTTACTCTTTTACAGCCTCTTCTTGATACCCAAACCCCGCCATAAACATGTCTGCGCCTACCGAGTCTCCGGCCATTGCCCCTGATGCAGCTCCCGTTGCAGCGCCAGCACAGGCTCCTGTTCAATCTTCTGCACCTGCTCATTCCAGCCCTATCAATGATGATGATGTGAAGCACTGGAAGGATCGTTTCAACGATGTCTTGTCTCGACCTGGTGAACACATCAACTCCAAGTCTCCAGCTGGCGCCTCTCAATGGAGCACAAGTCTCTTCGATTGCTTTTCCCCCATTGACACCTGCCTCATCACATGCTATTTGCCGTGTCTGACGTTTGGAAAAACGCACCATCGAGTTCACAAGAACGGAAAGTTGGAAGGTTATGAGCCTGTCAACACCTCGGTATGTCTAATCTCCCCAAGTATTACAAGTTGAAATCATGGCTGACAAGCTCTACTCTTCAAGTGTCTCCTTTTCTGTGTGCCTGGTCTGCATTGTATCCTTGCGAGCATGCAACGAGCTTCCATCCGCGAAAAGTACAATCTTGAGGGCAGCTGCATTGAGGATATGGCAAAGTCCTACTGCTGTGCTTGCTGTAACCTCATTCAGCTTGACAAGGAGTCGGCACATCGCGAGGCTCTCCTGAACAACGTCAATTCTGAGCAGTATAAGTCTAACGAGGGCATGGCATATCCCGGAACCAACTAGAACCGGGTCTTGCGCTAAACAAAGTTTAACAGCGTGGAAGAATTATTTGTAAACTTGGTTGAGGTTAATGGTATTAGTGAATGATTGGCATGTTCACTTCGATGGAATGTGTGGATGGATACCCCCATTAGTTCTAATGTTATAATTTTACATTCAATCTTTAGAGTTCCAAGGTTTCCTCTACTGTGCATCTACTACATCCAGCCCCTATTCCTGCCACGGTGAAATCCCAAAGTGACGGTAAAATCCTACCTCGCGCATGCCAGAATTAGTAAGTCTGATTAATGAGCATATCGCCATATCTGCCTAGGTAGTCATGAGTAGCCAAAATTGTTCTCTTGAGAGGGTCGTCCAAGCGAGAGAGCTAACGGTAGTATGATTTATACGCAGGGTAATTAGTTTCTACTTCTTCTGATGCTACTGCAACCGCGCTCAATGGCAGGCAGTTCACTATCGGTGCCCCAGTGGTAGTGGTAGCAGCAAGAGAGGTGGAGGCATGTTCATTTGTTACATGATTCCTCTTGTATTAAAACCAACACTATTCCCGTTTCAGTGGTTATTCATCTAGTGATCGTCCTTCCAAGCTCATATTCGCAATCTTGACAACTCCGAGAGAGAGAGAGAGAGAGAGAGAGGCTGAAGCCTCAGATCTCAGGCTTCTTTGAACTTACGCTTCTCATTATCCGAATGATCAATTAGAGCATCATATTTCTCTTCTTTTCCTTCTTCTTCTCTCTCTTGCTACTACTGCCGCTGCTGTCGCTGTAGTGCTCGGCTGGGGCCACACCACTCATCTGCCCGTTCATAGTCTCCACATAGGGAGAAACGGAATGACAATAACGTTGGTAGAAGAGCCAGCATGGCACAGAAGGTCTCTTCGGTTTTGAGAGAGGCCTCTACCAAGGCTATCTCTGCCAGGAATAGGCCATCCATTGATGACTAAATATATCCCTATTACTGTGAGGTACGCGGCATAGATGAGCTAAAATAGATCCAGGCGTATATTAAATTATTATGTTACGATATATTCTTGTGGAATTTACAGGAATTTGGCACTGCGACTTGTAGTCTACCGGGCTTTGAGGAGACGGGACAACGTACAGCAAGACCCTGCTAAGTAAGGCAGAGCCATACAACGTCCCTCAGTGAATTGGATAGATGATAACTTTTATCTGTCTAGTGTGACTCGATCCGAAATAAGCAACTTAAAGAGTTCTAATCCTGGCTTCGGTTATAATTGCAAAGCCAGATATTATCTGTGGGACTTTGGCCTGGGATGACGAAATGCGAGATAGCTTTGAAAGGCCCTTGTAACATTTCCTGGCCACTTGGATCTGTCAATTTTTCCATTTTGGCTTTTTGAAATTGTATACAGAGATCAAGGAGAGGTGGACGATGCTGGTTGGGAGAAAAAAATGCCATATGCTTCGAAGAAAGGGTGTGGTAGAGCAGGTGAACCATGGGGTAGCGAACAGCTCGCAATAGACAATCCAGCCTTGCCGATCTACTTAACTGACACTTTACACAAGTTGTCCAGATCAAATCCTAGTTTCATCATTGCAATCTCAATAGAATCCGGTATATGATGAACGCAATACCACTCTGGGAGACATTAGCGTGTGCGGAACCATGGTCGTTAGTTAAGAATGCTAGCCGCGCAAATTAAAAGGCTGAACGTCACTTCGCTCCCCTCACTTTTGCCTAAATAAGTCGCCTCGGCTTTATCACAAGCCTTTGGCAAGGATAACACTGAGATCATGTGTTTTCAATGATACTCTTTGTGTTGCATCGCAGCAATTGAAGCAATGCGATGGACCTGCTGGAATCGCAAATTGTCGGCCCAATGGTAGCGTCTTATATGGGATATAAAAACGAGCCGACAGCAACAGCAACAATGGGTTTTCTGATGCACAACTTGCATCATTCTTTATATCCACAGTAATACCGGTATTTTTTTATATCTGGCAGCCATGAGGACGGTAGTCTTCTCATCACTGACCCTTGCTCTGCTGTCTCAGAGAGCCGGGGCTGATACGACACTCTCACTGAACCCGTCGACAACCTGGGGTACCTGGGAAGGCTGGGGCGTATCGCTTGCTTGGTGGGCGAAAGCTTTTGGCAATAGAGATGACTTGGCCCGTGTATTCTTCAGTCTGAATAGCCAATCCATCAATGGTCAAACCCTGCCCGGCCTAGGCTTCAATATCGCTCGATACAATGCAGGCGCATGCAGCAACAATACCTATGATGGCTCCAGCATGGTTGTTTCACCGAATATTAAGCCTTCTCGGCAGATGGATAGCTTCTGGCTTGATTGGGCTAGCTCCGACCCTACTTCGTCAAGTTGGAACTGGAACGTCGACGCCAACCAACGCGCGATGCTACAGAAAGCCAAAGCAAACGGCGCAAACATCTTCGAGCTGTTTTCTAATGCCCCGGCTTGGTGGATGGATTTAAACCATGACCCGTCAGGAAATGGCTTAATTGATAATCTACAATCTTGGAATTATGCCAACCATTCAGTCTATCTCGCCAACGTTGCTCAACATGCCAGCCAGAACTGGGGCATCACGTTTCAGTCAGTCGAGGCATTTAATGAACCTACTTCACCCTGGGGACCTTCTGGTACTCAAGAAGGTTGTCATTTTTCTATATCGACCATGGCTACAGTTATTCCATACCTCAAAACTGCACTCTCTCAAAGAGGGTTGTCGTCCTTTATTGCTGCCGCAGATGAGACATGGTATGACTTGGCTATTACGACCTGGATTGGCCTAGGAAGCTCTGTACAAAGTCAAGTGACGCGTATCAATGTGCATGGTTATCAGTACGGCGGCGGGCGACGTGATGTCCTCTATACCCTTGCCAACGCAGCCGGGAAGAGATTATGGAATAGCGAATATGGCGACGGAGACTCAACGGGCGTTTCTTTGTTTTCAAACCTGCTCCTCGACTTTGTTTGGCTCCACCCTACTGCCTGGGTATACTGGCAAGCCATTGATATCTCAGGCTGGGGACTCATCGTTGGCGACAACGACGCGTTGACACTCTCATCGGCAAGCACTAAATATTTTGTGCTTGCACAATTCACGCGCCATATCAGGCCTGGCATGCAGATTTTGACAACTTTAGATGGAAACACAGCCGCGGCGTACGATGCTAGTTCTCAGAAACTCGTGATTGTTGCTGGAAATTGGAATAGTTCTCAAACAATCACCTTCGATCTTAGCTCGGCTAAGACTACTCCAGCGAATGGGGCAACAGTTCCACGATGGAGCACTCAAACGAGCGGTGGAGATCAGTATAAAAGCTATACAGATATAAAGATCAATAACGGACAATTTTCTGTACCTTTTTCTGTTGGGCAAGTCCAGACATTTGAGATTAGCGGCGTTGTTTTAAAATAGGTTATGGTATAGTTGTATTTAAAAGATTGCAGAGAAGTAATGGCTTGCAGTTATCTTCTTGCTCCTCTTGCTCTTCTCGTGCCTGGAATTATCCTTCTGCTTGTCCATATTCATCTCTTCCTATTGTTTCTCTTACTAATTCTCCTCCCCCTTCCCCTGCTTCTTGATGCCTGGCTAAGCTTGTGATACCACCCATATCAACGTCTTTCACGCTCCATGATACAGGAAAGAGAGGCCCAACAGCAGAGGGAAGAATGAATTGCAGAAGAAGCATAAGTAGCAGCTTGAGAAGCAAGTTCCTGTTTATCTTAGTCTCGCTTCTTAATACGGGGAAAACTTAGCCAGACTGCAGATATTACGGCAATGAGTGCCAGGATAATGGGCTGTAAGACTGAAACGCTCCTATGTGATGCAATAGCACCAATAATAAAAGGAAACACGGTTCCTCCTGTACCACCCATGGCCATGGCGAAGCCAATGGCGCTGACATGAATGCGCTTTGGCAAGAGTTTGGCTGTCACCATGACGGCACCAGGGAACATGGGCCCTAAGAAGAAGCCTAGAAATGCAACGGCGACAGCAGAAACAACAAATTGTGGGACGAGCCAGAAAAGAAGCTGCAAGCCGAGACAGATGCCAAGGTATATGGCCAAGCAAAGCCTCTCGCCGAATCGCTCTGTCACAAATCCCAAAGACGCGCGACCGACCGCCATGCCTGCCCAAAAACCCGAGCCAGAGATTCCAGATGCATATGCCGAAGCGTGTCGAACACGGAGCATGAATGTGACAACCCAGCCACCGAGGCCGACTGTTCTCCACGAGTATTAGTGTAAGAATGCAGAAGACAAATATTGCAACACGCATAAGGCCAACGTACCTTCTACGCCCATGTAAGCAAAGAAGAAAAGCGCACAAAGCCAGGTGACTTTGGACTTCATTGCCTCGCGGGTTCCAGCACTAGGAGCCCCAGCTTCTGCATTCTCACTTGCATGTTCCGCTCGATACGCGGCGCCGGTCTTATCCCAGAAGAAGATGACGAGCCCGACAAACTCTAGACCTGCCATGCCAATCTGCAGATGAAAAATTAGTTTATAATTGCTCTTAAGTCGTAGACGTGTTTGTCACCAAAGTCTCACCATGATATAGTAGTAGGTATACCAAGGCAGGCCAGCTTTGACGACCATGGAAGTGGCAATCAACGGCGAAAACAAAGCTCCAAGTGAGTAGCACGAATGCAAAAACCCCTGAATCGTATTCGCCTTGTCCATAGCGCCAATCCATGCGCAGAAACATGCGTCTGTCAAACCATTGCCAAAACCGCTGATGGCATTGCACACAACAAGAGCTGGATACGGCGGGTGAGAGGCGAGGACAGCAAAAGTTATGAGATGGCACATGGGTGCCATAATGGCCACGCCTCGCTGGCCGAATTGGACATGGATTCGGGCATTGGTAAACGCAGCGACTGAGTAGCCGATGAAGGGGGTGAGGAAAATAAGAGATATGACGGTGTAGCTGAGATTATAGTACTCTTCAAGCTAAAAAAAAAAAATTGGATGATTTTGCGGTGAGCAAGAATACTCGACATATTGATTGCTAGAAAGTCAAGGTTGGATGAGATGGCAACTTACATATGGGATCAATGCCTAAGCACGTTGCGCATTAGCACATAATCATCATCCTTATTTCACGATATGGCCACCCAACAGAATACATTCAACTTACACCAACAGCGGCATCGTTCATGCCCGCAATAGCAAACGACACAAACGCAAACGCGAGCCGGCCAATGTTCTTCACCGGCCGATTCCACCTCTCTGCCTCAGTAAGAGCATTCATCGGCGGGCGGCCGCCATCATCGCCCTCTGAAACGTGCGGTCCCGCCTCTTCAACATGTGGTGCTTCTTTTGTCTCTGGGCTGATCTGGCGGCCCGAGGAGGTACCCGAGCCGAGGTGCCGCAATTCTATAGCTTCCGAGGCGGGTCGCGCTTCATACTGAACAGTAGTTGTGGTTGTAGACATATTTATGGAGCTTGTTTCATTAGATTATTGTCACGATATTCAAATCTATCTCTCTGTCCCGTTACGGAGTACACGGATGTGAAGCTGGAGAGGTAGAATCCTTGAAAGCCGTTATCGGTGCCTAAGTGCGGAGTTTCTCTGGGCGCCCGTGATTTTGGTAGATCCCAACCCGATTATCTTGCCGCGGGGCATCAGCAACAACTATCCGCACACATTGTCATCAAGAATCCTTTTCCCCTTTGGGATAAAACTATCTATATGGCGTTCTGTTCCCTTCTTTTTGACAAATTGTCGATCAGTAAGGGGATAGGTTACTCTCGAAATGATGTAAAAATTCGCACCAAGAATACGCACTTCCATCTTAGCGTCCAGCTTCAAAGTGCTGGTGCTACATGGAGAGCTCAATTCAGCTAATTGCTTTTGCATCATAAAAACAACCCAATGTGCTTAAAAATGAAAATAATCTGATCCTTTCAGAGACTCGGTAGGATTTAAGCTATACTGCAGCACCAATCATTCAGCTTAATCTCATATAGTAGGGTGGCAATCTGATCGGCAGACAGCCCAAGATGAAACAGAATAGAGCTGTCCACCAATATATCGAGCCCGTTACTTTCCGGAAAGCTTCCGGAGACGTGAGGTGGCATTGTAAAACGAGTAGCGTTGTTTATGCCTTGTTTGAGGTAAGCGCTCATCGCTATTCGGTATACGAGAATCCGAAATAAAGATGAGCAGCCATAACGGAACTTGTAACTGTAAATGAACCCGAATCACGTTTCCTCGGCGTGAAGATATCGTATACGCTATAGCGGCTATGCTAGCTAGTACTTAAATACTACTCTATTTACTAGTAACAATGTTCAGGGGTAAGTTCTGCCTGCACATTTCACTGCCGAAAAGATCGTTCTATGCTACATATTCTTGTGCAATCACCGTGTAGAATATACTGTGGAATGTATCCCATGGTATTGCCTTTCAGGGGAAGATGCATGTAATGTGTGATCAATGGCACCCTGGCGGAACAGCAACCGAAGACATCATCTCATCGGTGATTCATTTTGGCTCACAGCCTGTTCCTGCAGCGATTTTTCGCAGAGCACGCCTTTCTTCTACGCCTAAACTCCGGCCTTTTTCTCTACCGTTGGTGGTAAAGTGTTTCTTTCAGCTCGGAGTTTGAATCTCCAAAGGGTAATGTAAATGCGTCCCGTGAATTCACTTGCTTTATGCCGAGGAACCTAGACTATCTCATATCACATGTCCCCTTTTTACACAATGTCGATACAAAAAGGAACACCCCTTTCCCCTCTTCAAACCTCGCACAAGCTTCATAAGTAGTTTGGCGGTGTCTGCAAGCCAAATAGGTATTGTATGCCTTGGAAATGTCATTTTACTCATTTTCACATGTTCTTTTTTAGTTATCGGCTGAGGGGACCCTCCAGCTGTGATCCGGCTGCGGTACATTGGGGGCGAAAATGCGCTTACTCCGCTGGCTTCGCAAGGGGTCATCTATTGCATTTGACATACTATGTCAAAGACAATGGATACAATTGAAGCCACATCAAAGCCGCTTAATGGATCTGTGATGAGCGATATTAATAATTCCTTACGATTTTTTCGACCTTTAATGTAACGCATCGGCTATTGCCACCCATGTAGTCGAATGGAAACGGTATTTCGCGGCAATTCCCTTTTTTAGACTGCTTACTAGCACTCGCACCAATAACGGCCTTGACTATTCCTCCATATGTGTACTTGATAGCAGGGGGAGCTTGATTGCGGAGAATAAAAAGAAAGCTGTTTCTGGGTAGCTATTCCTATAAGTTGCTTTTGCCGGCCAGGTGATGAAACGGCCTATTCTTGGCCGTACGTAATCCCCGGCAGGCCAATCGCAAATCATTTCCATTGCAGGTATACTTGTAATAAATATGCACCTTCTAAGCTCTAGGGCACGCGCTATCATGGGCCGTCAAATGAGAGAATAGGGGTATGCGAGCGCTATATTAGAGCTTGCAAGCATCCCGCTTTCGATCTAATACAGTACTAGAACGCGGGTGAATCGAGCGAATCCTGTCTTTGTTTTTGCTTTTTATTTTTCTTTTGTTCGGCCGTTTGAGCTAATTGCGCCAGGAGTAGGCAGATAGCACTTCATTTCAATTATCAATCTGGTCTAGTAATTCTTTGCATGGCTCACCCCGGCTCGCCAAAAGGTCTCTCGTCATCAACAAAAAGCAGTGTTCTATTAACATATTAACATAAATCTATCTATTCGTTCTAATGTAATTTTTTTCGCTGCGGATGTATCTTTAATCACGATAGTTTGCTAATCAGACGGAAGAGAACCCGCCAGCAGAGTCGTCATCGCTCCTCATAGCAATCGTCAGCTTATGATCTGCATCTCCGTACCCGGTAAACGGTTACAAGTACATGGTAGCCAATCGCGTCTAAAAGGTGAGATAATATAGAAAACAGCATAATTAGTGATCAGTACCATCTCATAGTGTTGATATGGGGAAATGAAAATCCGCCCCTGAAGTCTTCTCGAATGGTTATCCGCGGATGTTTGTGACTCGTGAGGTAGTCTGCTTTGGCCGATCTTCATGCACTATGTCGATCTCAACATACTTTCGTATACCCCCACCTTCATCGTGTCCCAATTGGTGTCCCTGGTCCTGGTCCCGGCTATCGCTCCAGGCTTTGAGGTTCTGCATTCCGACGGATTCAACCATGCGCTCTTCGCTCTCATTCATTGTGAAATTTGTTATTGGATTTGCTGTCGGCGGTCCGCGGCCCCGCCAACTCTTGGAGGTCCCTCCAAAAGTGACAAAGCCTTTTGGTGTTAGACCCTCAGACTTTTGCGTGGAGCGCATCGAGTCAAGGATGGATCCGAAGATGGGCCCAAATAACCCTTTGAGGAGAGGAAATATCATGGGCAAGTTAGTTGTAACGACGGCAACAAAGGTTTCTCGGACAGCCCAAGATCCGGCCAATTGTGCACCATTTTCCGTGTCCTAAAACGTTGTCATGTCAGTTTTTCGTATTTGTAATGAGTAGATGGCATAGGAAGCGTACCAGTACGATTAAAACACATCGTAAAGTGGCACACACGACGACGAAAATACCGCTACTGAAGAGAAGCATGAGTCCAGCCTTCTTCAAAGGCTTCAGACTGGACCCCCATAGCATAGGCAGTGGGACTGATATGATGTATAAATCGGTCGTTACGTTGAATGCCCAATAGACCCAAATAATCTGATTAGACACGGCGGGTTGGCAAGCATCTATTGGTAAATTAGCAAAAAAGCCAAAAATGTTTCTTAAATCGAAAGCACTAACTTCCAGGGTCTGGGAATATCTGCCAGAACTTTTGAAAGGGTCGACACGAGAGGTAAAGATTTAGAGCTACAACAAGGTAGCTAGATGCAAGAAAGGCGAAACCAATGTAAATTCTAATGCGGTAATGTCGAGCCAGGCCCTCCTATCAAGACATGTTAACAAATGCGTAATCAGGTGAGGGAAGACGGGTCAACAGACGCGAGGAGCATACCGTCAGTCTTATATAAAACACAAGCAACGACGCCTTGAGTGTCCAAAGGAGCGTCGAGTACGTCGACCACCCTGCAAGCTGTATTTTTGATCCTATTACTCTAACAAACTGATTAGTGGGAGTTTATATAGCCATCTTTTACCTAATAGCTGCATACCTCAATCGAAACTCCGGGTCATCTGGTGAAAGCGCAGCCCGCTGCGCATCCGTCATACCGTTATTCGCAAGGCCATTTGCTACATGACCAACGCTATAAGCCAGAGACGTCTCAGCTGTATAAAATATAACAGCTACCCATGCGAGATAATCGTCACCACCTAGGCCTCGAAAGCCGGCATATCGAATACGAGAAATTGTTCTGAGGATGGTGACTGCGATTCCAACTCCAAGGAGAGTCCACGCTTCGATTGTGAATTGTTGGAAAGCTGCAGCTGCCGCGGCCTGTGATGCCGGATCTGGTGGAGGACTTGGCATGATGTATCATCTGATAGTAATAGGCTTATTTGTAGAAGTCTTCCAAAGGAGTGTCTAAGCCTTCGTATATAACTCCTCGACCACTTGCCAACCGTCAACCAAATCGACTAACAGAACACAGACTAACGGAAGAGCGAGATTGTCATATTTCACTCCTTTCAATCTCCTCTATGTATAAAAGCAGTTAGTATCTCACAGGAACATCACCTCTCATCGCACAGTGTTGGTTCGCTATCGCCGTTGTGTTAGGGTACTTACATGTCATTCTAGCCCGAAACCTCTTCGGCATACTGTTTGTATTTGCCGCAAGGGTCAATGCAACCCAACCGGCGTTAGAGAGTGCCATCAACCCGTTGACCCCGGCAGTAGGCTGTTCAAAGGTGGGCAATCTGCTTGCAGCTCCCCACCGTTGTTAGCGTAGGGGGGGCCGCGGTCTGAGAACCACGACAAGGGGGAGCAAAAAAAGGAATCCGCAAGACGAAAATACACACACAGCTTGGATTAAGAACGCCAAAGGTAGAAAAGACCCATAAGTAGAAGCGATTGAATTAGTAGATATCGTAGAGGTAATATTGTAAATAGTAGAATTAATAAGATTCATATAAAGCTATCTATGTAAAAATATCTTATAATCTGCTAATGCATTGGTAACGGATGGCAACGTGCGTGATAGTGCAACTGCGTGCCGACCGTAAGAAGATGCTCTAGTTTGTTGCTCCCCACTTGCACGGACGAGCACATGTCTCCACAAAGAGAAAGTTCACGTCTGCTCCCGCTTGAACAGATTGCATGTATTTACTTAAACCAAGCTTTGGAACCAGTATGAACCCAGAGTAGAATAAAATTGCTCAATTCATCTGCTGATCTCTCTCAATTTATCCACTTCAAACTGGGTTGAAGAATTCCCGCTTTTTAGCCCCAAAGAGCAACGGCATACCCATGCGGGTCTACAATCTGCATGTTGGCTATCCAGCCGGAGTATGGTGCTGGATATAGGGTGCAACACCTTGTCATATTTACAACCGAGCTAGTAACTAGAGAATCCTCAATCATAGTCTTAGGGGAGCTATCCGGTGGAGTGTAACAGACCCCCCTCCAATATCCTAGTGATCCTACTGCTAGGGCTCAGTATTTGATCAACACAGTTCCCCGTCATGGTGGTAGTCAGAGGGAAGCCCAAACAAAAAGAAAGGTTGCGACAAATCAATTCAGCTTGCAGTAGCCAGTGAAACTAATACACGATGGAGACATTTGACTGCGTCGTGGCTGGCGCTGGTAAATAACCCTTCCCTTGCGCCCTTCGCCTTTCTCTCTCTCTTTTCTTTTTCTTTCATTTCTTTTGCTCTACTACCCGTCTCAGAATGTCGCATGGGTTGAAAATTGAACTTGGAATGCTAATTCGCCATGCATGTTAGGATGGTATGGACTGGCCGCCGCGAAGCAATATCGCGCCGTCCACCCAGATGATTCGCTTGTGGTGTTTGACCCTCAATCCTCTGTCGGCGGTACCTGGGCCAATGAGCGACTGTATCCTGACTTGAAGAGCAACAACCTCTTGGGCACGTATGAATATCCAGATTTCCCGATGGACCCAAACGTATTCGACGTCAAACCTGGCCAGCACATCCCCGGGGAGGTCACCAACGCATATCTCAAAGCATACGTAGACAAGTTCAATCTCGGAAACTCGATCCGTCTCCAAACTAAAGTCACTGTCGCCGAGCATCAAGACACGGACAAAGGAGGATGGATCCTGACAATTGTCAATCAAGAGGGCCACGAGTCCATGGTCTTTGCCAAGCGCTTGATTGTCGCAACTGGGCTAACTTCAGAGCCCTTCATGCCTCACTTTGATGGCCAAGAAAATTTCGGCGGCAAGGTATTTCATAGCAAACACTTTCAACAGAATCGAGATACTATTAAGACGTCCAAAGCGGTCACCGTGTTTGGCGCGACGAAGTTTGGCTGGGATGCCGCTTATACCTATGCCACTGCTGGTGTTCAAGTGAATTGGGTCATTCGATGTTCGTTGGTCCATATTTCTTTTAAATTTTTTTCCTTCTAAGAATTCATAAGAATGAGAGACCTTAGATTGCTAACTCGAAATCTTGCAGCGTCCGGCCATGGTCCATGCTGGATTTCCCCGTCATATGTGACCCCATTCAAGAAATGGATCGAAAAGCTCGCCAGTACGTAAGGCCCAGTATGCTTCGTTTCGATGGAGCCACATAAAAGTCTAACCTGCACCATATAGACATGCGCTTCCTTACATGGTTCAGTCCATGTGTCTTTGGCGATGCCGCTGGCTACACCCACATTCAACGCTTCCTCCACGGCACTTTTATCGGTCGCCTCATTGTCAATGCATTTTGGGCAATTCTCGGAGGCGACGTCTTATCTCTCGTAGGATATGACTCACATCCCGAGACTGCGAAGCTGAAGCCTTGGACACCAGCCATGTTTACCGCAACTAGCTTCAGCATTCTCAATTACGACGGCGATGTTCTAGAACTCGTTCGCAATGGCAAGATCAAGATCCACATTGGTGAGATCGATCACCTAAGTCAGGGCAAGGTCCATCTTTCCGATGGCACCTCCTTTGATTCGGATGCTCTCATCTCCAATACGGGCTGGAAGAACACTCCTCCAATCAAATTCTTGCCCGAGGGCATCGAAAATGAGCTCGGGTTGCCACATGACATCGAAACAGACGCACCGGCAGAGGATCTTGCAAATCAGCAGGATCTCATCAACAAAGCCGATAAGGAGATCGCCAAGCGCTACCCCAGACTGATGAACCAGCCGATCTGGAACGAGAACTATGTTCCCTTGACAAGTCAAAAGGGAATCTCAACCAAGGAGACTGTCACTCCGTACACGCCACAAACACCTTACATGCTGTACCGCTTCCTCGTCCCGCCGTCAGAACGCTTTCTCCGCTCTCGCGATGTTGCGTTCTGCGGCTTCGTCAGCAACTTCAGCAACACACTTACTGCGCATATCCAAGGCCTCTGGATCGGCGCTTACTTCGGCGGCCTCCTCACACAGGATCCTGCGCGATCTGTGGACGATCCCAAGGCCATGAACAAGCTACGATACGAGACAATGTTGCACAACCGCTTTGGCAAATGGCGTTATCCTACCGAGACAAAGGCCCCCTCCTTCATCTTCGACGCTGTTTACTACCTTGATATGCTACAGAAAGACCTCGGGTTGAATCCTCGTCGTAAGCCAAAGGGTCTGCTCACGGAAGTGACGAGCCCGTATGGCGCAGAGGATTACCGGGATCTCAATAAGGATTGGGAAGACAAGACTGGCAGCACCAGGACGGCTTGAGCGAAAATACATGTATATTTCCTAGTACGATTAGCTAATTACTCACCTATTTGATATCAGCTGAACAATAGAGACACGCACTCGTCTTCAGGCCCACTCGAAAACTGCGGCTGAAGATGGAGAAGCTCAAGCATCCACATGGTCTACGCGAGATCCACGTCTAGCTCTGGTGATCGATCATACGAGTCAGTTGAATCCTTGGTGCAAATCTTTGACAGTATTGAGAACCAAAGTGACAGCTAAGATTGTTGAAACGCTCACGGATTCATTAATATGAGCTAGGAGTTTGAGAATGTAGTAACAAGTAATAAGGTGGTAATAGCAGTAATAGTAGTAGTGGTGGTGGTGGTAAATTGTATATTGACTATCCCTCTGTTCCACCGTACAACAAAGGTTTTTTTAGCCTAAATTAACTGCTCGTATATGAGCCCATACTTGTATTTGTACATGGTGTGAACCCTCAATTCCTCTCTGTCCAGCGCTGTACAAAGACCGCCCTTGTTATTATCTCATTAAATCGTTAATTCTCGCTTTTTACTAACCCAAACTCCAGATAATCAATGCCAGGAACCAGGGTATGAATGGTGTCTGGACGAACTAGGTAGATATTCTCCAATCTTGGATCCTAGTTTTTTGTTACTATTCCTAATAAAGGCCAAGTATATATAAAAGACAAACGAAAGCAAGGAAGGAGTTCAGAAAGACTCCAAGACAAAATCATGCCTCGTCATGAAATATCCGATCTGGCGTCTGACTTGGCGCTCTGTTTATCATGTATAGATACAAGTTGAACCTCATCGGTATCTCCATATTCAACTGTATATGATCTTTGATAGGCGATCCGGTTGGGTCCGATATCGGGATGAGAGTGTGATCTATCCACCTGTGACCCGGCACTATGTCCCAAGGGAAGGCGGCTCGCTCGTTTATTTGACGATCGATTGCGTCTTGAGCTCCTTCCATACCGTTCTGTCGTTCCCTGGAGCTTAGGGAACAGGCGAACAAGCAGGACGCGGAGAGAAGGCAAGCAAACACAGACAAGACCAGTGTTAATCTCCACAACGGACCAGACGCTAACGTCAAAGAAATCCCAGGTAGGATTAAGGCTATCGGAACCGAATTTGATAAGGGACCGAAGACGTAGAATACTGACAACAGTAACGCTGGTGGTTCGATTAGCCAGCAGATTCCAAAAAAAAGGGGGGGGAGGGGGGGTGGAACTTACAAAGCACCGATGCAAAACATCATTCCGACACCAACCTTGCGTCTCCAGTCCAAGTTGAGGCTTTTAAGCTGCCATAGGGGAATGGCCAGTACCCATATATCGATCGCTATGCTAATGGCGGCATTTGACCAGGCAATGGAATTGATGTTTAAACACGTGCCCTTGTGCTCCCCGTCCCATTTCTCCCAGTAAAATTTGACCGGTGTACATTGAAACACAGCAACTAGGGCGAAAGAGATACCAAAAGCTGAGCAGGCGGCGAATGTGGCCCAAAGAAGGCCTCGCACTGATTTGCCGGGGAAGATGCGGATATAGAAGAGCAAAAGAGACAGCTTAAGCATGGAGACTTCAAGAAAATAGAGTATCTCCATAATCCAGAAGTAAAGGCCAAAATTGGTAATCTGCGAGGGCGTCAGAGTCCAGATATCGCGACCCAGGCCGTGGTCAGACACTTTATAGACGCCGATAACAGTGCTTGGGATTCCAACTAAAATGGTAGAAACAGCCATCCAATCGTCACCACCCAGGCCTACATTGGACCAGAGTTTGTAAGCAATCCGTTGAAGCACAAAGATACCGGAGACGGTGCCGAAGACGTCGTTGAGGATAACATATGATCGAGATCGATCTCTGATAGGTTGATCACAGCCAACAGCTGTTAAATTCATCGTTGCTATAAGTAATTGTTAGGAGGTACTGCAAATGTGAAACCATTTTGTCTTTTCTGCAGTGCTCACATAAGGCTTGTTTGATGGTGCAGCTCTGTAAGACGCATGCCTGCATGGCCTGCTGCAACGTCGGATTTGTGCATACGCAAGTTGTGTTTGTCAAATCGCATGGTGACTTGGAAATTGACTTGACAAGACACTCTCGCTGTAACATGAAATTTAGTAGATGAAGCTAGGCATAGAAATGTCCTCCACAGGAGGCACGTACAGCACATGGAGGCATCTCAGCCACAGCTTGGAGGGCAGAGGCATCGGCCGAGCCAGCATCCTGACCCAACACTTTTGGCACGGCATCCAGAGCCGCGAAGGCTAATAGCCATAGATTCATGACTATTGGCTATTGTATTGCTATAATTGAGGAATACTAGACCGATGACCAAGTCGTTTATAGTAACGCCATATGAAGAAGAACGTCTGTAGAGCCGTTCGAAACTCGAGCGCAGAAGTTTAGAGTGTAGATTCTATGCATCCGCAGTCGATAGGAGTAGATAGTTAACACTACTAGTATGTAGGAGATAAATCGAGAGGATGTAAAAACGAAACCAAAAGATGCCAGCAAAGATATGTAAGTGATGAGAGTTGCCTGGCGAGAGAGGAGAGAGAGGGCTGAAAGGCAGTACAAAAATCTTCACTTTGGAGACTTTTGAAGATGAAAGCCACAGCTACGATGGGAAAATAGTTTATAGAAAGAGAGAGAGAGGGAAAAGTTGCCAAAGGGTGGCTGAGGTCCCAGTATTAGGGATAGCTGTGGTGAACATGGGGGGCGATCATACAGTACCTGCGAGGCTCCCCCACCAACCGATGACTTCTCAAGCAACCGTTTCTATTCGGATATACCCACGGAGATGCAACAGGCAAACAAGCTTAGGGCACTAGACGCCATTGTTGGCAGAACGAGCGTATTACATTCATTGCATGTCATGCTTTCCTGAGAGTCAAGCAGCGGGGCCGCCACTAATTTGGCGTTGAGGCGCTGACTAGAAAGAAAGCTCCTTCTTCGCTCGCGACTCAGGAACCTGATGTGGCAAAGGGTCCGTTAGATCCAATCATAGGGCATGGCCCGGCATGAAAGGCTACAGACGCAAGTCCCTGCTAGTACCTGGTGTCACATTTTCTGTGCCTCGACATATCGCTCCAAACCGCAGGCATCGTATAGATAGTAGCAACGGGGCGGCCCCACCGTGTGAACCGTAGCAGCGGACGGGCCTGATTGGCTTGAGGCGGATCGGTTCCGGTTGCGCGAGATTGGTTTTGGACGATATTATGCTAGCAACGATGCGGAGCTTGGAACATGGCCTTCGGATCAGTGCTTGGAGGAGCATTGCGGTGTTACTATTCATATCTTCGTTAGCTGTGCCAGAGCGAGAGGGAAAGGGGGGAGAGCCAAGCAAACCCAGCGCCCTGAGCCAGTCTCAGCCAAGCTGGAAACGACGGCCGAGCTAGGCTTCATGCCCGTGGAGAGTGCGGCTGAGCGCCGCTGTTCAGGCCGAGGAACGGAAAGGCAGGTAGCCAAGACGCCCTACGCGTCCAAGCAATAGCAGCGAGACTATCAGGATAGCATGTACAGTCTCAGCGTACAGTATCGGTGCTTTGCTGTGAGCGTGCCGTGCTTCCTCTTTTGCCGGGATCCCCCACATACTGTACGCATACAGCACATACAATACTATCGGCCATCAAGGGTGCTATACTCGGCCTTGTTCGCATCGCTCGTCTTGCTAGCGCAGGCCTGGCGCCGTCTTTCCAGAAGCTTGGCTCCAGCTCGAGACAAAGCGGCCAAGTCAGGGGACGGGGTTTGGGCTAAAAATGCAAATCGCATGATTGGCGTCGCGCTTTCAGCGATCGGGTTACGGCCCTTGGACCGATCGAGGCAAGGCCAGGCAGGCCTGCGACCGGCGCAAAGCCCCGTTGCAGAATTCACGGGCCAAAGGCGGGACGCAGCGGCATGGTGGTGGTAATTTCATCGCAGCCACCGTCGAGCTAAGGCTTTTCGGCGAAGTGACAGCTGCGGGCTGTGTCCGAGACCCCGACGAGGTTGTCGTGAACAAGGCGTTTGGTGTTTCTGCGGCTGCGGTTTCGGTTTTTCTCTCGGGTACCGTGTACAACCACCGGCAGTACCGCGGCTACCTAGTACGGCTAAAAGCTGAAGGCTATGCTTTTGGCGACTCCGTCTTTCTTCCGGACAGAACAACAATTCTGCGCCATTGGCCTCTCTTCGCCTCTCCGCTGCAACGGTAGCGGAGAGCCCAAGGGCGTCCGGCGGCGGGCACATCGCTCCATACCAGGTTTCAGCTTAACAGCCCTTGTCACGGCGGATGCGAAACGAGCCACAGAGTCTGTCTACTCCGTATGTTTTGCTTCATTCCTGCTCTTCCGGCATTTGTGGCGCCTTGTTGCTGACGTGGAGCAGACTGCTAACGGGGTTCATGCTATTAACAAGCGTCAAGTTTGAGTAGCAAATATCCCGAATATATTATCTAATGTCTACTGCTAGCCCCTCTCCTCACGATGCGCCAGAGGCTCAACTACGCGACATACACGGTGCAACAAGCTTTTGCTACCAGCCACCATGGCCATCTACTGTAGCGCCGAGTACACCTTATTCCCAGCATAGCAGGAATAATTACGCCTTCCTAGATGAGCGTCGCAGCTGCAGCTACAAAGGTCCATTGCTGCAGGAACAAAGAACGCAACTAGTTCCGAATTCATCGCTGCTCCGCGTACAAGACTTGGCCCGCCCACATTCCGTGGCTGGCTTGCTAGGATCTTGTTCGTCCTTGATTTGGCTGCCGTCAAGATTCAGTTCACTGCAATCTCTTTCTAATAATATGATAATCAAGGCCGAGTCTATGCAATACAGGGAGATCCAGCGCTGCGCGTATACAGTACGCGGGCCATCGTACGACGACTCCTTGCACAAATAAGATTCCCGTTCATGGCAAGTGGGCTTCCCAAGCCCTATGCGATGCAGGGAGCGAAAGGTTTTGAACGGGGGTCCTTGTCACATTCTTCGGACGCTAGCTATTCGCAGGGCTTTGCTGCTCGCTTTCGCTGAGGTGTCTCGTAGATTTACACGTGGAAGCCGCCCGCATCTTTTCTCATTCTTTACTAGCCCGCCTCTCATCCCCGGCTTTTCATCTCGGAATATGAGGCGGCATCTCATCTCTCCCAGACGACCGGAGGCTACTAGGGGGGAGTAGGTAGGCCCAGATACGAGCGAAGCGATGCTCGAGCCAGGTGTGGACTCTACTTGTACATAGCCTCGGCGCGTATCCGAGCTACTCCGAGCATATCGAGCGCTTCTCTTTGTGGGTGACATTGCGAATGGAGACGCTGATTAAAACCATGCATCGTGTAGGCATCAGGGCGACATTTTGTCAAAAGATACTGTGTCGCGAGACACTAATGACCGAGACTACTATTGTAGGCATTTCTTTTCCCTTTCCCAGCTAGCCATGGTTGCGTCTTGGTCCGCTGGTCCGTGTTCTATCTCTCTTCCTTCCCAACTTTCGATTCCCATACGGTATAAGCACTCTATTTTTAATGCTGTCAATGGAATCATGCGGCAAAGGTTGCCGCCTGAGTGGCGTTAAACGACTCGAGAGAAGAGTTCCCATGGAAAGAATCTGACTGGGTTCTAGTAGTAACTCAAGTCTGGCTAGAATTAGCCACTCAAACTATATTTTTCTTCACATGCTGATGGCGGCCAAACTTGCCCCAGTCTTCCCAGGGCGGGGCTCCACCTAGTGGGATTTTTTTGATACACTATCTACGGAATGGGAATCCTTGCCGATGTGAAGGATTGCAGTAGTGCATCATGCAAAATATGTCTAATACCAGTAAATTTCGCTTCTGAATGGCCAAGTCAGTCAGCAATCATGCCCTATTCTGTGGTTCTAAGCATATAGACGTGGTAGTATTTGCTAGTGGTAGTTGCAGTAGCAAAACTGCACGTCTCCGTATGAATCCTTATGCAGGTGGATACAGCCATTCATTTGTCAGGTGCTACTCCGAATTCCTCATTATTTTTTTTCCCACTTGTTCCAAATTACTGCATACTACTGTACTATCAGCTATGCTACCTAGATTAGTAGCTAGTAGTAGTAAGTATTAGCTCGAATCGAGAAAACACTGCCATTGGCCGGACACTTCACAGATATACAATATACATTGTATTACGAGATAGGTCTTTAAGCTGTGGCCAAAGCGCCTTGTCCCTGCAGGATACTCCAAGTCTTTCGCAACTTTGTCTTACAATTTCTACCATTGCCTGGAGCAGTGCTGGATGGAGGCTGCGCCAAGAGAATAAGCCATCATGTTGAGCCAAGACTTTCACCAACTTCTCTGTTTGCGTCCGAGATTGCCAGAAGAGGCAAACACGTGGGCCGCCGATCGCGTCAGATAACCAAGATGGTCACGTGATTCTCCTGAGACTGCGCCCCTTTAGGTTCGCAGCGCATCAAACGAAGCCTCTCTCTATCCGACCTCTCGAAGCAGCATATTCGATTCTTGTCGCTCGTTGATATCCATATTTTGCCAAAAATGGTGGCCAAGTATATCGACGGCCTGAGGGCCCTGCTGGCTCGACGCATCGTGACCATCGTGGCCATGGCCGCTGTGCTGGCCAGTGTCATTGTCATCCTCGTCCGACTCGGGCCACCGGCGCATCTCGACGACTTGAAGCTGCCGGACATGAAGCTTCCCGATCTCGACATGTCGAAACTCCCGGGCCTGGGATCGCACGAGAAAGTCCACTATGGGCATTGCGACCCCAAGAACTATACCGACACCATCAAGGAGTGGAAGACGGCGCGGGAGAAATATGACAAATTGATAGGAGACAAGTTCACGTAAGTTGCGGGGAACACCGGTGTGACCATGATGCGTCATTGCGCACCTTGGCATCCTCCATGGCCAATCGATTTTCTAACCATTGTTCGTGTTCAACAGAATTGCGATGCAGACTTACAAGCGTCCCAAGGAGCTTGACGACACGCTACGCGTCCTGTTGGCCGAGAAGATCCCCTCGCTGCACGAGATTGTCATCATCTGGAACGACCTCGAGGAGAAACCTCCAGGCAACTTCAAGTCTGAAAAGGGCGTCCCTGTGCGATACAGGGTGTCGGAGCGCAATAGTCTGAACATGAAGCTGTTGCCGGATCCGGACTTCAAGACCAAGGCGGTTCTGCTTTCGGACGACGACGTGTACTATAAGCCCCAGGACCTTGAGTTTGCCTTTCAGAGCTGGCGCAAGTTTGGTCAATTTCGATTGACGGGAGCTATGCCGCGTTGCGCTACCGCGGACGCCGAAGGCAACTGGAACTATGGCTTTTGCTCCAAGGATGCTAATCAGGACGTTTACTCCATGATTATAACGAACCTGTGCTTCTCACACATGTCTTTCCTCGATTATTACTCTTCCAATAACACGGTTATGGAAAAGGTCCGTAAATATGTCGACGATCACTTCAACTGCGAAGACATTGCTCTTAATTATGTCGCTTCGTATCTCACCGGCATGGGGCCTCTTCTCGTCACCGGTCGTGATAGGTATGTCAGCTACGAGCCTGCCGTGGGCATCAGCAAGAAGCCTGGCCACTTGGAGGCCCGAACGAAATGCCTAAACGACCTGACGGCGCTCTTTGGCTGCATGCCTCTTGTCAATGAGACAGCTCACATCCAGCGTGGCGTTGTTGTCTTGTAAATTTTCTATGAAAGGGGTGGGACATTGGCGTTTTTAAGAACAAACCCTCAGCCTGCCTTTTGCTGTTCATTGGGCTGAAGGGATGAGTGGGGTTTTGTCTCGGGTGGAGTTTGCTTGCGAGGACACGCCGGTCAGTCAGATGCTTAATTAATGTCTTGGACGGGGGATGAACGGGTAAAACGGCGTCGATCTCTTGGCGCAGGAAGCCTTGTGATGAGCTGCGAAAATAGAATGGCAGACTTGCCAGTTTTGTGTACACATAGAACCAGATCCTTGGGGGATTTTTCCTGTTACTCTACATATCTACGTTGAATGGGTCTCTTGTTAGCAATAAGAGTAGAGAATTGATACAAAGCGATGCTCATTTCTCGTGCTCTTACAGTCAAAGGTGGACGTTGCTTCGCTTGGAGACTCGAATTACAATAGCTGAGACAAAGGACGCGCACTCATGCGGGGACTATTGGAATTGCGCATTTAGATTCCTTGGCAGTTATTTTTTGCGGCCAATTAGGCAGTATTCACATCATTTATAGCACTAGCACCCGATTTTCATCTCCTCATTTACCCAAACCTACGCGTAGCAATTTCAAGGCTGATTCTGTGCCCTCATGACTGAGATCTCTGTCTGTGCCGCGTCTCCCATGCCACTCAGGGGTCAAAGAGCCAGCAACAACAACGCAGATTTGCGGGGAGAAGGGCGGGCTGCCAAGATCTGACGCATCGTTGCCAAAAATCCTTGTTCCCTCGCTAACATAGACACGCAAGACGATATCGTTGCTGGATCGAGCATACGACACTGCGCATGACTAAGGCTGCTGGACAGGTATTCTAGGCTCTGGAGACAGTTCATCTCCACTGCAACGGCCGGGTTTCGCCGCAGTCTCGAAGAAAAAGGGCTTCGAGAGCTGAAGACAAGCGAACAATAGGCACGATAGGAGAGATTATATGTACGTCATGAGATTGAGCTTGAGAGCCTTTATATGAGGCGGGTAGCTGTCCTACTAAAGTGCTTACCTATACACCCGTTCTCTCTCCAGACTCTTACCTCCGCCCTACCCATTCTACGATTCAAACAATGGTTACCGGTGCTTTGAATCAGACAGTGCTATAAGATGCTCCCTTGGCTATCTCTCCTCTTTTCTGCTACTAGGAACTTGAAAGACTGCGCGTCGCACGTGCCTAATCTAAACAGCAAATGAAATTGGGCGAGACTTCCTAGTTAGGCACTTTTCTGCGAACCACTTGAAGAGATCGGCTAGTGGGACTCACGCCCGGTTTTAGGTAGCCAACCATGATGTATGCTGTCCAAAAAAGATAAATACGTCAGCCTGAGTGTGAATAAACATGGTTGTTTTTCACTTTTCCCCATCCTCTTCCTACTTGTCTTCGTCTTGTTTTCGAGAAGAAAAAAATAGCAGCAATGGGCTCCGAACAAATAACCTTGTTCGATCTAGCCAGTCAAGCACCGCATACTTCATGGTCTTTGAACCCATGGAAGAGTAAGTAACTGCATTTATAATACCATGTATACTTGCCATGTGTCTCAGGATAAATGCTTAAAGCGGTTGTTTTTTGGAGTATTGCAATTGCTAACAGCTTGATAAGCGCGCATGCTCTTCAATTACAAGGGCCTTGACTATAAGACAGAATGGGTAAGCATCTCAACCTACCTCGATGCAATTCTTTTCCAACAAGACTAATGCTCTGGAACAGGTTGACTATCCAGAGATTGCGTCGAGATTCAGTCCACAGTACGATTTACCTCATCCAATTCCTGAAGCTCATCAGGAACAAACTAATCTCTGTAATAGTATCCCGCCTAATGATGGAGAAGGCCAGAAGGCATACACAATCCCCATAATTCAGTTCCCTGATGGAACATACCTCATGGAGTCAGGGAAAATTGCAACGGCCATTGAGAACAAGTATCCATCTCCGACTGTTCACCTTGATTTACCCATCGTTCAGAGGGTAGACAGTCTCGTCGACAAGTGCATGCCCGCCATGCACCCCAATCTCCTGTACAAGTTTTCCCAAGTCGTCCTCAGCGAAAAAAGCTACGACTACTGGGTTGGCGCATACACCAAAAAGTTTGGAATGCCTCTCGACGAATACGAGCGACAGCTGGGCGGCGAGAAATCCTGGGCCGAGGCCCTGCCGGCCATTATTGAACTGACCAGTCTTCTGAAGGAGAGGCAAGCTGAGGGACCCTTTTTCTTAGGCAAGGATATCAGCTACGCTGATTTCATATGGGCAGGAGCATTGATGTTTGTAAAGCGAATAGATGAGAATGTGTTTCAAGAGCTGTTGGACAGGACGGGGGCTAGAGATGTGCATGAGAGGTTTTTTGAGGCGTGCGCGCCTTGGATGAAGAGAGACAGCTACTGATTCTGTGGCTATAGAGTATTGCTTAGACTAGCGATAGAATTATGAGAGTTATTGTAGCAGATGATGCGCCCATAGCCTAATAGCTGAAATATCCCGGGTTCTTCCCCTTGTCATAGTATATAAAACGCCAATGTGAAGATAAAACCCGTAAAAGATAGAAACCCGTAGAAGGTGGAAGACATCTTGCCAGCTAATTTCCTTCTAAATGTCCTCTCAATCCAATAAGCGCAACATCGGCCGTCTCCCGTTTCAAGAAGCCCATCTTACTTACGTCCTCCCCCATCGACAAGCTTCCCTTAGCCCACTCAACGATGAGCTTGCGAGCTTGCCAAATTGCGAGGTGTTTGTTATGCTTGTGAATCTTGGCAATCACTTTGGCCTGGAGGCTCTTGCGCAGGTCTTGCACCCAGTCCTTGTCTACCCACCTAATATCTCCTCGGGCTATTGGGCAAATTGCCTCCGGCTGGCCAGAGAGTTCATCAACAGTCGAGAATTCCAGTTTGAACATGGGCGGGTTGTTGCAGTACGTTGCAACTGCGGAAATAGGGGCTGTGCAAAGGGTTCCAGCATCGCAGTCCGTTACTCTGGCATGTTCTTGAGGTTTCACTGCGGTCCATGTTAGCAGACAAGCATTGACTATAAGTGCGACCTGCGAATTTACTTACCACACAACTTTCCCGCCAAAACCTCTGCTTCCACCAAGAATTCCAGCTCTGATCGCAGCAAATTGCCGGCCTTGCGACTCGACCACTCATTAAAAACCGCATCCAAAAAGCCATCGATGCTCTGTCTCGTCTTGGTCAGACTCGCATTAGGATCCGTCGCACTGCCACAAGCGTGCAAAATCTCATAACACTTCTTCAATTGCACTTCATTCAGATCATCCGCGCTCTTGATCGTCATAGGTTCAGCGGGGTAGTCGTCTCCAGCCTCAATAGCATCGAAGAGCTTGTCGCGTTCGCTTTTGATCTTGCGAGATGGTCGCCGGGGAGGAGTGGACGAGATGGAGATTGGAGATGCAGAAGTGCGTCGCCGCTTGACGCTGCGCTGGGGAGTTGCGGAAGTGATTTCTTGAACGCGATTCGCATCGGCAATAGAAGTAGCACGTCGCCGCAGTTCTCGCTGTGCCTGCGATATACCCGAGAGGTTATTCAGAAACTCGTTGATGTTCTGCCGGCGTAATGGTAGCTGTAGCTCCATTTTGCAAGATTTGGCTGATCAGTGAGTGGTTGTGTATGTTTGTGGGAGAGTTATCAGAAGAAGAAGAAGAAGAAGTATTTTGTTGCATCTTAAGGGAGTAGAGAAGTTTTGAAAGCGGTGAGATGCAAGTGTGCAGTATTACAGATTTGTTTTCTTCTGACTATCTGTCTGATAGCGTTTTTCTTTGTTTTCGCCGCTTTAGCTGGCATCTGGCAGCCACTGACAAGGAATAGCCCCCGATTGACGCAGCACCCATCTCCACGTCTATGACCTTTCTACCTCGAAGATAGGGATGAAGAAGGGAGCCACCAAAGAAAAAATGCGATAAAAATAGAAATATAGTAGCAGCAGAGACAGCAGAGGTATATAATAAAGGGGGTCCATACGTACGAAAAAAAAAAAAACAAGTTGAAGGGCTGGGCGTACACGAGGTGTAATGAATCGGCAGAAGAACAGTACAATAGAGACTGAGCTCAGAGGCACCATAGCTCAAGAAGACTCGCTGAAATGCCAGCGTGTCAAAGGAGATTTCTTTGGCTTAGGGAGAGGCCCCCAGCTAGGAGCCCTTGAAGAGGCGCTCGTAGGTACGACGAGGGTACAAACCATTGATTCGCCGAAGTGGGTAAAGAGTTCTTGAGATTGAACTAGGTATCGACTACTAATCACCAAATCCATCAATGTAGACAGTAGTAGCCTCCGCCCCGGCCTGGGGACTGACTTATATGGAACCTTGGGCTTAACCACCTTGCCTTCTTCTCCAGACACCTCAAGGAATTTGCTCTCCTTGAAGGCAGCAACGACGGCGCTTCAAGGCTGAAAGATGAACATACGCTTGAACAAGTGAATCTTTTTGATTGACACGAGCTTGTTCTTCGAACCAGCCACGCCGCTTCGGAAGCCGTTCTTCTGATCCTGGTGGCCTCGCTTCTTCAAGTCATCCTGGTATGCCGCTACGGCTGCCATCGTCTCGACTACTATAACCCCAAATACTGCCTTCACCACATCCACTTTATAAAACTTCTTCAATGTTTTCACATTTGGTACGCCCCTCCCTTCCCCAAGTCGTAGTACTTGGACATGATTTTGAGGTCGTGATCCTTCTAATTGGACGCCGTCGCACTCGGTACCAGCTTTCTTTGCTTCATAAGGTCACTCTTCTCCTCGGTGTTTCTAATTGCTTAGACGTGATCTTCCGGCCCTGTTACACTTATGGTAATTACTCTATATGTCAATAATAATAATAATGATTCATTAATTAATTAATAGTTGCGTAAAAAAAAAAAAGAAAGAAAGAAAGAAAGAAAGAAAAGAAAAAAGCAAACAAACAAACAAACGACAACGACAAAAAAAAAGTTGAAGCCTCAGGCTTCAAATGCTTCTTCTTCTTCTTCTTCTTCTTCTTCTTCTTCTTCTTCTCCTTCTTGCTGCTGCTGCTGCTGCTGCTGTTGTTGTTGTTGCTGCTGCTGCTGCTGCTGTTGTTGTTGTTGTTGCTGCTGCTGCTGTTGGTGCTCGGCTGGGGCCGAGACACCGCCCATCTCCACGTCCATGGCCTCCCCAGAGGCAGGGCCGGGAGTGGGAGTGGGAGCAGGGGCGGGGGCGGGGGCGGGGGCGAAGGTAATAAGGCCCGCTTCAACGGCTTCCATAAGGCCGGCTTGACGCAGAAGGCTTCTTTGAGCCCTCGAGAGGGACCCGCCGGGGCCCCTCCCTCCCGGAACAGCTTGTCCCTTGGTCACTAAATATGCCAACATCAGTATCGAAGTAAACATCACTGACAAATGAACTGAATGGTATACTTACCACCACCACCACCACCACCACCACCACCACCACCGGACTTGTTATTCTTGGTCTTCTTGGACTCCTTCTTCTTCTTGTTCTTCTCTATAAGAAATATGTCAGTTTGGCCAGGAACGGTAGAGTGAAAAGCTGTGGGACATACTCTTGCCTCCTCCAGAGGCACAACCACCGACACGTTCTATTCCAATGTTAGGTTCATGATGCAAAAATCAAGTTGTCTTGTAACATACTGGGGGGGCCAGGGGGAGGGAGACCGCCGCCAGAACCACCAGACCCAATAATGGCCTGAGGGCCATACAATAATATATTTCTCTGTCTCAACATCTCCAACGCTAAACGTCCCCAATCTTGAGACATCTATTTCCATAGTAATTAGCGAGAATCCTAATGAGTATCTGTGGTGTAAAACTTACTATGAAATCGGATTTTTTTTTCTCGAAACTATAATCCTGAGTTAGCACCATATACCAAAATTCAAAGAGGGAACTCATACAAAAAAAAAAAAAAAAAAAAAGGCCCAGGCCAAGACGATAATTGATTTGATTCTATTTCACCGTTAATCAGAGCAGAAACAATGGAGGTGATGATTGTACGTACGAAAAAATGCCCAGAGGGCCAGCGTAGTTTGGAGATGTTTCTATTTGCGTCAGTAAGCCATCACCAAACAAGAGAGACCAAAGATATACTAACGGTATGACAAAAAAATTGTCATAAAATAAATGATTGAATCTATATAGCTAATTAGCCAACAGATCAACGAGGTGACGATGAAAATACCTGCCGGCGAAGATGATGATGATGCTGAGGAGAAAGAAAGGGTAGAAACACTTGGGGGGCAGAATATCTGGCCTAGTAATGCACGCGCACCGCGTAGGGTAACGTGATCTGATGTATTTACGTTCACTTTATTATCACATTTTGCCAACCAGCTGACGATGGTTTCATGGCGACAGCCTGACGGGTGCCCTCAGCTGGCACCATTCTTTCCTGTACACAAAAGATTGATGAGGAATATTCGTACCTAGCACCTAGCTATTATAAGCGTACTGTAGTGTTATCTCAGTATTTTCGTTAAACCTTAGTCTTCGGAAAGCAGTATCAAGACTGTATCTAATATTCTTTGTGCCTATGCTCTAAAGAGGTGGGTTATATTCCAGTGTAAGCCGGCTCAATGGTCTCTCAGTATTGGATATTTACAGCAATGTAAAAAGATATAAAGCAGATATTGTATTGTATTTTATGGTGAACACAAATACCATATATAGGCCTCATATGTTGACGATAAATTTGAAAAGAAGGACAGCATACAAGTTAGCTTGACATGAATGAATCATCTTGAAAATGGACAAATGGGCATGCTCTCTATGAATTTGACGTGTGCTATATCTTCCTTGAAGCAGGACTATTATGGCGTTAGGAGGGGAATGTGTAGATATGACATATAATAATATATAGTAATGATAGTTTAATACCTGCCATAGACCGTCGCCCCTGTCCATCCCTCATCATGCACGATGCCTTTCCTTTCATTCAGCGCGTGCATTAACGGATGTAATTGAGGAAGATCGGCCAAATCAGCAGCTCAATCTTTAGCCCCGGTTTAGGTGCGCTAGCGTTTCGGTCCCTGTGCCTGCGCCTACAGCACCAATCTCCAAGTCCACACAGTACATGTATGTACTCCGTAATGACTGACGGTTCCATGTGTAAACTACTCGGCATTAAGCTAAAGCAGCTAGTAGTTAATATAAGCGGGCACCTAGGTAAGGCGCCTATAAGCGTTTAGTAGATTCGATTTAGAGACGCTGCACATGCCCTCCTGCTATTTTACATTGGAGCATGGGCCAGATAAAATGTGCCTGAGTGAAAATTATAATCCCATTTGTTTCTGGAAGGGGAAGGACCTGACCGCTCCTGCCTTGAGTGAGGTGGTGTAGCGAGACAGAATGAAGGTGAACAGGTTCTGCCTTTTTTTTTTTTTGTTGACCACTTCAAAGACAGCTTCGTTGCTTCGACCAAATCCTCGATTTATTTTCGTTGATACAAATTGTTCCGCCTTCGCTTGATTGCCACGGACAGACTCATTCTTGTGATCATCAGTTTATGATATTATTCGTTCGATATATTACTGCGCCGCTCCAAAATTGGAGCGTATATACCATTTTCTCTCCCTCTTCCTTTATCCCCCCCCCCCCCCCCCCCCCCCCCCCCCCCCCCCCCCCCTCATCCCCCTTCCTCTTTTTTTTTTTCACAAGTGTGAAAAAACGTGACAATGCCGATCCAAAAGCTAGTCACCGACTTCTTCAGTAGTCGAGTTGATGCTAACTCGTCTATAGAAGAAGGGACCGCCGCAAGTCACTCTCCTGCCTCCGGAGACGACAGGAGTACCAGCTCTCAAGAGTCGGGGCACTGGATGAAACGACGAAGGGCCTCGATGTCCCAAGAGGCTTCGGCCCGTACGGATATTGCGGTGAGCTCCTCCACAGAGGAAGGAGCTGCCAACGCGACTGTCTCTCCTGCGTCCCAAGAACCGAGGAAACGGATAAAAAGACAGGGGACCTCGAAGTTGGCAGAGGCTTTGGTCCGCGCGAATACTGCGAAAGCAGTGACTTGGTTAGTAGGGCTGACATCGAGTCTTCAGGCTGATCTGGTCAAGAAGGTCATTCCCGACTCTGACGACGAGTCGAGAGAGACTCTGCAGTCGGGGAGAGTGACTGTTGGCCCTGTAAGTGAGCCAACTTTGCGCTACCCCAAATCTGTGCCAAAGACTCTATCTAAGAAGATAGACTCATCTACGAGGACGCTACGCTCGGAGGGCGTGACTGCTGACTCTGAAAATGGGCCTAGCCCGCCTCCCATATCTTCCTATCTAGAGAGCCTCAAACCGAAGGGGTAATTACTGACTCTACAGATGAGCCTGGATCTCTACCTCTCAATGTTGCGCCTTAGAAGACGGGGCCGAACAATAGAAACCTTGCGTATGAAATACCCTTTGTCGATTCAGTGAATGACTCGACAATGCGCTCTTCAAAGACTCCGTCTAAAAAGGCAGAGTCGGTAAAGGCCATGAAGGGATATGAGAGTGAGCTGGAGCTAGATGCCAGCAAAATCTCCATAGACGAGACAATGACCGGTCTCACTTCCTTTGCAGAGACTCCTGCAAAAGAGATGGATGCTAGCAAAATTGCTCCCTCTTTCTCAACTCCTGACAGTCTCGGCCCTCAACGGCCTAGACGTTCTGCTGCTGCCGCTGCTACGGCTAGCATCAAGAGGAGTTATGAAGAGTATGGAGAGCCTTTGGCAGAGGCTGCAGAAATTGTCAAGAAAGCTCGCAAAGAGCTTCCTGCGGTAACTCTGCCAGCCAAAATGGTCAGCGCTGAAGCTGATGAGGACAATCATCAGACTTCAACCTCTGGTTCTCCCGAGAATCGGCGCAGCTCTGGGGTCTTCAGTTCGTGTGACTCCGAGCAAAGAGAAAGGTCCTGTGATTCTTGAATCAGCGATACAGAAGGGGACAGCAAGCAGAGATTGCCGTCTCCAACTGTCCGTAAGCTCTTGATGTTTGGAAGGAAGCCGAAGTCACCGAGTCTTGGCGTTCCCTTGTCAGTAGGTTATGCCTCTATACTACTTCTACTACTTCTACTACTTCTACTACTTCTACTACTTCTACTACTTCTACTACTTCTACTACTTCTACTACTTCTACTACTTCTACTNTACTACTTCTACTACTTCTACTACTTCTACTACTTCTACTACTTCTACTACTTCTACTACTTCTACTACTTCTACTACTTCTACTACTTCTACTTCTACTACTTCCAATATTCTAGTTTAACAAGCAACTTGAAGGGGACCAAGGCCCCAACGGCAGTCTCTCGCGAAATCAACAAAGACAACTCAGATCTACCTTTGCTCGTCTTGACCTCCCGGCCAATGCATGTCTGAACACACTTCTTTCTGGTACTGCTCCTGCTCCCCCCACCACCACCGACGTTAGTGTAGATGGTGTCCCGTCTGAGAATGGGCACCACCCAGAAGAAGAAGAAGCCCAAGAAAGTGAGCGTGAAGAAGAAGAAGGAGAGGAGGACGACGACGACGACGACGTTGTCATGTCGCATAATGGAGGTGATTAATGATGTAATTATAAGCAGATAATGAATTACTTATGTATGATGAATGCATCATTGACATTTTGCGAGATATTATCCGAATAAGATACCGTGAAAAATGCATCACCAATTCATTACTAAGGACTTACGCCCAATTGTACCTATTTACATCTTGTTTCTCAACTCCAAAAACAAGCATCGCCAACTCGGTCGTCTTTACGAGATACATTACAATACTTGATATATAATTGTACTTCTTCGGGTGTCAACGTCCCTCTCTCCTACTCTCCACTCCGCACTTTTCTTCCTTTTTTTCTGCACTGTACCGCGCTGATCAAATAGAAAGAAGATTGCAGGCGCCGCTTGAGCCTCTCGTTGTTCGTTAACGCAGCCGGCCTCGCGGTGCCGTTGCCCTTCAGCAATCGCAGCAGCCTCATCAACGAGACAGAGGCATAACTTACTCTCTCCGCAACCCCTCGCAATTCGAGATCTTTCCAGCATAAGAACGGGCCCAGGCAGTGGCCGCGATGCCCTCACCGCCTTCCACAGCGCCCCCGGCGGTCACGAGCTCTCGCAGACAGCAAACCGCCACAAGCTCCGGCCTGCAGCGCATAGAGCGACTTGGCGATAGCCTCATTCCAGGCCAGCCGCGGCCCCGAGCTTATCCGCGTACCGTTCAGAACTATCTGCCGACCTCAAGCCCTCTGCCTGAGAGACTGGCCGACGAATTCGCCGTCAACGAGCTCGAATTTGCAGATCACTTTGATGCTCTTGTGCAGCAAGCACTGCAACAAGCAGGCGCCGCGCCGTAAGAAGGAAAACACCAAGAATTTTACATGATATAGGGAAATAGGTGTTAATTAGACATGCATGTTGATATCTATGTTATTTACTGTATAATAAAATTATATTTTATCTATATGTCTTGGTTTACTGTACGGCACACTAATTCAGGCGACATGGGAAGAAAAGCCACATTCCAGCCACAGTAGGGGCGCTGGATAGGTAGTCTGCGGTGCTGAATAGGCTGTCCTTTGAAATAGCATCCAACAAGCTCAGTCGTTTATGCAATCAGCTTTCTCAGAGCCGACTCCTCCTGGCCCTCAACATCTCCGAGACGGGCAACTTCCTTGCCCTGGGACGATAGTCAGTTTATGACAACAAGAAGCAAATGCGTGGGATTACTGGCTTACATTTTCCACTCTCACAATTGTTGGCAAACATGTCACATTGTATGGCGGACTGCGCCACTTGTTGTTCGGGTTGCCCCTCCACTCCGCACGAGTGCCGGCTTGGATTACATAGGCTGAAGGTGCTGATTCTGCACCAAAGACGTTCTGGAGAGCCGGAAGAGCGTTTCGACAGTCAGGACACCATGATGATTGGCCATTCTCTGGTGACGCGAAGTAGACAACATAGTGAGCGTCAGTGCTCGTGGGGGGAGCCTCCACATCGATCAAAGGCATGTTGAGAGGATTGTAATTAGGATAGGGTATATGTAGAGTTGTATAGGCTGACGGATGGCTAATAAATGAAGATTGTGAGCCGAACGAGAAGTTTCTAGTCTTACTGTGGTTGAAATTTAGAGCCATGGAGATTAGAAATTGAAGATCACATGACGTCTAGCGGCTTGCCGCAAATTGCATCATTTTTCACGGGTTTGCGACTTCAGCACTGTTGTGTTATTTTGATCAATCGTAATTAAAGCTGAGGCCAAATTGCCTTTAATGGCGATTTTAAATTGTATGCTTGCATGCGGCGTTTGGCCACTTGACTTTTACCAAGCTACACGGAGTGTGCTAACATTTGAAGTAGGTGCTTCGCAGCTCCAGCGGCGATTGACACCGCCATCAACCACACGCATATATACATGTAAATTTAGAACATGCGCAATGTATACATGTAATTGTTTAATGAAAGTATTCGACTGGTAATGTAAAAATAATAACAGAAAAGGTTCCTAGTAAACATGCTGCACTGATCGTCACCAAACTACATGTAATCTAGCTCGTAGATTACATGTACCTAGGCACATGCAGCCAGTGCTTCTCCAATCCGGTGGCGGGCGATGTTGGTCGCTGTCGGCTTCACTCTAGCAGCAACAAATTACAGATCCTGCTTTCTCGTCTTACAAGTATATACGAATATGGGAGCTTTGTTAGTATATCGCAACACTTTATGAATAAGCTGGACGGAATGTAAGATTCTGAGTGCTTTCAATTGGGGTAACCTTCAGATCGATCGATGCAAGTCTGTTCCATGAAAAAAATGTGTCCACGAGTTGCCACATTCTCCTCGCGATCGGGAGACTAGAATCGCCTTAGCAACGCATTGCCATACAAACTTGGCGAGTCTAGACACATTGGCAAACCAGTGCGCATATTGGTATCTTTAGGTCGAATCAATGCTGGACGAGCCTCCAAAATATCGCAATTTATGGGTGCCTAATCAAATGCATAGCCCCTGTCCCCTGGCAAATAACAGTATCCAAAAATTCGACATACCTTCTGTTACATGGCCTTGCGAAGAGTTATATCTTCATAGTTGGCCTAGATTCTATCTATGGGGTGTTCTATTATGCAGGGGGCCTTTTGATAGCATTCTCTGATCATCAAGTTTGGATGGCTTGCAAACTGCGGTATACCCAGATCCAATGAACAAGTTCCATCAGATGTTACAAGGCTTCGAACGGCCGAACAAACCGATCGTCTTCATGTGTCCAAAATTCCTTCCGCCACCAATTGAGGAAGTTGAAACGTTGGTGGCAGCCTATCATCCCCAACCTCATCAAGTTTGAACTAAGGACGAGGTGGAGACACTGATTATTCTCTTCCAGCGGAATCAAACATTCGTTTGTCGGAAGACACAGTGTAACTATCGACCAACCACTCCGCAGACATGCCAGAGGCCATTATAGGCTCTCTCTTTGCCAAATGCATAAAATCTCGTACAGAGAGTACAACAATATTCAGCTCTGCGCAAAGGGTCTTGCATTGGTCATATGTTATGCGATGACATGGCCGTTACTATTCCATGTCAATTTGACTCCTACTTTTCTCGCTACTTGTTGCACCTTGGATGAGATTAAAAGTGGTCTATCATTGATATACGACCGCAGGGCCTTATCGGAGAAGAACATTGTGGGTGAAATAAGCAGTTCCTGTCCAGATGCAAAGGAGTTTATTGCAAGATACAAGTAAGTTATTACAAGAAGGAAAAGAAGAGGTAGCGGTAAGAGGATTAATTATTGCTAAATACAATTAGCTTCCTAAAGATTGCTTCACATACTTGCGACGGGAGCTGCCGCCGACTACAAAACATGTACATATACTCGTTTCGGGCCCCTTCTGTAAGATAAACTCACGGGCTCGAGCCACAACCTAAAGTTGACATGTGTAAATGAGCCTCCATCCTTTTATATAAAGCAATCAGTAGATTCATGATGTATTACGGGCCGATAATGCCGGGTAAGATATAGTAGTGCCATGTGATAGAGTGACGCCTCTCGGGGACGAACATGTCCCGGTTGAATAATCTATGAGCATAATTAAATAGTTGATAATGGATAATACAAGCACTTTTTAGAAAAGATATATAAACTATTATCCTTTCCATTCGATATGGTAGGCATTAAGAGCATATGACTTTGAGTTATGGAGGTAGCTAACACAATGCTAATAGAAACCGCAAGCCAAGAAGGCCCCAAGAAAATTTTGTACTTCTAAATAAAGAATCGGCCTCATATTTTGCGCATTGCATATGGTTATATGTCTAATGATACATTTATGAAAGCTCCATGGCCATAGCTTATACATTTATGTCATTGCTAGAGTCTCTTTTGGAATTATCGAAAACCTTGTCAGATAATTAACCCCCCTTGAATGTCAAAGGCTGTTGGTTGCTGTTGCACCAAGTGTCAAAGCGCTCATGCACAATTAACTATACCCAAATTATTGCTGCCTATAGTATTACATATGTCAAAGATGAAAACTGGTAGTACAAATACATGTGTATAGACACGGCCAGGCTAAAAATAGGTAGATAACATCCTTTCATTTTTCTCCGCATCTATCATCTCCTCCTCCGCCCTTAGCCTCAGAAAACACTTTTCTTTTCCTTTCTTTTCTTTCTTTTCTTCATTTTCTCTCTCTCAAAAGCCATCTTCGATACAAAGCCGTCGATGGCAAGCATGGCTAATAATATGCCGAAACTCAAGACTATTGGCATCCAACAGCCCGAAACCGCCTATATTGACCGATATGCTGTCCGTATAGTTGCTCTCAACCCTCTTGGCGACGTTGCTATTATATATGTTAAAAGGGGGAACTATTTGAAACTTCCAGGTGGTGGTATTGAAATAAACGAAGATCATCATAATGCCGCCCAGCGCGAAGTCGAAGAAGAAACTGGGGCCGTTGTTTCCTTACGCGGCACTGGCTGTATAGCTACTACCGAAGAATTTCGCAGCGACCTCCATCAGATCTCTTACTGTTATCTCGCCGATGTTCTCGATACTTCCGGTAATCCCTCTCTAACAGAAGAAGAACGAATTGACGGGCTTAGCCATCAGTGGCTGCCTATCAACAAGGCCATAGAAGCCATGACCTCAGCTGAACCAACATCGGAGCTTGGCCGTTACATACAAGAGCGCGACGTTTACCTTCTTACTGAAGTTAGGAAGGTTCTGGAAGATGGACATGAACAGGTGGATAGGAACTGAATCCTACAACGGAAGTTTGAGCTTGATGTGAGAATAATGCTTCATGGCTGAATAGCTGGTAAAGCCTTGGTATATCTCATTTATTTTATTTCCGGAGCAATTATATTAGTCGTTCAGGCTTCAAATATATCTCGCAGCCTCTTGTGTGTACGGAGAATCAACTGCTGCGTGGTGGAGCTGGAAATGATCCGATGATCGCAATGTGAAGATTATAAAGCGTTTAATAGGTATCGTGCCATAGCGTTGCTTTGATACTTTTTTGAGGCGCCCATTAAAGAGATCGTATACCAAATTTTAAACTTCAAGACCTTGAAATCAATACGCTAATATATTTAGAAGGCTCCCGGTGATTTAGCATAAATAAAACTGCAAGCTATTATTAGTGGTAGAAGCAGTAGAGGCCGTAGCGCTAGCTACGTGGAGATGCTCTCCACCACACTTCCAACAGGCTCGTAAAGGTGGGATTGTAGAACCTACCAATACTACCCAACACTGGAATAGGTTAAGCATAAAACAACATTTGTTTTTAGATCTCTTTATGATAACTCATCTTCATCTCCTATTATTATGTAGACTCAGTCTAATAACACGTGCTCATGTAAATCAATTGATAAGTCCTGCGTATGAAGCAAAGTGAGAAATCGTTATTTATCTGGAGACAACGACAGATTTAGAGAGTATTCAATGGTATAAAGCGTATTTTACGAAGCAATTATTGATTTCATTTCAAGCTAGCGATGATACATACTAACACCATCTTTATTTGCTTGATGCTGCTTTTGCTCCTTCGGGATCGTGCGCGACCACTTCAATTTCCACACGCATGGCATCCTCGCCCAGCCTGCTTACTCCAATCGTAGTCCAGAGGGGTTGATGATCAGGCATATAGGTCTTGAAATTCCTTACCATGGCCTCTAACGCCTCGTCGTTGAGAGGGAGATGGTAAGAATTAACACGATAAACCTGCGACCACCCTTTACCGCCAGCATCCTTCAAGGTTCGCTCAACATTGGCGAATGCCTGATCGATTTGCGCATTAACGTCTCTTTGGAACTCGCCGGTAGTAGGGTGCCATCCTCCTAGAAGCCAAAATAACATAAGTGCCGAACTAATCATAGCATCATATTTCCCGCTTACCTTGACCAGAGATTTCAATTCGATCGCCAACACGGACGGCCTGGCTGTAAGAATACTTCTCTACATTCCTTTTGCCGACACCATCGTAAGAATAATACTGTAAATGAGACATTCTGATTATGTGAGCTTTTTCTTTTTTTCGTCGAGCTTTCAAAAGGTGGTTAGTGCTCCAGGCAAAGCTTATATATCCACTTGCTATTTAATTGATGCGAGAGTAGTACTTGTACAGCCAGCAGCCGGTCTACATATTTAAGTCTAAATCAATGATTTGTCATTCGGCATCTAGTTTGTATGTAATTCGCCATCCGGTTTGTAAGCAAGGAGTGAATTCAGAGTGTAAGAAGCCGGAGTTGGGTTGTGCAGTGGGACGATGCAACGTTCTGCAGTGAGATGCAACACATTGTTGGCCAAAACAGAGCCTGGCGATTACTGTTGTGCCACCCTGTCTTGGCATTAGTATTGCGACGTAGAAAATTGCGGTGCAGATCCACCACAAAGTCTTGAGTGGCCATTCTTAAAATGCATTGATCAGTTCCTTCATAAAAATATTGTTGGTAGATGAAATAGATTGGTTGTTCAACAGAATGATTTCCTCTAGGCATAGGTTTCACGGGCCCAGAAACAAAATTTTGAGTATGGCTAGTTTTCATAGCCCTACTTGGGGATCTATGGTACAAATTTGTTTACAACAACCAAGCTCTAAAAAGCTAGGCCATTCAAGTTATAATAAGTTGTTGGTGATATTTTTTTTTGTTACATGTACAGTATACCATCGATGCTGCATAGCACATAATGCCCCAATAGTAATTTCAGCATGGCAACACTAAGCTCTGCTACTAGGTCGATGAGAAGTACGACTCTTAACGGAAATGATACAACAGCATAATCAGATGCGGGGTGCGATAGCGGGGAAATTTCCAGCTCAAGAAATGGCTCAACTAGAGGGGTCATGATAAGAGACGCAGGCCGAGCGGCTCAGTCAACCTTCTAAAAGCAGGCTTTTATCTCTTACGGTTCTAGGAAAATTGGCGCAACAGAAATTTGCGAAATCTAGCAAGACCAAGGCATGAAGCATAGCTAAAGACTGGAATCCAAGCTCATGATGTAACAGTAAATACAACTCCCACAATTCACGAATTTATAATAATTCTCATGTGCTGCATTGGATATGATGAGTTGAAGCTCCCAAAAAATGCTGGCTAAACAGCTTAACAAACCCCTTGATGTTGAAATAGGCGGCACTTTACACTCTGTAGCCCATGTAGAATTGTGTCTCCATCTAGTAAGCATGTATAAGTTTTTTTGCTTCGAATTGAGAAAATATTAACGCCTAAAATGGACAATTGCATAAAACTAACATAAAAGATTTGGAATCAATATTGGTCAGGTTACTTCATATCAAGGTATTTGAGGAATGCCCTGCGTTACACGATGAATAGCGCTTCCCAGTCGAGGCAAATCTTCAATCAGTACGGGGAAAATGCCCCTCTCATTGCCAAAAAGTGATTGCATTACACAAACGGCTGCTGCATCATGCTTTGGTTCGCCAATTGAGGTAAAATAACGCCCCCATTAACTAGCACATAGCTGACATAGCTGTACATAGCACGATAGTCTTCGAAACCATCCCCAGGAGGGATAGTCTCTGGATCAGGCTCCTCCACCCCAATGACTTCAAACAGACGGCCTTTTGCGTCGGTTGTCACGCTTAAGATTTCAAGAGCTTCTCTATAGACGGTAGTCCTTTCACCTTCTTTGGTCTCATTCGGCTTGTTGGTGATCAGAACGCCAGGCCTTATAAACCGAACAAGAGCATCGATATGGCCGTCGATTGAATCAATGCCCTTTCTGCCAGGGATCCAGATGATCTTATCCACATTGAGAGTGCGTTGAAGCTCAATATCGATATATTCGCGAGATCTTCCTGGGTTTATATCATCTTTAGTAATCGAACTCTCTGTAACAAGAAGGGTTCCATCGCCGTCAGTTTCGAAAACTCCACCTTCAGCTACAATCGAGGTCTCAATTCGCTCGATATGGAAATGCTGTAGATCTCTCCTTGTTAAAAATTCAATCACAGTCGTGTGATACTTGGCACCATAGCCGTTAATACTCCAATCAAGACCAACGAGGCTATGACCTCCTCTAAAGCCCTGCCTGGTAGCAAAACCGGGAGCAAAATCTTTCAGCCAGATATCCATCTCCTTTTCCTCGGTCTGATGAAGAGTAATTGGGAACGGGGTTTCAATGTTGGCAAAGTACTCTTCAGCTTCTTTATAGCGCTCGTGACCAGGTATTAAGACGGTCACAGGTTGAAAATGGGCAATGCCTTCAGCGACTACCGATATTTCTGTCGTGGCATTTGCCAGCTTCTCATAGTCATCTCCGAGAATACCTTGCAAGCTAGGCCAGCTCACAAAACTTTTACTCTGTGGTACCCATTCAGGTAAAAGCTGCAGAGAAAAATGAGCCATAATGATATATGTATTTGTTGTAAAGCGGTGAGCTTAAGAGGTAGAGAAAAGCTGAAAAACAAAGGGGAAGAAAAATTTTCATCCTCTCATCGTTTACACAAACAATAAAAAAGATTTATACAGATGGTGGGCTATATTACGCCTTACCTCATGAGTAACGGAATCTCACGTATTTTAATATATATTCCTCATGCAACTTTGGAGCTGTAGTATGACATCAAATCAGGGGGCCCTCATTCGACATCTATGGGAGAAAGATTTCGTTCTCGTTGCAAGGTAACGTCTCACAAGATAAATATTACGTTATTTCAGAAATTCTTAGTGGCAAATTGAGTCCCAGATGTCATAAACAGGTGAGAAGATAATAACGGGTTTACGCTCCAATAGAGATAGGGTAAGAATAGCATAGCGATCGAGTCGACATTAAGTTCCAAACTTTGTCACAACTATAATGCATATTTCACTCAAAAATAAAGATCCCTGGACCTCTGTGATTATCCTTTCTAAAGTTTCAATAGGCTATGCTAGGGTTTCATTGTCTTATTTTCGATACTTATCTGAAGCAATCAAAACTGTATCGCATTCGGCGGAGTATTTACGCTATTGTGATTGGTTCCATCGTTTCTCGAATTTCACACTAAAACAAGCTCTTTGGATAAGCACCCCTCATCCATGGAATAGGATAATCTTGGCTCGCCCAATCTCAGTTTTTCTGCTTTAAAATATTTGGCAAGTCTTGAATTTGTCTCAAATGACCTAGATATCAGAGCAAAATGCCACAAGAGACCACACCAAAGTCAACTGCGCCATGGATCATTTCAGTGGCTGTTGCGGCCTTTGCAATTGGTGTCGCGACATCTGATACGATAAGGAACATTGTTTTTTACATTCAGGATGCGATTATGACATACAAAGGCGGAAATATTCCTCAAGTACTGACAGGGCTCCCGCCCCAAGCTCAATCCATACCACCATCGACTTTCACAGCTCTGTCGGTAGTTCCTCCTGAGAGTATCGCTGATATTAAAACCGCAAGTGAAGCATTCCTCTTATCTAATTCATTTAATAACTATTTGGTAGATATTCGTTCCACCGGGCTCTACTATGGAAAGTTTAAAGGAGCGGCCATTCCATATTTACCACCCGGACTTCCTGAATCTTTTGGGACGAAACCCAACTCTCACGCTCATCGCTGACGCAGGCACAGATCCTCTGTTCCATGAAGCTGTAGTTTGGTATGATAGATGTCAGATTTTCTCTAGTGTCACTATTTCTTACAATACTGCCAGGTACCCCCCTACAGATGAAGTTTTCATCGCACAGAGTGCTGGGCCTCTATCGGCTGGAACTGGACTAAATAAGTCTAGCGTGATATCAAAAATATCTTTGAGTGAAGCTATGGCTGTTTCAAATGAGCGAAATGCTGTTGGTAAAGTCCAGGTTCACACTGTTCCGACCGAACCTCCAGTTATAAACCCCAATGGTACGCCTCCCTCGCGCACAAGACGTATAAATTGATATCACAGTCAAGCCTTCTCTTTCTTGAATTATCGGCTCATATCTCATATCTATTAGGAGGAACAAACTACAAGGGTGCTATACTCTTCACAGGAGAGGGAATGGGCCCAGATGTGCCGCCCACGCTCTTCATAGCAAATCCAACGGAGCCTTACAACACTTCTAGTAAGCAACCCACTGACCATTTAATATTATTATAGTTCTAATAGGATACTTCCCCACTCAAGTCCTTGTCAACAATTTTTTTGGTCGTCAGTTCAACTCCCTGAATGACGTTTCTGTTAACTACAGAAACAAGCATATCTACTTCACCGATACGGTTTATGGCTACCTCCAAGACTTTCGGCCAAAACCTGGTCTCCCAAATCAGGTATATCGATTAGATCCAGCTACCGGAGCCATTACTGTCGTAGCGGATGAGTTTGTGAGCTGTAATGGTGAGCAGTCTCCAATTAGTCTCATTGTGGACGTCTTTTAAGCCAAGAAATAGGCATCACATTTTCTCATGACGGCCGTTACGCATACATAACTGATACAGGTGCTTCCAAAGCTTTCTATGGCTACGATAACACGGGCGCTTCGACAATGTAAGTCTTACGTCATTCCGCTGCTAAATGTAGCACTGGGTCGAAATTGACAATTTTCGGACACTTTTCACAGATATCGTTACACAGTAGCAAGAGACGGAACTTTTGAACATCGGAAAGTGTTTGCATATGTTGCGGTCGGTTTTGTAGACGGTAAAACCTAATCTCCATTCAGTTAATCATTACTCAGCTAATTCCTTTATCGCCAGGGATTCACTGTGACTCTAAGGGCAATGTGTATGCCGGCGTCGGCGATGGAATACACGTATGGAATCCTTCGGGGAATTTGCTAGGCAAAATATTCCTCGGTGAGGCATCTGCCAACTTTCAGTTTACTGGTGATGGCCGAATGGTCATCGGGGCTGAAACACATCTATATTATGCAACCCTGGCTGCAAAAGGCGCCCCGATCTCATAATGGTTCATTATGTCGTATCTCAAAAACATCACTTCAAAACTCATTATTATACACATCACTTTCTTTATCTCGCATCCCAACTGTGGCTAATATCGAGAATTCAAAGCCATCTTAATATTCTACTGCTTCTACTGCTTCTACTGTCTATTTTTATAGATGGACGGACTGTTTCATAGGCCATGCCTAGGTGCTGAATAATGATTCCCAATTCAAACTACGTGTACCTGTCTGAACAAGCTTTAGTTCAAATATCTGGGCCGGTATATGTGACTTAAATAAGAGTACTAACGTTCGCATAACTAGGAAGAAACAAAGATTAACTGTCCTTGCCTACAAAGCGGTCAAGATTGAGGTTACTGGGACGAATGCGAAGTTGAAGGTGCACAGAGTAGATTGCCCCAAGATCGTGGTTACAGCAATGACAGTAACTATTAACAACAAATTCTGTTTAAATCATGTTGCCACGATGAGTGACAGATAACGCTTTAAGATCAAATTCGGCCAAGTTTACACAGGTCAAAAACTATAGTAGATTACGCTTTATATTCTATGTGAAGATAGATATAAACGCATTATACCACACTTTACCCAAATTCTCCCGTGTTGTCTAGAGCTCTAGGGGCGCCATCCTTATAGAAGCGGTAGATATTCTTCCGCACTAACCGTTGTGCCAAAACCGGATAAAACATGCACTTGTAAAACAGCTGGTAGCCTCTTCGGCAGATCTGAATAGGAAGGTGTGTTACTTGTAGATCATGGGTCGTTGCGGCAATGGTAAGTTAGCTTAGGTTAGTATAAGGCCATCTATGCACGTATACATGATAATCCACACACGTTTCTCTTGTCAATTCAGGCGTTACGATTTTAGGCAGAAGGTGTTGCCTTACTATTTAAACCCAGATTCTTTGCGCGCCAATTATGACATAGTACGAAAGTAAGGAGCTAAATCATCGATAGAACAGTGCAGCTTAATGCCTCTATTCAATTGCTAGCTAGTTCAAAGATACGACGTATCTACGTAGTGCTGTGAAGCATAGCTGCTACCTAAAATGCTTCCAATCGCCAATGGGCTGCTCAGCTTCGTAGCGAACGACGCTCTAGTACCTGATGCTCCAGCTCCCGAGTTACCGTATTCGCCAAAAGAGACATGATCAGTTCTCTCGTCTCCTGTGTTCCAAATATGCCATCCGGCGCCGTTAATCACGCTGCTTAAGGAAGAGGACTGGAAAGCGACCCTCGCATAATCTCCCCATGGCCTTCCCAAATAATATGCTCCACTTGTCACAGTCTTGCCGGGAGCGGCTGCGATTGTGGCTTTATTGAACACATAATAACTAGACGTATCCGATGAACGCCCAGACGCCGTGACATATCCGATAGACGCGGGGAGTACTCCAATAGTGCACTTCTCAAACCAGGCATTGGCTGATTGGCCAAAGATAAAATCTGTGGCGCCTTCAATGTAGCAAGCTGAATAGAGCTGGGCGCCGGTTTCTGCAAGCACGGTATCTTGAAAGCCTCTGAAAGAACATGCGTAATATCCTTGGTTCTGTTTATTCAAGTTAGAAGCTACTTTAATGTTAGCATATAAGCTATATCTTACCCCAGCGTTAGCGCTCAATGCCAGGGCCTGACTGCCGCTGCCATATGAGTTGACAACATTTACGTTATATAGCTTGAAATTTGTTGTCTCGACTCTCAGTGTACCTGTGCTGTCATCGTTTGGCTCATTTGCTAAACTGTGAGCTGAGGTAATTGTAACGACATTCGAGGAGTATGATGCCGTGTTTTGAGTATAGCCATATATGGTGAGCGGTCCGGTGAGCTTATTAATTGTAACCTGCTCGTTGTAGGTACCAGGGTTGATGAAAATGATTTGTTCTTGAGATGTCGACTTAAGCGCATTTACAGCCGCTTGAATCGTTGCATAATGTCCAGAACCAACAACAAGTGCGCCAGCCGGAGGAGTGGTTCTGCCAGCCGCGAGAGCTCTCGCTGTGAAAGTGAAGAAAGCGGAGAGAATAGCAAGGGGCTTCATCTTTTATATAGCTAATTATTTCAAGGCTATAATCTTTACCTACAACATCCTAGGGCCCATCAAGACTAGGTGTGGCCAACGAGGACAATTTATACTTCACACAAGCACCTCCCCACTTCTACTTAGCCACCCTAAGACCCTTCAAATTTAATTTACTCCATTGTATCTGGTTTCAATGCCATAATCGTAATCGAAACAAAAAGCTTGTTTGAGCATACTATAGACGTTGAACATTTTGCTTCAAGTTGAGCGGAGTGGTGGCTACTTACATTCTTGATCCGCCCCAATTAGAGTTGAGCACACGCAGCTCATGTTTACCGGAACTACTCTATTAAACCCAATATGCAGTCTCGGTATTATTGTCCGAGAAGAAAACAAGGGCTGAGAATGGACGGCATATTATGGGGCGCCGGCTTTCAAAAGCAATGGGATATCAGGCTAATTGGTATCAATGACTTCTTCAGACATATTTCTGCTCTCAATACAAAACATGCTCGAAATTTATCGAAACGCTCCTTGTGGACGCAGTCATTGAAGATCGATAGAGTTGACAGGTATAGTCGCTTTTCACGTAAGCCCGAGAGGCAACTGTTGCCTTGTCTCATTGAGCAAGTTCTCAGCACAAGAGACGTAGGCCACAGAACGAAGTTAAAAACTGTTTGTTGGTAATCAATGCAAAGGCATCATTTAAACCAGCGCAAATTGAAAATTCCTCAGCTCTTCTTACGCCATACAAATGTCCTGCGTTTCGTGGCATATTCTTGCGGACTATGTTTCGCGGCCTTCGGTGCACGGACTTTAGGGGGAGCGTTTCATATATGGTCCCGTCAAGGACTTGGTAAGATTACGGAGTACAAGGTCTACCATTGTTCAAATTAAGGCTACAAATTCGGAGCCATGCGGTTAAAGCATTTTCCGGTGCAACAGTTTAGATTCATGCCTATTATGTCAGCATCCGACTCTATTTTAAAATTTAAGTTGAAAAACGTATATCATTTAGCTATATGTTGCTCTTATGAAACCCCGATCTATACTATGAATCGTCTCAACTAAACAAGCCTAATTGTTTGGGTTAAGGAGAATACCCAGTACCGTTTACGCTAAGCTCAGTGGAGCGAACATAATAACGCATCGACAAATTACCAAAAATAGCGTGGCGCGTATAGATGGAGGACACATCGCTATAAACTGACTATTATAAAAGCGAGTATAATCCAATGGTAAAGAATATACATTTTTATATATGAAGATTGGTCACGCCGACTTGACTGCCTGTAACATCGAAGTCGATATATTTGCCTTGAAACCATGACTGCCCAACTAGCCAGCCCCCAGCTCCAATATTTCCGCCTGTAATGGTAGCAGTACAATTGTTGTTGCCGTTGTCTTCCATCTTGAAGGCCTCAGGTTCGATAAAGAATGTTTGAGAGCTATTTCCAATTTGGAATCCTATGTGCGGGGGAGAATCGCAAGGGTAATATCCAAATAGAGTGCCGTCGCAGCCTATAGCATCTCTCGTGAAACTCTGAATCCCAAGTTTGTCAAAGAGCGCTTTAACCATCGTACGATTACCAATAATCTTGAGACATTAGTAAGTATGTCTGTCGACTATTAAAACAAAAGCAAGGTAAAGGATACACTCACATTTGAAGTTCCACTGTCCAAGAACATGGACTGTTGAACACCAACATCAAGTATATCCAATGGTAATCCACCTTGAATAATCCATTGCTGACCGTATATAGGAGCTGTTGCCATGTCTCCACTTAGAAGACTACGATCAACGCCACCCAGGCTTAAACTACCTGTCCCAGAGGTCTCAAGACCTAAGCCGAATCGGCACTCATCCACCTGACCCTCATCGCACAAATGTTGAAAGAAGGGGGTGCCGCCAAATGAAGAATCGTCTGCTGATTCTCCTAGCAAGCCAATAATGCCTTGGCCGGGAAATTTGGTTATAGTATCGTTATTTGGTTGCGGAATATCCATGACAGTCCCAATTGACTGATTCGTGGCTGTATAAGGACCGACTATTAGCTTATCAGTGACCACATGGCTTTTAAGTATCATTTCGCCACATCCGTCTGGCTTTGTAGTAATGAACGACATTGAGACTGTCTGGTTGACAGTATGAGATTCAGATGACGGTTTGTAAAGATCTGGATTGACATAGATATCGCTAGATCCAGTATCAATTAACAGAGACAAGTCAATAGCGTCTCCAGCTGTGAAATTCCCAAACCAAAAGCCTTCCCCAAATACAAGGGGTATTGTGAGTAGAGGCTTGCTTGAGCCATTATCTTTGGTTCGGGTTGCCGCACAGCCTAACCCCAAGGCAAATGGGAATAACAAAAGGGCTCTCATTGAGACTGTAATTATTTCGCTCCAGAGCTTTCAATGGTTTTGAGTGTACGAATTAAAATGCACTTTGTAAAAAGAAGATCTTGAGTTTCAATCTTAATAACTTGCTTTGAATAGGGGTCTTCTACATGGATAGAGCATAGCCTCACCATGGATATGCATAGCCTCAATAAGGAGCAGATCGGCTATAACTAAAACACATAGAACACGAGTTCCAACATTGAGCCTAAATAAGTAAATGCCGAAAAGAACTATAAACAGGGGGGGCACAAATCGGCACATTAAAGACCCATGCTCAGTCTTAGGAAATTTAGGCTTCATATTAAAGATAAAGTTCTTCTATAGTGTACCAAGACCTCGGCACCCATTATATGTTACTTAACTTATGTTAATTAACTAATGGGAACGTTATCATTTCCTAGTTGCCGTTATTGGTGAGAGTAACCCCGTTAAGATAATTCGAATACAATGTAATGAATTTTCTACTACCATTATATGACTTATGTAATATAACTCCCTTGATGAAAATTGCGGAGTACATTTGCTTATCGATTACTGTCACAAGCTGACGCCCTTGAATTCATGGTTTGGAGTGTTCAATGATATGTACTGCAAAGAGTATAACATATCGACAAATATGGCGTAGTGCGTGTAGATGGAGGACACCTACAGCAATAATTGATTGTCATTACCAACGAACTTCTCGCAGATAGCTAATCAGTAGAGAGTACAAAGAGTGTTTCAAATTTGACATTCTACAAGTTGTAACAAGGTAGTCCATTCAACTAAGATGTACACAAGAAATTACAAAATACGGTTTATACTACTAAGTGAAAGATATGGCACTACCACCCAAGTTTCTAACACAAAAGATAAATGATTCTAGAATTCAGCAACATGAGTCTGAAGAGGTCACACAACTGTCCCCTCTGGACGGTGATTACGCTTGGATCATTGCTGTTTCTTGCTTTACTCGTAATGCCTTTCTATGGGTTATGACAGCCGTAAAAAGTCTCACTTCATCCCCTCAGCTAAGTTCATGGTCTGGCAACTGATAGAAATATAAGACGTTCTGCATTTACCTATCGGGGTACAGGCGCTCTAATATGTTTTTCAGACGCCAGGCCATTCGCATTGGCTTTATCAACGGCCATGATTTCAACTGCGCTATGTTCCTTGTGTTTCTAGTCACACACCATGTTCATCGACTTGATATATACATGTATGCCCCCTGCTATTGGGATGTGTCCTCCAATCTTCTAGATGCATTGCTGCATCATTTGCATTATGTTCATGTTACTTATACCTCACACAGTGAACCATGATTGGCGGCGGCATTGGATGAATCATTATTCCCAGCACCGCCATTTTGTCGCAGTGATTCTCAAAGCGCTGCACCATCGCCAGCGGCATAAGTTCCGCTGGTTCTAGCAGTGGTGGAGCCGCATTCGCCCGCAGAACAGCTACAAGAATACATCAAAGGTTAGGCTAGGCACTCTACATCACCGATATGGTTTCTCTAGTTGTAACTACCATTTTAAAAGCTTGTAAGCCAAATCATGCGTTCTGTTAACATTTGTTATCTATACTTACCTAAGCCCCCAGGTGCTGAGGTCATCGCTTTACGATTAGCAGCCTTACCAGGAAGAACGTAACTCTATTCTCAAGTATTCGCTGGATTATGGCGACTAAATGCTGGTGGGTTTCCAGCCTAGCTGTGGTTGGTAATGCGAAAAGCAGGCAGTATACATATTAATTATCGGACTAGGTTGAATGTAGTTGGCGCTTCTGTTATGAAGACCAGAGGAGGCTGTGTTGCTAGCATGCATCTACCTAGGCGAGACTAATGGAGCTCAGCTGTGTTAGCTTATTTTTCCAAATGGGCATTATGTATTGGTAGTTTTCAGGCATAGCCCTAAGGAGCAGTGAGTGAGCTACTGCGATTTGTTTTGCGGCACATTTGAGCCAGGTCCTTGCAGTAGAGGAGCGTCGAACGCATTTGCTCTCTTTATTGGGTTCAGAGACAAGTTCCAGCCCAGGAGCCACTATCCATAAAGTGCTAGAGAAATAATAAGAACAAAGACGAGCGATAGCCTTAATTCACAAATTATCTTGATAAGATGAAGTGCATATATGTGACGCAAATACTTGAAGAGGCCTATCTGCACTGCAGAATGATAATACTGCGATAATGCATGTGATCGAAACTTAGTGGTAGTCTGGATCAGAAAAAAAAAATCTTATTGCGACCATAGATTCAACGAACACTTATTTACAATATGGATCTCTCCGGCACCCATATTGGGAAATGACAGGACAGGGAAATGGCTGTCCTAGCGCATAGCGCTGAGACTAATGATCGTTTGTTTGACGGTGTTACTTCGCCTTTTACACTTCATAATCCGCCCACTACTGACTTCTCGCTCCCTAGCTAAAGCATCTAATGAGTTTAGCATACTAGATATTCATCTGAAAAAATTATTCTCCCTTCATCAAGTGTAGCATCTCGTTTCAGTCCATTCCCTTGTAGGGTTGAGTATTCGAAATTGAAACAGACTTGTTGGCGTTTGGCTGGGTTGCTAACAATTCTATGCACACTATGGTTAATCTAGCATGCTAAAAATAAATCACGGCCTGTAGGTAGACATTAACGTACAAGTATGGGTTGGGCTGATTTAGTTACATGTCTACATGTAGCTTGGAGAGGCAGGGGTTAATATGAGATTTTAGCGCTGATTGTCAAGTAATCAGATACCTGTAACCCTATTCAGAACCGTGAATAGCAGCAACCAGGCTTCTATCAATGGGCAATGAGTTGCGATTAGTATACTTTCATGTGAAACTGCGACAAATCATAGCAATGATAATAATACCTAATGGTAATGCAGAGTTGAATGATAGTGCTGTGTCTCTACCAGTGACTGTGACGATTAATCTTCTTTGGCGTGTTGTTGTGGTCCCGCTAGATGGTAATTAAATGACTATTACTCACTCAGCCCTGCCTACTAGCCCAAGCTCAAGGCACATTCTTGCCGTACCTAGTCGCTTCGTAAAATTTTAGTTCCTAATCAAGGTTCTGAGTTAGGCACAGCCAATTTAGTTTCCTAATGGAGACAGAAAGCTGAGAACAGGGGACAATCCTGCCGCCCAGGATGATCGCGATATATAACACTTGACAGCCACCATGTCTTAACTCCTCATACCATCGACCGTTTACAGTTTCCTCCATCATTCCCAATTTTTCTTTCGTTACTCTTTTGTTTACTTAGTCACTCATTAATTTCTCTTCTTATACTCTTCACAGCCTTTAATTACCACAATGACTAAAGAAGGCAATAACAACAAGGAGTGGGCTCACGGCCTTATGGATTGTTGTTCTCCTGGTGGCCTTTGTCTTATGACTACATTTTGTCCATGTATAACGCATGGGAAAACCGCCCATAGGTTGGAACATGGCAATTTAGACGATTACTCGTGCTGTAATGGATCTGTAAGTCCCTACCATGACTATGTGTTCTATCGACATACAGAAAGAGAAAAAAACATACAGAAACAGAAAACAATGCCAGCAAAGTGGCTGACATCGGCATAGTGTATCCTATTCGCCATTCTTACACACTGCGGACTCCAGTGCATCCCCGCGACAATGCAACGAGGCGAGCTGCGCGAGAAGTACAATCTTGAGGGTGGCTGCTTTGGAGATTTCTGCAAATCTTGCTGGTGCACTTGCTGTGTCTTAATCCAGAATGAGAAGGAGTCAGAACAGCGCGAATCTCTCCTGAGAGGCTCGTCCGAGGGATACCAACCTAACGGCGGTATGGTGTATCCACAGGGAAATTAATTTGAATGAGCTACAAGTATACCAAGACAATACTTAAAAACTCATTGACGTTAACTGAGATTTTACGCGCCTCATGAGGAGTGTATATGCGATAAGAAGTGTTTAGATGTTCAAAGGGTGCGGGAAAAATCACGCAGGAAGGATTTAGGACAAGATCTATGAAGGAAAGCTGTTTCAGTCAGCATTATTGTTTCAGAATTTTTTTTTTTTCCCTTTATTAACGTTTATTATATGGAATAGGATGTGGCATCCTGATTTTCTAGGAATAGTGTTTAGCGGAAAATACCATTACTTGTTGCTTTCATACTTGTTGCAATCTCTTATCTGTTGCGATCGCTCTCTTTAGCGACATTACATGTGCACCCTGGCCTGTGATTTCTGAAGGACTCAGAACAATGAGATGGAGAGATCGGCGTCCATTGTGGAGGAGATTGACTATGGAAATAAAAGTCCGTCGCTAAGCTACACCGAGTACTAATAATCTCAAACGATGTGTAAAATTAAAGCTAGTAGCGGATATCGCTACACCAGTTGTGCTGGCGTAAAGGAAAGACGCTGCTTCTGCTTATACCTGAGCCACGCTTATCTCCACCACCACCCGGAGGACCACCAGGAGCACGACGACCATGGTCGCACGATGCCGTTCAGGTGGTGCAATTGCTGCTCGATCATGGAGCAGATATCAATGCAGAAAGCGGAATATATGGAACAGCACTTGCAGCTGCTTTAAGGCCATCGCGGCCGTGGTCATGATCTTTGCCAATTGGTCGGCACGACTTGCCATCTATTTTGGGAATATCTAGTTAGTATGTTGCTAGACCTCTATGTTTTACATTTTTGAGTGAAATCTTTGTATATGCTCTAGCATTGCTAGACTGTCCCAGCATTGTGAAGTTCGGCAACAAGCGAAGCTGTGTGGGACACTTTACATAGAGACATAGTATCGTCCATATAATTTACGGATCCTTGCACCTTTTCCATCTACCCAACACCAATGGTCTTTTGCGATATACTTGTTAACTAGTCATGCTTAACAGCACTGAAGTCTTCTGGCAGCATAATCAGGCAGAAGAATGGTGGGTCGGTCGATGGTCCGAAATACAACTGATACCGGTTGATAGGCTAAAAAATGCGAGAAGAAGAATGATGAATATCTAGTGCATCTAGGTTTAATCCAATGGATAGATGATCTATATATGGGGCGCTTGCGCTACAAGTCACTTTGAAGAGGTCGAATAGAAGTAGTGGAGATCTGGCATTTTCCAGAATTAAATGCGACCTAAAATTGGGATAAAAGGCTTCCAAGATCTTGATTTACCTAAATGGGATGCGCCCTTAGCATAATGAAAGATGGCTATACAAGTGTAGGATAAATCTTGTTTAGCGTACGTTACTACATCAGATAAATCTCCGGTCCCAGCGCACATATGAGAGCGATATTTATGTAATAAAATTTTGTAAATGCAATTGATATCATGCTTATTTAGAATAAAAAAACATGAGAGAGAATTACTTGGCTTCGCAAGCTATCATGCTCCTGCCATTATCTTACAATCAACCTTGGTATATCCACATCCCGTCATCAATACTCAACAAACGTTCGTAACAGCATTATTTACAGATGGATTTATGTTTTTTTTTTTTCTTTAAATATGTTTTTCGTGAGATGGTGTATCGGGAGCCAAGTCCTGCTTTAGACATGCTCTTCGTGAAATGGCACCTCGGGAGCCAAGTCCTTGTTGTTATGGTTGGCTGCATCGCTCAAAGGACCATCGCTCTCCTGATCCGCAAGAACATCAAGATCGACACCAGCTTTCCTCCTAATATTTGCCATATGTTCTGGAGGCGGTGGGACCCATTTGGTGCTCTTCCATGGTAGGACGTGCTCGAGATACATGGTGTCGATCTCCTCGAGGGTGCGGCCTTGGCCTTCGATAACGAAGAAGTAGATGATGAGAGCTCCCATAAAGTTACAGCCTGCAAAGACATAACCATATCTAAAAAAAAAATATATACGGTTAGAAAAAGAATAATTAATAATGAATGCGAAGTGTGAACATACCTGAAATCAATTGCGCCGGTGATGAAGGGGGTGAAGAAACCAATACAGAAGTTCCAGATCCAGTTGCTGGCAGTGGACAGAGCCATACCCTTAGCACGATAGCGCGAAGGGAAAATTTCGGCCTGAATAGTCCAGATCATGGGACCCCAGGTGGTAGCAAAGCCAAGAATAAAGAGACAGGCGAAGACGATCAGAACGATACCCGGTGTGGGAGTGAGGGTGGGATCTTGCAGGTTAAGCATAAAATGGCCAACTGATGCAAAGATCATGAAGCAAATAAACATCCAGATAGAACCGGCAATGAGAGACTTGCGACGACCAAAGTGCTCAACCATGTACAGACCGATGAAGGTGACACCAAAGTTGATACTGTTGAGGATGATCTGGGTAACAAACGAGTTGATCTGCACCGACTTGAAGATGGTTGTACCGTAATAGAAGAAGTAGTTGGCGCCAGTGAGCTGCTGGAACATCTGAAGGGTCATACCAAGAGCGATACGGTAGGCCATACGGGGAGCCTTGAACATAGTAATGAACTCCTTGACGGGGCCATTCTTGATCTGGTCTTCAGCGCGCAGCTTGCGCTCGATTTCGGTGATCTGAGTGTGCACAGCCCAGTGGTTTTCCGTAGCGCCATACACCCGGCAGATCGTTTGTTTGGCTCGCTCCTCATTCCCGTGTCGGAAATCGAATCGAGGGGTTTCCGGGAAGGCCAAGATGCCAACACCAAGGCCAATGACCCAGATCCAACCCAGACCAATGACAATGCGCCAGCTACCAGAGTTGCCTGACTGATGCTTGACAGTGCCGTAGTTGAAGCAAGCGGCCAGCCAGATACCCATGGTGATGAAGAGCTGGTAAGCGCAAACCATGGCACCACGAATCCAGGCCGGCGCTGTCTCAGCCTGGTACATGGGCACAAGCAAACTGAGCGCGCCAACTCCCAAACCGGAAATAAATCGACCAATCATAAGCTGGTACCAGGCGGTAATAGACGCGATTTGAATGACGAAACCAGCGCCAACCACGAAAGAAGCAAGAGAAATACTTGGTTTTCTCCCTATTCTATCGGCGATGGGGGCAGCGACTAAAGCACCAAACAATGTGCCTATAGACAGCAAAGCCACGATCAATCCAGCTCTTACATTGCTGAAATACTTTGTGCCGTCTGAGTGGGTGAGACCGAAGCGGTCGAGGAAGTCGGGCATCTCCAGGAATCCAGAAATCTGACCAGTATCATAACCAAAACTATTTGGTAAACAGTTAGCTAAGTTCAACCATTTTTTTTTTTTTCAAGGAATTGCTGACATCAAGCCACCGAATGAAATAAGGCATCCCATGGCCCATGATCGTCCAGTTACACGTGGTAAGGGAGAATAGTCCAGGCCAGATACTGAAGGGCGACCGAAGTCAGGGTTGTGCTTCTCCGACGAAGGGTCATGCTGATCAAAGTAGATGGTCATAAAACCACCCTTTCTGCGACCCATTGTGAAGGTATTGTTGGTGGTATCAATGCCCTTGAATGGCAAACGGTAGTGGTGTTGTGCTCTGCTAGATGATGTGGTGGTGTAGTTGTGGTGAGTAGTTATAAGTCTACTATGATGAAGAGCTAGGAGAAGAAAGAGCTACTCTTAGATCCCTAGTAGCTATGAGGTAGTGGTGATGGTATATCTATTTACTCCAATATTTCTATTTCAAGCTGGATCATCGAGGGGGGGGAGCCATTGGGGTATATATGTTCTCCAACAAGGACGAGGGCCGCCACTGCAGACGGTTTCGTTGCTATGACCTAATCAACCACAAACACCCACGCCATATGGTCACGATCTCAAGGAATCGTGGGACCCCGGCCCAAGCCCGGCGGTTTGGTGGGTGGCCTTGCAAGAATCTCCAAAGCAGGCCCTAGCCCCAGACAAGAGAAAGAGAGAGAAAAAGTCTGCCCACCCCACAGGTTCAGGGCTCGGGGAAACCCCCAGCTTTGCGCCTAAAACCATGGGGATACAGGCAGCGGACGCAGGTCAGGTGTGATTGACAAAAGCTGAGGCCCGAATTGGGTGACAAAACCGCCCACCATACCGAGATTCTCCATGGCACAAATCGGTCCTACTCTCCAGACTTTCTCCATTGCCTTCTCCATACACTGTGGGGAGCCGGAGAAGAACGACGGAAGACACAAAACGAGATTTGGGCACGAGTCCCGTGATTCCATTGGCCGGCGGACGCCCCGAGGGTGAAGATTTGAAGAGGCTGAGGCGAATCACAGCGAGACCGTCACAACTGACCGAGGCTCCACTGGCATGAGGCGCTCCACTGGGTAAAGCTTCTTTCTCATGCCGGACTGGATTGCTGCTCGTTTGGGACTCGTCTCGGCATATTCGGGGTCCAGTTTTTTTTTTTTTTTTTCCTTCTTTTTTTTTTCTTTGCGAAACATACGTATGAATCAGCAAACGCCGCATTGTAGATCCCCCTTATCAGAAAGCGTGATGCTTAATGGAACCCAACTGGAGGTGCGTTACGCGCATTGACACGGATGCGAATCATCTTCATGGGCATCATCACCATCAAAACACAAATAATAGTAATAATAGTAATAATAATAATAAACTGAAGAGGCTAAGATAGTCGTCGTGCAACTCCCAGCGCCCTCTCCAATTCCTCCAATTTCTTCTTCTCTCCTTCCTTGTCCCATGACGTAGGCACCGGCGCCGAGGTGGGTCCCCGCAAGATCCGGCGCGTTAGGACGAACCAAGGGGGGGAAAAATACAACCACCGCAGCACATACGAGTTATAGCGGCAGACCGGCGGCGATTTTTTTCGGCACTTCCCAGCTTATGACGTTGTTGGCATCGGGCTAGCTGCGGCAGTTTTCCGCCGGGCTTAATTGACACATTGACAGGGGAAGAAACAAGAGTGCAGTAGCTACCGAGCCGCACTGAAGCAGGGCGTGGGTGTTAAGGAAGCATCACCTAAAGGGGCAGAAACGTTTGATTGCTTAATTGCTGGGAATTGACTGACAAAGCCCAAAGCTCATGACCAAGAGAAGCTCGGCGAACGACCCAGAGTAAGAAGAAGAAAAAAATTGATGCAAGAGAAGAAAAAAATTCGAGTCAGCAGGTATCCTCCTTTTCGGTCCTTTACCGTGCACAACACTGAATACGCGGCTTCTCGGAGTCCGCTGCGGCCCCCATGACCCCTTGATGGAGGAATTCTCACTGAAAATCTCATTGATCCACGGGTTTTCCGCGTAGAGCTGATTCAGCGGGCATGTTATTCTGCATAATCTTCTTCTTCTCTCCTGTGCAGTCTGTAATCATCGTCCAATGCCTGCGTGACAGTCACTGACTAACACCACATCGAGCCTCTGACCACCACCACTCGCTCACCGGCCTCTTCGGAACAGAGTTCAGCGGTCTCTGTTCTTATTCTTCTTTCTCCAGGTTCTCTCCCATCCATTACACGACCCAGCACGAATAAGATGGCAGGGGGTTGACATGGCAAGATCCCGCAATACCCAATCTCCAGTTATTTGGAAACCATCGCCAACCCCGAAGAAGGGCCAGAGTTTCAACCCGTCTTTGTCGCCTCCACATTCGTTGTTTCCCCATCCAATGTGATTCCCCCAGCTACACAAAGTTATTTCTTCGTTCTGTCTTCTTATTCGCTGTCGGATTTTCCTACAGCCGCCACGCACGTGCTGTGTTGCCATTGAGGCTGTCACCCTTTGTTTTTTTACCTCAGATCGACAGACAAGGCGAGGTGGCACGCTCGCCTCTCGTGGCAGCCACTGTTGCAAGAGGCTTTGCGCCCCAACCCAAAGCTCAGCCGTCTCCGAATTCTCCAAATTCTTGTTCGTTACTTCTTAAAAAGCCACAGCGACTTAATTAGGACGATCGTGCCACGAAGGTGCCGATTCGCAGCCACGCAGTGTCTCACCTAGGAAACAATCCAAGCCTGTTCGAGGAAGATCTTGACTTTATACTTTGTCCTATATTTAACGCTAAATGAAACATAAACGCTATACTTTCCCAGCCGACAAGAATCTTGATTGAACGTCAGGTTGGCCAAGATAGCCTCAGCCCTCCCTTTTTGTCCTGTTTTGCTCTGCATTTTTTCCATCCACAGTAACTCGTCAACCCAAGTTATTGCCAGCCTCCATACGCCACGCGCCATCTTTCGTCTATTAACCATTCTATACACCATACTGCTGTCTCCCTCTCGTCTCCAAAGTGTAGTTAGAAATACCCAATACCTTTCAAAAACAAAGCTTTGCAGGTTGTCACAACAGCTTCACCGCTCACAATAAAAACAAACAAGGTGAAAATGAAGAAGGAGGTTATACGCGTTCCTCATAGCTCCTCTTCGGGAATGTGGCCCTCCACAGTACTCAGAGCTGCTAGGTTCACCTCTCCCACACGCTCGAGGCTAGCTGGGTCACCAGCTCCGGCTAGCAATCCCACACACTCAATAACGTCTTCGGGTTCCAGGAGATGCCATTTGGCCAGTGTCACCTTGGTGCTTGCCCCCACAGTTACAGTAAAGACGTGCTGATCGTCCAGAACTGTGCCTGATGCCCCGTTAAGGCTTCGGAACATGTCCTCGTCCGTAAAATCATCTCCGGAGCAGAGAGCAAACTCGATCTTTCCAGGATGTGGGTCCTTGTCTGTCGGTGCAGCTCCCGGGTTGTGATAAGTAGCCACCAGCCGTTTGGCGATTTCACCCTTGTTGATAAAGGTCGGGCGCACCTCAATGTTAGCCTTGCCAGGCATCACCTCGACCTCCCACCTCTGGCCCACCCCGCTTTCCAGCACCTTGTGGCACTCGCGTGACATGTGTAACCCTTGCTCAGGCTCGGCAAGCCGGTAATGCCAAGTCAAGGCGCAGCGCTTTCTTTCTATGAAGGAACCTAAGAGATTCAAAAGTTAGCTTCTGCTGATGCTAAAAGGTGAGCTGTACCGTGGTGGCTCGGGAGGGCACTCACCTGGAACCCTGTCTGTATACTTCTGGAAAACTTCCATGACTTCTGATTGCCAGCCCATGTCGAATTTCTCTGCCAAGTTGATCCACTCCTCGCTGCCAGGATCCCTCATAAAGCTACCGTGCTCAGCAGAGAATCCAATTTGAGAGATGTGTCCAAGATGCTGCTGAAGGAACTCTTGGTCTCGGCCCGAGATGATCCAGACAGCATTCCTAGAATCCGCCGCGAGTGACTTCAAGTAGCGAATGATGCGTTCTGAAGGGACCGCTGCACTTGGCTCACGTACGATCGGAGTGAGTGTTCCGTCGTAATCAAACATAAACAGTCGCTTCTTTGCCGAGCGATAACGAGATAGCAGGAGGGCTCGATCGAGCAAGGGCGTTGAGTTAGCCGAGTTGCTTTCACCCAGAACAGTGTGTACCTTGCGAACAAACTTGCTAATCCACGACTGGACGTTCTGTGTCGTAACATGATCATAGAGGCTAGCCTGCATCTTAGTGCGTTCCTCGCTAGGCATGGTCAGAGCCGTGTTGATCTTTTCCGCCACCCCTGTGATATCCCAGGGGTTGATGTGAATTGCATCACGGAGACTACCAGCCGTGCCACTAAACTCTGACAGAATAAGAGGGCCGTTGTTATCCTTTTGGCAAATGATGTACTCGAGGCTCGTCGTATTCATCCCATCTCGCACCGATGTAATGAGGCCAATGTCTGCCGCTCGCAGCAAAGCAAAGTATTCCGCTTGGTTGAGGTACTGGGGGTAGTGTTGTACAGGCGAAAATCCGAGGCTGCCATATTCGCCGTTGATCTTGATGATGAGCTCATTGACTCGGCTGGCAACCTTGTTCTCCGGATCGTCCTTTTCGGCCGCCACGCTAGTGGGCGACGTCACCTGGATCAAAACTACCTTTTCTCTCCAGTGGGGGTACATTTCCAAGAACCGCTCAAACGCTTGAAGCTTTTGGGCCACGCCCCTAACGCTGTCTAGCCGATCTCGTCCAACAATAATCTTCTTGCCTTCATACATCTTCAGGAGCGCCGCATGCTTCGCGTTCACCTCGTCTGCCCAGGCAGCGGTCGCTACCTTGGCGGCATCGATGCCAATGGGGAACACGCCGACTTGTACTCTAGTGCCGTACGCATCGATGCCAAGAGTATCGGATGGGAAACCAAGGATGCGCGTACAGCAGCTGAGGAAATGCCGGGAGTAGCTGTACGACTGAAAGCCCACGAGATTAGAGCCGAGGATGCCCTCGAGCACCTCTTTCCGGCGAGGCAAGCACCGGAGGAATTCGCTGCTGGGAAATGGAGAATGCAGGAAGAAAGATATGTACATATTCGGGACACGTTGGCGCAGCATGCTGGGCAGCAGCAGAAGATAGTAATCGTGAACGATGACTACATCGCCAGGCTTGTAAATCTCAATGATTTTGTTGGCAAACTTCTGGTTCATGCGGTAGTAATCCGCCCACTGAGCGCGCTCCTTGCGGCCATCCGTAGGCTCGTGCTGTTTATAGTGAAACAGTGTGTAGAGGTCATGCTCAGCGTAGCGCCGCCATCGGGCCTGGTCTTTGAGCATGATGCCATCGTCGGTGGCCTCGCTCTCATCAGCAAGCCAAACGGGCACTGTGCGGATAGTCTTGCTGTGAGACAATTGTTGTTCCAGCCGAGCCTGGTCTGCTTTCGGTATCCAGAGCCCGTCAACTGGAGGGGGAGTAGGCAGTCGTGTTGTAGCATCGATCGGTACGGGGGCGGACAACGCATTCACAGATGTGGCGGCATTGACGGCAGCCGAGGGTGTGTCCGGAGGAGAGAGCGGGTCGTCGTCGGGATTTCCAATCTCGCCTGTCCAGGCGACCACGGTGTGATTCCACGGCGTCGCATCGGAGGAGAGATAGGCAAAGGAGTCGATGAGGGCGGACTGGCCGCGGCGGGGTTTGAGGTCCTGCGTAGCGAAGCTGGTCAGTATCACGCACTTGAAGCAGAGGCAAAAGCGGTGCCAAAGGACTAGATTAGGCCAGGACACGGGAACGATGGGCGCGTGCTCCTCTGCGCCGACAATCGCATGTTCAGCGCAGCAGAGCATCAGGCCACGCCTCAGAGCATCCCTCTTCGCATTCGTCCTCGTCGCAGCAGCAGATTCTTCCGCCGAAATAGACTCACCCAGGCGCCGCCCTTGTGGTATGTCACGGCATGCGGGATGTTGAATGTCGCGGAGATGATGTTTCCGGTCAGGGAGAGCTCGGGATTGGCGGCGCGAATCTCAGACAGAGACTCACGGCGCGCCATTATGCCGTTGCGCGCGCAGCAGACTGGTCGAGGACGGGTTGATGTTTCGCAGCCGGTCGGTGCCTCGATGTCTTGAGGAGGTCTGGAGGAGGGGGAGGGGTACAAGTCAGCAGCTGGCAAACTGGCGGCAGCGGGTGTTAGGCAGCAGGTATCTTTACTTTAGCACTAGACGCCGTTGATACTTTGGTGCTGATTCCAAGGAAGCTCAGACTTTTTGGTAGCGGGGTGCTCAGCGTCAAGCGCCTCGGTGCTTGTTTTGTCGGAAGTCGATAGATGGCCTCAAAGGGGTGTCTCTTTGGCGGAAAACTCGCCGTGACGAGTATCTATTCAGATCCACGGCTAATGGCTGCGCAGGTCGCAAACTGGGAAAGCAAGAAGAAAGCAAGAAGAAAGCAAGGCGAAGAGCAAGAGGGAAAAAGAATGACTCTTGCTTGGCTGGAGAAGGGGAAAAGGTGTGGCTTAATACTAATACTAATACTAATACTAATACTACGTGCTTGCGACTACTGGGGGCGATGAAGCGTGTATCTCCTTTCCATCGATTCACAATGACTTGCGACGTCGCCCTATCGGGAGCTCCAGCAGCGGGTCGTGGTCCCTTGTCGGCCGTGGCTCGCTCGAAGCTTGTTCTACGGATTTCTGGCGTTATTGGTATTGACTGGGGCCATCCAGCAGTCGGAATACGGAGCATTGCAAGGTTTATTCGCAGCCAAGGAAGCGTGCCATTGGATGTGGCCCGCAAGGAGACCATCGAGTCTATGATTGGCACACGTGCAGCGCCGTCGAGATTCTCACAACCTCAGCCCGCACACAACCACTACGAGGCACTCACACCCAGCTAGATGCCACTCTATTAACTCACCTCACGCCCAGAAATTCACTCAAAGAGGGCTTTACGGAAACGCGTCTCGGGCCGAATAAGTTCTAGGCATTTGCCTCGAGGTGCAGTCTCTGCATTTGCCTACAGAAATCTAGCCGCAGCCCAGGCCGATTTAACCTTTCAGCTCTTCGAGATATGAGAAGCTGTCTCGGGCCAAAGACCAATGCTGGTAACTTTGGCTTACGAAATGCTAATCAAACGAATCTCTCCAGCAGCCGGGGCAGTGGAGCAGCACTAAACAGTTGCAGCTCAAGCGTCTCGGAGACTGAATTTCGGGCCGGGCTCATGACAGCTCGTGAAGCTGCACTTATACAGGACCCAGAGAACACGTAGGTATTACTAGCGAGGCTGCGACTGGCCCCCGGCGGAGATGCTCCGTATGGAGCAGATGGGCGGGGGAGCGGTCATGGTCTTTCCCCCAGGCTTGCAAACACCACCCCTTTTTTTGTTGATGGGAAAAGGAGCTTGTTCAGGAGAAGCCAGTCCGTGCTGGCACTGGCGATATATTTAGCACTGCCTGTGTTCATACGCTACCTGAGATAAGCGGCGGTGAATGAGCATGTGACTTCCATGAAAATTACTTTTAAATTGAGTCCTTTCAGCTTCCGGGTTTAGGAGCCGAGCCTCGAGAGCTCGACAGAAGGTAGTAGCATGCGTGACATTTTGCGGGCGGATATTTTGCACCAGCTCAGCATAGTGCCAATTTGCCCAGCTGTTCTACCACCTAAAGCTGAATGAGATGCATGCAGGCTATATTGCATGTTGCTTCGTACCTGTCATCCATTTCCAGTACTACCACTACTGCTGTGAAGTACCCGTAGTATTAGTGGTTAGCACTACCAAATCTGCTGCTGCTTGTCCCTGGCAGCCATGCGGGAAAAAAAATGCGCTGCTAATGACGCAGTAATTGCCTTACCCACACAGGTTGTCTTTCATTGGGGCAGAATATGGATGTCTAACCACCAAAAGACACGCATATTTGGCTTGTCATAGCTTTCATTATATGTAGTCATTGATTCATCCACTTGCTACAGCTGCTGCCTATGACACTGTTATAATTTAGCGGTTTAGGCCACGTAGAACTTTCAGCGACTTGTAAAAATCTATAGAATATTTTCACATGCTTTTCTGAGGCTACCAAATGTTACCCACTTCATCCCGCAAAGATGTGGATGCGAGTGACTTTTGTCGGCCATACACAGTCCAAGGAGGAAAAAAATGTCGCGCGTCATGATTGCGAAAGCCAGGATTGGCCAGCATCGTGCGGCTGTCGATACACGCAGAAACCGATCTGCAGATGGCCGAAACATCTTGGAGAAGTGAGGCATGATGGTCCAGCCTGCTTCCTAAAACGAGGCTAGTGAATCGCATGTTAGGCGACTACGTCAATGTTACGCGTGCATTTCAGAGAATCTAGACGACATCTCCAGTCGGACAAGAGGCATGATAACTCCCTCTTAAGTTAGCTAGAGTTGGAGCTACAACTACGCGCAATACAATTGTCGGTGCATGCATAAGAGGCGTGCTGTTTTGGCTCTTGCTGCACTTTGTGGAATTCTCATACAATACCTAGTAAGATGGCCGCCGTAGCTTGCAAATGTGGACTAGCGAAAAACCTCAAAAACAAACTTAGAAAATACCAGCTCAACCAATGGCCAAGAATGAACTGAGCTGATGAGATGGATTGTATTTAGAATAATAGATGCAATTATGAGACAGTTATTTCATGCAGAGCACGAAACGTACTGAATGGTATCAAGGCATCTGCAGTAAACGGACCAAATATAGCAATGACAAGGCTTACCCTATACCTCGCGTCGTTGAATGAAAGTCACGTGATATGTATCAAGTACCTCGCCTCCCGCAATCTTTTCCTCGCTTCCTCTCGGTATCGGCGTCACCTCGCTTCAACAACCCACAACATCCGGGAATCCGCCGACAATCAGCCATCGCGAGAACTGACCTCGCACATCGCTCCAACCGCCATGTCGGCATCTCCACCACCGTCGCCGTCCCAGCACGCAACTGCCCACGCTTACGCTAGCAACGGGCTGGAAATCCTGCAGGCTGCCAGTGACGCTGCTCAGGCCATCCAGAACCACCATCCTTTGCAGAATGCCGCCGCCGAAGCTGTTGCCCAGTCCCATGCCGTCGGGGTGCCCATCGCCCCGGCGCCAGAGCTGCGGATGCCCTCGCCCCAGCTCCAGCAGCAGCAGCAGCATCTCGTTGCCGGGCCTGGGGGCGTCATGAGAGATCCCACCATCAATCCCAAGCTCACGCGACTTCGACGCGCCTGCGACATGTGCAGCATGCGCAAGGTGAAATGCGACGACTCTAACATGCCTTGTCGCCCTTGCCGCGAGCTGGGTGTTGACTGCACCTTTAACCGAGAAACCAAGAGACGTGGGCCACCAAACAAACATGCCGAAGCCGCCAAAGCCGCCAAGAGATCTCGCATGGAGTCAGCAGTGGCGCCTCCTGGATTCCCCTCGTCCCCATCGCCTCAAAATGCTGCCAAGACGCTCATGACCATATCCACGGATGGAGTGCTGGATGCAGAGGCGATTGCGCCAATGCCTGTGCTGGAGCTTCTCGTGGACGACTTCTTCACGTATATTCATCCACTTGCTCCATTCCCTCACGAGCCAACATTCCGTCAGTCATTTGCGAATAGAGAGGATCGAACGAAACCGGAGTTTCTAGGACTTTTGGCTAGTATGATTGGTGCCTTGGCCGCATCATTTCCGCGGAGCGCCAGAGAGCACCTCAAGGCCCAGCACAGCACGCATCTTTTCCCCAAGGCCATAGTCATGATTGAAAAATGTCGTGACATCGCCCTCCTCACACGCGGAAGCAGATGGGTGCTGAAACAACCAAAGACACTAGACGATGCTGCTACCAGCTACTTTCTCGGGCTGGCATCTGGCTATACTCTGCAATGGAATGCATCTCGCCAATTCATGGCTGAGACCTTGACGCTTCTCAGAGAACTCGGCTTTAGCAGACCCAAACATCCTGGAGAACTTCCCACTTTTGGAAGTGACAATTTTGCTCCTGACCCAATGCCGTTCAATCATGTCAAAGACCAGATTGGCAAGCGCATCTTCTGGTGTCTACTGTTAGGCGTTCGGTAAGTTTCCTTCATCGTACGAGAAAACAATTGAGTGCTAACTTCATCTAGCTCCTTTTCCCAGCTCGGCGCATCTCATACAGACATTGTCATTGCTCCATCAACACCCAGTCTCCCCTATCCCGCATATCCTGAGAATGTCGATGACATCTGTGTTCTTGCGAATGAGATTATCCATCAAGCGGAGGGCAGTGTTACACTTCTCACAGGCTTTCGGTTTGGTATTGACATTTACACAACCATGAACGGCGTCGTCAGCTTAGAGTTGGCGTACGGCATGAGCACTCTTCCCTGGGCTGACCAAAGACTCCTCCTACGAGATGGTTTGTTAGCTGCAAAGAGTATTATCGATAATCTGCCACCAGAGCTCCAGCTAGGCAACCCGGGAGACGAAGCAAATCCACTGGCTGCCATGGAAGAATCCGGCCTCCAGTACGTCCCACCAGTATGGCCAAACACACAGCCACCGCACGATGTGCGCAATATTATCAAGAACCAGCCCATGAGACGTCGACAACTTCAATACGAGATTCAGAAAGCCAACATTTTTGTCTCACAACTCGCCACGCGATCGTATTTTGTGGAGCTATACTTCAACCTAAGAGATGTTCATCTTAGCGAGCAGCAGCAAACCCTCGAAGTTGAAGGTACGAGCGAAGAGGAAAAAGCTATTCAAGATGCGGACGACAAGGAGATTTTGGAATTCATGTCTGCCGAGAGAGAAATCATTGTCCAAAACCTTTTGACTGTGCTGGGGTCTATCTCACAGCGAAATCTTGAGCCGAACGGAGGGTCCCTCATCAATAAAATCCGCCAGGTCGCTTCCACGCTGCTGAATGATGCCCCTGAAAGGAAAGGCCCGTTTGCCATCAAATCAGAAGAGGCGTTGTCGCAGCTGCTTGATATATTAGTGAAGCTTGAAAAGACAGGCCCCGTTGGAGAGACGACCCGAGCACCGGACCCTCTCCAGATGACTGCGGAAGATGAAGAGGAAGAGCTGAGGCACTGGGCCGACCTGAGAGAATATCAGCTGCGTTTCGCTGCAAATGGGGGCTTTGCTGGCGACTTGTAAGATTTTATCTATCCTGATTGTGAGTTATATTTTTGCCTCTACCTCATGGGCAATCGATTGGGCAGCATCTCAGAATGCATATCATCGCCCTACATCCTTGATACTATGTAAAAATATCCGGAGTTGAGCAAAAGTTTTGTTCAAAATAATCAATGGCATGGCTGTAATGCTAATAGGAATTAATACTTACTTCACTCTCTTTTACGTGGCCCCTATTACATCCGTCGTCTACTCTTAGAAATCCTAGCTAGCTACCGTGTTATTTGAGCTAATCTTGATAGTATGACAAAAGAATCAAGAGAAGAAATACAAAAAAACATACAACAGCCGGTGTTCGCCAGTGGTCACCCACCTGACTACTAATCTGCCGGTTAGTGGCTTATCTATGGGGGAGCAGACGGGACCCCGAGTTTTCCACTACCTATGGTCGTATGTGCTTGTTATGCCTTCTCGTGAGATTATAACAGTACCAGAAACACTGAGCAGAGAGGAGATTCGCTGGTAAACCACCTAGCCGAGAATTGATATTGAGCAATTAGGAATTAGTATATATTTAGATCATTTGTTCAAGTATAACAATATCTGGCTATTCCTGTTTAATAAAGATTGCTATTAATACAAAGTCCAATCCATTCATCTAAGCGTCGAATTCCTATTTTTACTCCTCAGGTTGTTCGTCGACGCAGTGCTGAAATAGTCGTCAAGCCCACTAGAGAAGCTATTCTGAACTCTCGAGCTTAAAGTGCTCAGCGCCAAGATTATGGTTGACCCATGAAATCTAAGCCAAGGTACACAAAAACATAGGACAGCTGTGAAGCGGCAGAGCTATACACTATCTCCTATTAAGGAAGCTAGTATTAATGTTTAAAACAACCTGGAGTAGATGGCAAGATTTATTGCCAAGCGAGATGATCCATGAGGAACTCAAAGTTATTGATAAATATGTTAAGGGGACACCTTAATCGTTGATGAGAAAGCTATATATAGTGGTTGGATTGAACCTATATTTCCATCTATTCCTCAATCGTGTTTGAGCTTGCTTTTGCGATTCCATAACCCTTTCGTAGCAATTATTGCCCTCCTTCGAAATGGCCGTTATGAGGATCAAGTATAGGCGATGAAGCGATGAAACAGCATGAACTGACCCAACCTGATGAGCTACGGAACACAGATTAGATTGCAAAGACTCGATGCTTATTTGTCTAAACCCGTCACCACTTTTTCCAATAGCATCGTTGAATTTATTAGATTTCTGTAATTTGTTAGATAGTGGTATGTATTGTGGTCGTTGAACGAAGGAATTACAGAGAATATAGGGAGCAGCTCTATCCAAAGCCAGACGGTGTGTCCCAATGGCGGCTTGATCTTATATTAAGGGGGGAGGGGGTTAGTCGTCTTTGATCGCAAAACTCGTAATGCAATGCAGTATCAGTTTCTGTCTTTGTTACCATTCCCTCACTCCATCTCAAGTTCCTGTTGGTGCGATTAGAAACCCAATCATATGTATCCTGGTTGTTGGACAGATTGGCATACGTGTCGAGATCTTCTTGAACAAGGCAAAGCCGAATTCGTGACGCTCGGCGCTCTTGAAGTTAAGTGTTGTAACGGTACGAAGGATAGCAATGTATCCGTAAACTCGTGCTTTGCCCTGACTCCAACAGCTTGGTTTTGGCTGATGGCAATGTAGGCTTGGCTCATCTAGTCATGAACACCAGCTGCTCTAATCTCAGGGATAAAGATGTCTTCCGCGGCACGAGCAATAGCGACTCTCTCAGCGTCATACAGTGGAGCTTCTAAAAATACCAGACGGTCTACCTATGAGTATAGAGGCACAACTATAGCTTTAAGTCTTTGCAAAAAGTGTACGGATCTTGCGGCCAAGAGAGATGTCCTGGGGAAAAGGTAGTACGAGAAATTGCCGAGACCCTCTAAGGAGTCGGAGTTACCCTAAGGTCTTGCTTAGTATTCGAACACGCTTGATCTCATCCTCAGAGAATTATTGGAGTCTTGGGGATACGGACATTTTCGCCTCCAAAGGGGAATTGTATCCCCATGATCAGGCATTATCGAGCAAATTTGCCAGTAAGAGACAAGTATAATAGATCCTTCTCCACTTCTCTTGATCACCTCTTTCCGATACTATTTGCAGAGTACCAGTTAGTTGGCACCAATTACAATGCGGTGCCCGACATCCAAATGTTCCGACCGATGGTACTTCTCCTCGTGCAACGCCTAGAACCACCATCCGAAAAGGACTTGACGGAATATCCTACAAAGACGGGGGAATTCGTCGAGTCTGCTCACCCTCCATACAATTTCCTGGAGAGATGGCTTGGCATGTCGCAATTGACTCTGGGCAACGAGGAGGGCGGTACGAGGACAGGGACGAAGATGACAATGATTACGAATGTGACGATCAGGGTGACGGAGAAGAGGATGAAGATGATGGTTACGTGAAAGAAGGCGACGAGAATGAGGGCGATAGCTATGAAGATGAGTGTAGCTGAGATTGCTAACCTCCTAGGTACGTGCACGAAGCCTCGGAGCTTATTACTCCTATGATACTCCATACATGAAGTACTAACCGCACAGCGGTGGAGATTCTTTCATCGCGGTATAGAGTACTTAGGCTCAATTAAAGTTTAGCAAGTGGTACTTGGAGGGATATACAAATTGGCGAGTGAGTCACTGCTGAATAAAGGCCTAACCTTCTCTCGTATTTAATACCTAGTATTTAGTCTAATATGCAGTCTAACTTTGAATAGGTACTATTTGATCTCTGGTAAGTCTATTAAGCCTTGATATGTACCTATACAATTATTCTACCGTCCGCATCAATATCACGTCAAGGCTTTGGGCGCAAACACTAATGAAGTATATGTCACCATATGTATAAAGAAAAAACTCTTTCCATCATTTACTGTACGCTAATCTATCTATGTATAAGACTTTGTTCACCAGCTCTTACACCTACTACAGTGCCAATAGCAATGCAAGAAGTTACTGTTTCATATTAAATTTAAAAAGGTTGTAAAGGCCGGTATCTCAATACTTTTTTGTTACCTTTAACTACGTCTAGAAACAAAAGTCTCAGTATGTTTAGATGTTTGAGATACTTCACGCCTCTGGGTTTGGACAAGCAGTTGTTTGGAGCAGTTAGCGACCTTGCAAGAAAATAGTTGATGCATTATTGCTGAGTTGTTCTTCAACCAAAGTAAAACAGATGACTTGGCCTTAATACGAAACGCTAGTTCATAGGATACTAAGCTCCTCAGAACTGATCATTAGATGCTTCTGGATGGTCCGCTGTCGAGCCACGTGCCTGCGCAAAACTGGTCACTGGATTCATTCGTACGCTGGGTAAGATACGTAAAGGCGGCGGCACAAAAGCTTTAGTGGTTTCCATGAGCTCTTCACGCCAATAATTGCCAGGCATCAGTTTAACCTGCCCCTGCATTCCCAAATTTTAATACGGAGTAGATGTACTACACATAGCACTTATGCCACCATCCCTCACCTCTACAGTATTCACCCCACCTCTCATCGAAAATTCTTTTCAATAATGAGAATGTTAATTTATTGTAAGGTTTTAAGAAAAATGACAGCGGTGTCGGCTGAAATGGAGCCTGACAGCCCGATAAGCCGGGGTAGTTCTGAATTATTGGTGGATCGCGTTCTTTGAAAGAAGCGTGGCTCTTGAAGTGGCCTGATTTCTTCCCCACTACAGGTGTCAAATCGGAGGCGACAACCCCGATTTGGGAATCGAGCACAAGGCATATCCGAAAGAACCCCTATTATTGCCGGGGTGAGAGTACCAAGCAGGGAAGTTGCATCGGGCAAAAACGCACGATGCGATGGAGTACGAAGTATTCCGTACTACTGGGCTTTACCGCATGGCGGACTGCAAGGGTCATCCCGATGATTCTGAGCATGTGATTGTCCGACACCAACACTAAGTCGAATAGAAGAGGCAAAAAAATGACGAATAAATATATAAACTATATATAATCTGCTATAAGGTGGAGACCCGGACGAGTGAGACGAGTCTGGAGGGACATAACGAGGTGTGGTAGCTTGTACTCCATAATGCTAGCAGTACATTAAGAAGGAGTTCCAGTCCCACCCTGGAGGAAAACGTAATAAGTGACAACTATTATTCGGCCTTTTCTTCTTCGAAAATTTTCTCAAATAATTTTTATCTTTCTTACTTTCTCTTGAGTACCCTCATTCCCCTTTCCTCTACTGCCATATACCTTCTAATCACAGCACCAACTACATTAAGTCTCTCACATTTCTCCCACCACCTGAAGCAGGTGATACTATTACCACTTACCAAACAAGATTATCCGTTTTCACCCGAAACGCCTAAAAGAAGAAACGAGAAAAGAAAAGGGATCACGAGCATTAAAACACGCACTCACGACACGAATCTGAGTGAACCTCGCCCGTACGGCCACCCGCACACATACATAAAGAGCAGAACAATCACAGCCACAACCACCGCGTTTCGCTCTATACACTATACCAAAAGTCTACCATCCGTTCTTTGACCGAAAGCAAAATGCGACTCACACGCGCCATCTCTCTCACCAACTTCATGGTCGCCAGCTCCGCGCTCGGCTTCCAAGTGTTTGTGCTATACCCTTGGCATAAGGAACTAGACGCCGGCTTCGAAGATCTCAAGAAGGAACATCTCAAGGTCCTCGATGTAGTCGGAAAGAACATTACGGAACAGCAGCGAATGACCTTTTCCAACAAGTTCAACGAGCTGAAGAAGGAAAGCGCTCGACGATGGTGGTGGATGTAAAATATACCTGCCCTTGAAACGGACATGGAGACTAGATTCTCAAAAGAATCATCTTATCTGATGGCGGAAAGAAGAGTGAGCTCCCAGAATGGTAAGAGATACGTGGAGGAACTCATCTATCCTACAGCTTTACACTGATGAAAAAATCTTGAACCCGAGCAACATTTTATAGATTTGTCAAGGCATCACATGCGTCTTGCTATAACCTTTTCCTACGCGTTGTTTATTGAGCAATGTTTTCGATAATAGACAAATGTATTATAGTTTTGCTGTTACAGTGTTTATACAAACTTTTTTTCTTTTTTTTGTCGGTATCAGTTGCTCACATGTGCTGTCTCTATAAGCCTCAAACATTCCGTGCGACTATACTGACCTCTACGCATAATATCATACGACACCTGTTCAAATTGGTCTACATGCTGGCTTGTTAACAGGCGTGAACAGCCCAAATAAGCATAGTAAAGCCTTGCAGAATAGTATATAAGAGTTACCTTACGAAAAGACTGGCTTTTTGCAAGTAAAGCTCTGCCAACAAAGTTATCGGCCTTGGAGCATCTGAATTTTCCACTATGGATTACATATATAGATGGGATTCCACTGATAATAATTGTCAGCCCAATTCCTCTCCCAAGTTTGGAGCGTTCAGCGTGCCTATCCATCTCCCAATATAGCCTCGCCACTCATGAAAGAGCTCATCGAACTCAAAGATGTAATACCGTTTGCAATCTTTTCGGGTTGAGCAAACCGTTTCGTCGCTGTTCGGTGCATTCCTTGACCAAGGAAATAAGGCAGCTCTGGCCCCAAAGCGCCCACGGCCGGCATCACAGTTAAGCTGGAACAAATAGTGTTAACTAGTATATACTCAAGCTTATTGTTTCGAATCCTAAATGTATAGTGAATTGTCAAGATCTTTGCTTGTTGTTTTTGTAAAGCTGATAATGCCATACTTGCCTGCACAATGTGCTTTGGAGCAGTAAGATCTCAACCCTTATGACGAGAGCACATAGGGCAAGAAAAAGGTCTATACATAGGCCTCATTGGAGCAAAGTTTTGCGAATCAACCCCCTCAAATTAGGAGACAGTTTTACAGTGGTTCCTCTAGTTTACTGAATCTGAATCATATTTAATTATTGCCTAATTTTGTCTCCCGTATGTGGATGCGCAACCCAACTGGACTAGTTCTTGTTGAAGCCTTATTTAATTTGCTCTCTTTGCGAGATACAAAGACTCGTTAAATTAATGTCGATATGGTTCTTGAAATCTTTTGTCAGGCGGATGTACTTGGAGCTAAGAGACACGTAATGCTAGTATTGTTTACCGCATGATCGATCTGATCGAATTTTGAACAGGCAATTTCAACAACCTTGATCGTCAGACCATCATTAGCTACATCGAGATCAATGAGCAGTACTTCAATATTCGTAAATGTCCCTCTCAATTCTATGGCCGTCTTCTTTAACAAAGTCGCATTAACATCGGCAATAACAAGTTTAGGACTTTCGTATTTCGTGTATCGCGGTAATTATATCATGAACTGCTATCTCGCCCAGCACCGCTGGCGATTGATAGGCCATAAAGAAATTTTGTAGAAATTGGGAACATGGAGGATCATTATGGCAATAATGGAGCAACACCAATCAACTTTAAGGTCGCAAGACCTTGCCATAGTATTCGGAATATTATTTGCCTCGTCTAATACTGCTAGGCGAGGAAAAACTACGTTTTATATCTATGGGTTGAGTCAAGCGAAGAATACATACTAGCTATATAAATAAATGTACCTGGGAATAGAGTGGTCACACTGTCTTGCCTTTTAACGTATATTGCCGCATTTGGTCAAAGTCGAATATGGAACATCGTACAGCGAATCAGGCAGTGGTAAATAATTTGTTTTTGTTGTCATATACCTTTTGAATATGGAATAAGTCGTATATTATAGCGTAGACATCTAAAATCCGAGAGAAACAATTGTTTCTCCATCATGAGCAGCTAAAATCCAGAGAGCTGGCCGTGGGACTGCGGACTATGGCTATTTTAGTAACCTCGGAATTATTAGCGCGATCTTGCGCGGCAGTTGTAGCGCATGGCCATAGCGCATGCTAAGAAACTTCAAGGATCCCTGGTACACGCATTAAGCTGACCCTCAAAGGCGGTGTTAAGCAAGCTGTATTGTAAGACTTTGGACCAATGGCTGAGCAATACTCGAGTTCAAACACACAGCCTCAAAGGCCAATAAGCTATCGCAGTTTGATCAGGTCAGAGCCATGACGATTGCCGAATTGTAGGATTTAGTGTTGGAGGGCAAGAACAGTTGTGCAATGTATCAAAATATAACACAGAGATGTAAAGCACAAGATTGAGAGGTCTTTGCAAATTTCTTCATGTATCCTAGAGCGTAACGTGTATCACAGCTGATGGAAGAGCGAGATGAATCTAGGAGGGCCTCTTAAAGTACTTACAAGCATCTCATAGAACACCCGAAGTAATCTCAACTCTCCTTTTTGGCAATATATTTCAGATAGCTCTCTAGTCTACATGTAGCTTGTTTTAGCTGTGCTGATGTTGGCAATCAATCACTTTAACACTTGAATAGCAGGCACATGTATACAGATATTTTCTCCAATTGGATAGGTAGCTACATACACTGATAAAACCGTCAAGATGTTTTCTATTATTGAACCTTTGCGTCTGAAGGCATAGGAGAGGCATGTCTGGCTGAGAATCATTTGATTCCCTCGTTGCAATGCACAAGCAGGTGCCTAACCATATCAATCTAGTTTGTCTAATAGAATGAAACGGGTTATGCTGGCCACCGCAAACCGTAAAGGCGAGTCTCTATGTAGCTATATCAAGAGGAATTCGTTCCTAGTAGCCAGTTGGAAATAGTATGAGATATTCCGAGTATAATAAGTGCTTGCAATCCTCATATAAGCCTCAACCTAGACAAACGTCTTATCACCCCGCAGCTCTACCCCACCATGAAAAAAAAAAAATAATAATGATGCAATTCGCAAGGATGTCCTTTTTGACACACCCTGGAATCTATAAATACTGTATGTGAAATTCGACTTGCAATCACATCGGCAATGGCCCTAGCGTGGCAGCTTTATCGCGACAGTCCACATAATTCTTGAAGATCGATTCGCTACCAACATTAGTCAGAAAGTACACTTAATCTGCGCTGGTGCGAGAATTGACGAATTGCACTGTATGCTGTCATTGAGCTTTGGCTCTCGGCGTGACTCTGCCCCGCGCTCCGACATCGCTATAGTGCAAAATTTGGTGCTCGAGCTCTGTTTGATATAAACTCTCAACTATCACCTCGATAGCTACCAATTGAGCGCGCAACAAGCCCCTCCAATTGACAATCGCAATATCCAAAATGGCGCAACAGTGAGTTTTATCCTGGGAACAAAATTGACAGCGGTGACCTGCGTTGCTGACCTAGAGTGCGGCGGATAGGTCTGTGTTGATGCTCGGCGCGGGCTTCGTCACTCGTTCGTAGCTCTCCATCCTCTGTAGAGCGAACAAGTCTGACAGGATCAATTAGGGCCTACACTTGATGTCTTGACCGAGGCCGGCATCCCCGTCACTGTTGGTAAGCTTGCGGCTTTCTCCCTGCTTCGTTTCGACATGCTGACGGAGTGTAAACAGCATGCCGAACCCTCCAGACTGCCCAGGGTCTTTCCGCTGGCGTGAAGCTCGCGACACCTATTTCGCTCGACGTTACTGACCCCAAGGCGCTGGATGCCGAGGTCGCCAAGCATGACTTGGTCATCAGCTTGATCCCTTACACTTTCCATGCCACCGTCATCGAGTCTGCTATTCGAAACAAGAAGAATGTGGTGACCACCAGCTACGTTTCCCCGGCCATGATGGAGCTGGACCAGAAGTGCAAGGATGCCGGAATCACTGTCATGAATGAGATTGGTCTTGGTACTTATCTTGCCTCACCTATATTCCCTTGATGATCCTGAACTGACCATGATGCTTTCCCCGATTAGATCCCGGTATTGATCACTTGTGTAAGTTGTTTTGTCCAGCTATTATCATATCACTTTGTGCTGACCTATTCAGATGCCGTCAAGACTATCGATGAAGTCCACCAGGCTGGCGGCAAGATTCTCTCTTTCCTCTCGTACTGTGGTGGTCTTCGTAAGTACATCATATTTAAATAAGTCTTCCTACTTCCTTTACAGAGCTAACTGTCTACTAGCCGCGCCTGAAGCCTCAGATAACCCCCTGGGCTACAAGTTCTCTTGGTCTTCGCGCGGCGTCTTGCTCGCCCTGAGAAACGCCGCCAAGGTCTACCAGGATGGCAAGGTTGTCGACATTGCTTCCAAGGATCTTATGGCTACTGCTAAGCCCTACTTTATCATGCCAGGATACGCCTTCGTCGCTTACCCCAACCGTGATTCTACCCCTTACAAGGAGCGATACAACATTCCAGAAGCCGATACTATCACTCGTGGTACTCTGAGATACCAGGGCTTCCCCCAGTTCATCAAGGTTCTTGTCCAGACCGGTTTCTTGGAGGAGACTCCTATCGAAGCCCTCAAGACCCCTATTACCTGGAAGGAGGCTACTAAAGCCATTCTCGGCATCTCTTCTTCCGAACCTAAAGACCTGGAAGCTGCTATTGTTTCGAGAGCCGATTTCGACTCCGATGAGGACCGTGAACGAATTCTCTCTGGTCTCCGATGGATTGGCATCTTCTCTGATGAGAAGATCACACCTCGTGGCAACTCTCTCGATACCCTCTGCGCTGCCCTCGAGCAGAAGATGCAATTTGAGGAGGGTGAGCGCGATATGGTCATGCTCCAGCACAAGTTTTTGATTGAGCACAAAGATGGCTCTCGCGAGACTCGTACTTCCACCCTTGTCGAGTACGGTGACCCCAAGGGTTACAGTGCCATGGCTAAGACGGTTGGAATTCCATGCGGTGTTGCTGCTAAGCAGGTCTTGAATGGAACGCTGTCTGAGAAGGGTATCCTGGCTCCTATGTCTGCCAAGATTAACAATCCTATCATGAAGGAGCTCAAGGAGAAGTACGGCATCGAGATGATTGAGAAGACTGTTCTGTAGATATATATTTCCGTCAAGGGAAAAAAAGAACGATAAAAAAGTAAAAAGAAAGAAAGAAAAATTAGGATTTCTTGAATCAGTAAAATTGGATCAATAAAAAGTGTCTACTTGTGATGAGTGATAAAGAATTGGATACCAACTAGTTCAGAACATTTGTTGCATGATTTGATTTGAATCTCGTTCTCTTCCTTCGTTACTTATGATAGAACATAGCCACCAAGGTTTATCATTATAAAAGCCATACATAAATAAGTTGCAGCGAACGTTTGAGTGCTTATATCAGATAGTACACCAATCTTAGCACGTATGATCATATATAAGAGAATTAAAGGAATTAATATCTGAGACTTCGAATTCGTATTTAACATCTAGAAATATATATTCATAGCTATGTACGTGAAGAAATACCTATACTCCACATCAATATACTTACGAGACAGGACACAGTCGCCCAGTAACGCTGTCCACTGTCCAGTCGTCGCTTCCAACTGCTGTGAGACCGTAAAATGTACTTGACGGATCGTATTTGTTCTTAATTGACTTCAGAGCCGGGTAGTTGTTACCATAGAAGACGCTTTGGAAATTAGGCTGATGCATGTTGGCTTCATTCAGGTAGGCACCCTGGATGGGCGACAGAGCTTCTAGCTTAGGTATCAGGATATCTGTCACGTTGTTTTGGGCGTATATGTTGTTCTGGAAGTTGAGCGGATCGTATGGACTGTAAAGAGATATAAGCAAGTGCGATCCAAGCAATTGATGTGAGCTACTGGGTAACTTACACTCCGATAACATTGCTCGTAATGGAAGACCGCCAGACAGGGTTAACGGAATTGGGGACCTTTGTGCCATTGCTGACGTTGACGTTCACACCAGAGATGACAGCGCCGGCCTCATTAATGAATCGATACGCGTTTACCACAGAAGTGGCGCTTGTCTGGCTTTCGAGCAACGTTCGTGGAATAAGACGGCCGCCAATATTATACTCAGTAACGTTAGGAGGAGGATTGTAGGCGTAAAAGCTATCCAAAAATGTAGGGAACTGGTCAATGTGGAAGTCTGTCATTAAATGCATTAGATTCATATCCAAATGATTAACAGCCTACACACAGCGAAGTGATGGCGAATGAAGAAGACCTACCATAAGGGATGTTTTGCTTCTGTAGATAGCTCAGCGTAGGGTTGAGGAGTGTCTGCAGCTGTGCTTTGCTTACGCCGGGAGCATTCACAGGCTGTACAAGGAACAGCCCATAGGCAAGCAGGTAGACAACGGTAGCACCACTGTCAACAATACTAGGCAGTGTCGTCAGGAACGTTTGGACAGCTGCGTAGAAAGCGTCGTCAGATATTCCCTGGTTGGTAATTGTAAGATTGGCGGCAGAGCTTGGCATGTCAGGGTAAGCTCGAATGGTCATTGACAGAACAGCAGCATAGGTTCCACCACCGCCGCCAGAGAGAGCCCAGTAAAGATCGGTGTTCTGGGAAGGAGTAGCAACAAGATGCTGGCCGGTGCTGGTAATGACCTCCCACTCGAGGACCTGGTCGGCGGCAAGGCCAAACTTGCTGGCCACTGGTCCATGTCCACCGCCCTGGCTGTACCCTCCTGCAAGGCCAACTGATGCCCCATCTCCAGTAACAACTATCAGACCATTGTTGTGGGCAAAAGCTTGGGCTTCAGAGTTTTGGACGCCAGCACCAACTTTCAGCGCTTTACCGCTGTAATAGCTTTGCTTGTAGTTGACGAGCGAGATATCCTTGAGATGATGGGTCCAGAGAGCCAGCGCGCCGGTCCCCGAGGACTTGCCGTAGTAGTCATGGCCTGTGTTCCGAATCACTAAGCGGATGTTGTTCTGCTGTGCAAACTTGATGGTAGCCAGATAGTCGGAGCTAGAGCTGGCATTGACGGAATACTGGACAAGGGTGCCGATAATACACCTCGCACTGGGCGCTGTAAATGGATCACAGCTGTCATTGGCGAAGAACGGCGCCATAGGATCGGAGGAAGACGCGATATGGGTGGCGGGATAGTCCCACACAGACCTCAATTCATCGCACTTTTGAGCGTTGTAGGAGCCAAAGGCCGAATTATGGCAGACACTACCAATAGGCACTGTGGCTATAAGTCTGCCTCCTACAGTTTTATTGAAGGCAGTCCATTCTGATTTGGATGGCCAGCACGAATCTGACGGTAAGCAACGGCAGCTCGGCTCAGTGACGCAAGTTGTGTTGACGGCAGCCGCAGACACCAGAGCCGGCACAATGGCTAAGAGAGAGATGAGCCAAGCCATGTTGAGAACTTTGTAAGAGTTCAGTGTGTTGATTTGAGCCTCTGTCTTGGATGAACAGGAACAGCTGCCGGCTGGACCTGAAATATATAGAAGATACTATAAGTCAGATAGAGTAGAAGATTTCGAGAAGAAGCATTATAAGCAAGGAGTATTCCACGCCATGAAAGGGGAGTGCTTGCGGGTCGTGGGGAGGGATCTTTAGCCCGGCAGCTAGGGTCATAGCTGCGTCTTCTTGACAGGGCCATGTGGAAACCACGTTTTGATTGTCCACTAACGCCATACAGCAACTAAGTCGAGCCACACCGTTCAGGTGGTCGGCCATTCATGTCGCGCCAATGTCAAGGCATGGATGCAGAGGGTGCATGGGATTGCTCAATTCTGGATTCTGGGACGGAATACGGCATGCCACGCGCATGGGCGTTTTGTTGTGGCCGGATGCCACGTGAAGATGTAGAGAGAGAGAGCGAACTAGAAGGCATGTTCGCTACCTTTCAGGTGAACCAGGGAGATCTGCATCAGCAGCGGCTGAAAGATGGGTTATAGCGTGATCCACAACAACAAGGGATGAGGCCAGGATGATTGGCGAGAAGAGCAGGCTCGATAAGAGAAAGATACCGAACATTCCAAAGGGTTGAGTGGAAGATTAACATAAACGAAAGAAACACAATCTATTTCTTAGGATTAGTTATACGTATCTATCTCATCTACCTATATGTTGTCTAATCATTAAGCGGACTCAAAATCGTAAACTCGATTACTGCGTTGGTCAAGAGAGTAGATATCGTTAGCATGCAAGCTAGTATTGGAACGGGATACCAAAACGAATCAACATTGTACTGAAAGCGGAATTCTTTCATTACTATATATCTATCCACCATTAACTACTCTATTCGGTAGTAGATACAATAATATGCGGGGTGAACTTCATAGTAGCGTTGGGATTCTCAAGTAGTATCTCTAATTGTTGCCCCCTAGCTATTATCACGAGTATATCTAATACGATTCAGTTCAAGTTATTGGTACTAGAGCAAGAAGCCTTCGCTCTGAATTGGGTGTGTATATTAGATACTAGTACTGTTATCTCAGCAGCATAGCATCTAGGTGCTCTTACTCTACCTATGAGCTGACAGTTGCATACATTGCCTTGGTTAGAGTACTCTTTGACATTGCCTAGACTGTGCCATGCACGCCCCCTGGGTATGAAGAGTTACGTCTATTCTGAATCAAAACTTGCTCGTGCAAAGGCATTTAGGAAGCGGTAGTTGAAGGCACAGCATGTAACCGCTCTACCTCTTGGGCTTACAAGCACTGCATAGTCTGTATAGTAGCTGGATGAGAATGGAAACCCCCGCACTTTTACAACGCAAGGGCTACAGTAGGTCCTCTGTCCTGGAAACTTTTTCATATGTGGTCTGTCATGTGAATTTTCCAACACTGCTTCATTTGTTTCGATAATGCTGATGCCTGCTCACCCGGACGCTTTGACAATTGCACATCGTGATGTCAGCCAGCCGCATAAAATACTAGCGTCTGTGCCCAGTAACTTTTCAGGTAAATCAGTTGTGCACTAGCACCATCTGCAAGCAACGATGACACCCTGCCGCTACAACGGTGAGATATCAGCCCTTGCTTTGCGGTGGGTGGTGAGACTCTCCATTACCCACGGGGGAATGCCTTAAGTGGAAGGTAACTGACCGGGTTCGAAAATCGCTTACGCGCAAGGCCATGCAGCCACTTCAGCGTGTATTAGCGACAGACTTCTATTGGGTGCTTTGGTGGAATGCATCCCGCTTCTTGTTGGTCATATCACTAAGACGATGAATGCCGACTGATCTAGCTTCTCTAGGCTCACCTCTCGCTTTCGTATGTGGTGTATTGTGTCTTTTACTTGACTTACGAACAACTTACGAAGCAAATCGATGTTGCATTGCATGTTTCTCTAAGATACTTCATTATGCACAGAGACGTGTAGCCCCCTTGTTTGGCATTGAAAGAACTTTCGTTCCTTGTCGTATTGGCCGCGGACTTGCACTAATACTGCACTCTATCTATATCCTGGCCTATATTACACTCCGCGGCCTCGAACCAAGTCTCATGAGCGATTTTACTACAACCAGTATCAGGTATGCAGGAGTACCAATTTCCTGATGAATCTTTACCCAATATGTTTTGGACCGTTGCAAGGTACGAGAATACATACGCAGGCCTGCCTGGCACTTGAACTCCTGTAGAATCGAGCGTTAGTTCGGAGTATCCGATCTCCTATGCCGATTTTAGTTACTGAGGTGAAGACGATAGTTACACAACTCTCAATAGGTCCATAGGCAGCAAAACCAACATTGACATATCATGATCGTATTCTCATAACTATCTGCACAGATATAACAAAGTGGTATGTAAAGGGCCTTCATCTAAGCCTGTGAAGGTCAAGGTTACAAAGTGGAAAAAGATGACATGAAATGAAACTTCCTTTGCTAGCAAATACACTTTTCGACCTAAAACGAGTTATTGAATGATGGGAAAGTCATAATGCGGGTTCCATAGTTGTAGATGGAAGGCATTCCACAAGTTGTAAGAGAAGCTGGACAGCCGGATGGTAAACAGTGGTTCTTGTTATAGAACTACCATCAAAAGCGTTACAATGCCGCAAACAAAGGCATTGAATAGAGACACATTGTCCAAAAGCACCACAGCTTCCAAGATTGGTCATCTGCCTTGACTGTTTGTCGCAACAGTACGTTTGCTGCAACAGCGCCTCCAGCTGCCAATGGCAAAGTATAGGCCCAAATCTCAAGCTTCCAGAAAAAGGGGCAGACGCAAGACCACAGAGCAACAAAAATAGCAATAGAAACGCGCGAGAACTTCTCACCCAGCAGCAATGGTATGGATAAGCGTCCTCGTGTTCGATCTCCGTCCTGGTCCTTGAGATCTTGGACCTGCATGGTGGTAAGGATCACTCCGCTGATGATGGAGATCCATGTCAACCCGCCCTGGTTGACAGTCGTATGCGCCCCGAGCGCAATCTGCAGTGAGCCGTGATTGAAGAAGCCATAAGCAATGGATATGATCAGATCTCTAACGACCTCGTCTCCACCTTTCAAGTCGTTATAAAGCCATGTAAGAATCTGTATAAAGACTCCCTCTCTCCAAACACCAAGATAGTAGTTGAGGGCGAGAGCAATCGGAACTGCGATGAGCATTGACCGTCTGGTCTGCTCCCCGGTGATCTTGCCGGATGGTATAGGCCGCCACGGCTTGTTTATCAAGTCTTCCTTTATAGATTCTTCCGATCGTTGATTCGCAAGGTCGAAGATCAGGACATTGTACCAGTTGAATGCAATGACCATGGGGAAGGTTTGAGCTAGTTGCCAGAATGAAGGACCTTGTCCATCAGCAAGATGAGAGGCCGCTAGAGCGCCCAACATGCCAAACGTTGAGTTTGGGATGACGAATGTTGGAAAGTTACTTTCTGTAAACTCCCAGATCAGATAAGGGATATAAAAAATTGCAGAGAAAGCGGTAAGCTGGCGTCTCCCATTGGGATATACGATATCCTGAACCTTTTCCATTGTGAAGAAGCTAGTGGTCGAGAGTGTGTTGTCTTGATGACTCGGCCAAACTGGGCAAAGTTTGAAACGCCTTTGACAATATCATCTGCTAATTTTTGTTCACTAGGGGAGTGATAAATATTGATGGCATATCCGGGAGATAGATCTCCAAGTATATACTACTACCATGGAGTAAGGCATATTTTGAGTATGTCACAGGACGGCCATGCCCCCTTCCTCGGCTATGTTACTTAACAATGCTTACATTAGAGAATTCTAGTGTACACCAAATTTAATCATATTATAGTCTAATTTTCGTCTGTTCTTTTGGCGGCGAGGGAGCACGTTGTGGAGTCGTCGGACTCGTCCACTACTTTCACACCCTCTCATCAACTTCACAATGTTACAGGAGACGCAACGGATAACCGCCGCCCACGCCTCAGAGCTTATTTTCTATACTGAATTAGGAAAAAATGACAACATTGCGCAAATATATCCAGGCACTTTTTCTTTTTTTGATATAGTTTGCTTTGCGTACTTATAAACTAAACAGGCCAACTGTACTATTCTATTTTGGAAGGCTACGATATGAGGTCCACGATACCGGCACTAGCTACTCATCCAGCATCATGACAGATGATCCTCCGTCCGAAGTAAGCTGCTACTAGTACACACTTGTGCTTGAACTAATACCACTAGCACTCGACGGGAGAGTACCGTGCCGTCCCTTGTCTAGCATGGCGTGACTGGCGGCTTTTAGAGTGGAGCTACTGTACAGAGGCATTCTTATCTGGTATACTGTATCCTGGTGCTCGGTACTATTTATTATTGACAAGGGTGCTCCGGGGGGGTTTCAAGGATACTCCAAGGAAGCTTCTCTATGCGGCTCGCGCGCCTATAGCAGTGGGTTACGAACGACGCAGTCTTAGATCAAAAGGGCTAGCAGAACTCAAAACTAATATGTGATACGAAGCAGTATCATATGGTGCTTGTATTCTGTTCACATCATCTTTATTTGCCGGATCTACCGGCTCTTCTTGTATACGCCTACGTACAGATTTCTAGTGCTAATCTAATACTATTGCTCTAGAGCTCACCCTTGATAATGCTGGCAGCATGCTCGGCCACACCATACACAGTCGCTTGTGGATTTGCCTTTGGAGTTAATGGGATTATGCTGGCGTCGGCAATGCGCAGGTTCGGGCACCCGTAGAGTCGGAGCTTGGAATCTACCACACCCCCTAGCTCTTTAGCCATCATGGAACAAGTCCCTGTGAAGTGGTGTGCACCCACTGCCGTTTGACGCAGGTAATTTTTAGCTTGTTCGAGGCCGGTCTCCGCGGCCAAGAAGTTTCCGGCAGATTCTGCAGCCGTGTTCCTCTTCCCACCAACTTGGAGGTGGCTGACCAACGGCTCGGCTTTGGCGATGGACTCAATGAAACGGAGATGGCGTGAAAGAACCTCTATGTCCAACGGATGAGAAAAGTACCGAGGATCAATGTCTAGCTCCGTCGATGTCGGCGAAGCAGACTTGATATGGGTAGATCCTCTTGAAAGTGGGTGCGTAAGCATTAAGGCAATGGAGAAATACTTCTCGGTTCCCGCCGGTGGAGGTGCCATTGTTCCATCTTGGTTGAACGACGCATAACCCGGGAATGACATGAAGTAGCCTGAAGGCTCTTCGGTAGAAGTGAGAACCGAGCGCACAAAGTCGGCTTGGGCTTCCGTAAAGGAAGTGTTTCCGCCGCTGTTAGGGGCAATGTATTTTGAAATCAGATTCTCAACTTCAGCCTTCCCTTCGGCGGACTGGATGCCCGGAAATGGGAGTTGAGCTGCGGCATTGGTGCCGCTTCTTGCAAACGGTCCGAGTTGCTGTCCATACGCCGCCATGGCAGCTTGAAGAGCCGTCGGATCCTGGCGTGCAAGACCATCCATTGTCTCTTCGCTATCAAGAGTCTGGAAACTAAGACCGCACAATGGATGGTTCTGCAAATTTTCTCCAACATTAGGATTCTCGATGACGACGTCAATGCCCAATTTTGCCAAGAGGCGCGCATCACCAACCCCGGACAGCTCAAGAATCTTGGGGGTGTTGATTGCGCCCGCTGTAAGAATAATCTCCGTGCCGGTAGCAGTAAGATCTGCACCATCCTTGGTATACCGGACGCCCTTGGCTGTGACAGCATCGCCGTTTTTGGCGAATATAATTTTTTCAACGGCAGCTTTCGTCACAATGGTAAGGTTCTGTCGGTCACGAGCAGGCTCGAGATAGGCGTTTACGGCGTAGCTCCTTGTCTTTGTGGCCGGATGAATAGCATCGGCAACAAATATTGGCCCACAGATCTGGTCGGTGTAGGGATTACCGTCTTTGCTGAATCCCAGGGTGGCTATAGTTTGCTGCCAGATTTTGGGCCATTGATTGTCGGTATCCTTTGGGAAGCTCAGCTGGAGTGGTCCAGAGCCACTTGTACCTGCAGTTGACTCGGAGGTCAAGGTGTACGATTTAGCCTGTGACTTGGAAAAGCTCGCCCAGTCCCAGCCGGGGTTTCCAAGCTTGGCCCAGGCGTCTACGTTGGCCTTGGTTGAGAGTGTAAACGAAAGGCCATTGAGAGCGCTTGAACCACCAAGGAGCCGACCTTGTGGAAATGCAATTTCACGGTTGTTGAAGCCAGCCTGATGTGATTTCGGTCAGCAGCAAGTAACTGTCAGTGGCCGCTTGTCTCTTACCTGAGGGACTGTCTTGAACTTCCAGTCTGCATCTGTATTCAGCAGCATTGGCCACATAGCGGGAACCGACAGACGCGCATCCGCGGTAAGATCCTCGCCTGCCTCTAAGACAAGGACCCGCTTTGAAGAGTCTTCAGTCAGACGTGCGGCGAGCACTAAACCTGCAGTTCCGCCACCAACAATGATGTAGTCGTAGCTAGACATTTTGATTTGGATAGGTGTTTGTGTCCAAGATGATTCAGAAAGTGCCTCGAGTCGGCTAGAAGTTTGCGGAGGAAATAACAGCTTCTACAGATATCTATTTCGAGCCACGGCTTTCATGGAGCTAGAGGGTTGCTCTTTACCTCCAGCTTGGGCGGATGTTGGCGGAGTAACTGCAGTGATGTTTGTGTGAAGAGCCAACGCTCGGCCATTCCTCCTGCAGTCGTCTGATTTATTCTGCCGCTAGTATCGCAGATAGCTTACCTCCGCCACTATAGAAGTGGTTGCATGATCCTGGAGGCTGTATGACCCTGGTAGCCGCACAGACACATCCTAAACTACGTATGACCAACAACGATATACTATTTGTAGAGTAACTTGATGGCTGCATGTAACTTTGTCTGATCTACGAAGTTGTATGGGTACACACTGACAGGTATGTACGACAGGGGAAACGCAACTCGGAAGGCCAGCTGCGCAGTCGAGGTTACACGAGGTTACTAATTGCGTCAACGAGGCTTAGCATGCGTCTATGATTGGCCCTGGCTTCGGCGTGCCGATACTCTATCATATTCTGTGGGAATTGGCAATAGCGTCTGCATGGGATCCGCATCTGCGGAGTATGAGCCTTGCCAGGCTACAGATACTAGCCGCATCCAGAGACGCTCTGACCGTACCCCGTAGATCAGTCACGAAGCGTAGCTCAACTTGGCAGTTATCAAGGTACCGTGCTCCGCAGTTTTCTACTTTTAGTATTTCATGTTCTATGAAATGGGTCAGTATCACATAGATCTACAAGTCGGATTCCTAAACTTCCGCCGGCACTTCTTATCTTCTTGCTGTCAGCCTACAGTACCATATGCCGTGTGATTTCCCGTCACACTACAAGTACAAGCGTTACTACTATGCGACTATGCGCATTACCAACATGCAGCTGTCTAGCGAGCTCTCATATCAGCAGGACCCACTAGCATGCGACAGAAGGACCAAAAGGCTTAAAATACTAAGTTGTGAGTAAACAAAAAGTGTCAGAATGACGCGAAGTAGAGTTGCGAAATTAGCTAGTAGCAGAAGTTTCTGAAAGTAAGCCAACACAATTCAAGATCATATTAGTTATCAATTGCAAATCTGCAGTCTCATCTCCTTTTGTTCTCTCTCTCTTCTCTATTCATCGGAGATTCAGCCATGGTTTACTTTGCAGACAGCAACTGAGCTAGTAGAGAATTAGCAACTACATACATACTTGTACACTCGCTGCAGTAGCTTCTCGCTTAGCTTCAGGTCAGCTTATCATAGAAAGCCGTAGAATTAGCCGTGTGGAGACCAAAGAGCGCCGCGGCTGCGGGCCAAGAATATCAGGCACGCTGTCAAAATCATTTAGTACAAACACTTTCGACCTCCGGTATACGTTCCAGTTAAAAGGATAAATCCAAGCTAAAGTATCGCTAGGCTGCCGGATTGCCGTAAGTAGAAGGTCGATCCGTCTGTAGGGTGAATATTCTCCGTGCACACATGATATTACATGTGCCGCTTCCACACACCTCCCTTCAGAGCTCGGGCTATACCGATGCTTAGTGTTGAGCAAATTTTGGGTCATAAAATACACCTGCCTTTTCATACCCTTTGCAATTGTCTAGATAGACCTTGAATAATCATGATAATTGAGTGACTGTCTATCGATAATGGAAGCACTTGAACTTTGCCGCGCCCACAGAGAAGCTCTTCTCATTGTCGTGGGCTTTTTATCGGGCATCGTTATCCACGTCACCATCTTCATCTGGAGTGAATGGCACCTCCAAGCCGCTCAAATATTTCTTCAATTTTGTGCTTTATATATAGCATCTCCGATATTAGCAAACGTTTTGCAAGGCTCGCTGGCGGGAGAGATCTTCCATGCAATCGTAACTTGGGGCTACGGGTACTTGGCTGGCCTTGTGACTAGCATTCTAGTGTATCGAACCGTTCTACATCCGTTAACCAGAGCTGGTTACCCGGGGCCATGGTATGCAAAAGTTACCAAAATATGGCATGTTTGGGCCGCCAGAAACTCGAAAAACCATCTTGTTCTTGATGGCTTGTACAAAAAGTACGGGGCATTTGTGAGGACAGGTATGAATCGCCGAAGAAATATCTCTTATCTCTTTTTATTCTTTTCTCAAAACATGAAGAAGGCAAAAAAAAAAAAAAAAAGAGTGCATTGCTGAACTGTCCGCTATTTAGGTCCATCCGAGATCACCATTTTTCATCCAGATGTTTTCATGGCAGTTGATGGGCCACGCTCCGAATGCGCTAAAGCAGAATGGTATGACATTATACATCCGAGCATGTCACTTGTCACAACGCGGTATAAACCACTCCATGCAGCACGTCGCCGTGAATGGAACAGCGGCTTTACAACAAAAGGTCAGTTTTCTCATCATCTACTTCTATTGCGTTACTTATACCAATATTGTTCGTAGCACTTTTGGAGCATGAAGTCAAAATCCTCAAGTATGTCGATAAGCTTGACCAGTGTATCGAGGTTGATGCCAAATCAGGGAAAGTAACGGACATGCGAAATCTTCTTCTCTGGTTTGGCTTTGACATCATGGGCGAATTTGTTTTCAGCAAATCTTTTGGCATGCTGGAGACCCGGAAATGGCACCACATCATTGTCCGTTTACAGCGTGCTCTTTCTCTGCTGGGCCCATTAACCCCAGTGCCATGGCTCGTACACATAGCTTTCGATCTTGCCCCGCGGGTCAGTGTCCTGAAGGAGTGGTTTGATATAATAGCATGGTGTCAATCACAAATGAGGGACAGACTCGCACATGGCAGCTCTAACCAATCGCAAGATTTGGCGTACTACCTGATGGAGAAAGACTCCGAAGACCAAGGAGCTTTTGAGAGCGACAAATTTCTCTGGGCGGCGGGAGATAGCTTACTAGCCATTGTGGCTGGAAGGTGAGATATACCCACGGTTCACATATCTGATAGGGAGTTTTAATAACTTGCAATGATCTAGTGAGCCTACCGCAGTTGCTCTAATTGCCGTACTCTGTGAGCTCGGCAAACACCCAGAGCACACGGATCAGATTTACGAAGAACTTAAAGATGTGGATGTCCTGGATCTCAAGACTCTCGTCAACCTTCCGCATCTCAATGCTGTTATAAAGGAAGCACTGCGTTTGCATCCCGCACTTCTAACAGGCGGCAATCGAAAGACGTCTGCCAGTGGCCTTACCATTGGCGGGAGGTTCATCCCTCCTCATACTACTATTGTTGCTCCCCGATATACAATTGGAAGACGTAAGATTTTTTTGTTTCTTTCTTTTTGCCTTTTTGCCCCCCCCCCTTCTTATTCTTTTCTTGTCTTAATCCCTGGATGAAGAAAAAAAACCACGAAAGCTTGTACTAATGACTGAGCTACTAGTCGAGGACTGTTTTGAGCGGGCCTCTGAGTTTATCCCTGAGCGCTGGACCACTCGTCCCGAAATGGTTCTTAACCCGGCGGCCTATGCACCATTTGGCACTGGCCACCACAGTTGCCTTGGGAAAACCCTGGCTCTGGACACCATGAAGTTCGTGTTGGCAAGGATCTTGAAGAACTATTGTTTCCGCGCTGCACCAGGGGACAATAACCTGAGTGCCCTGGAAACGGTGAGAGATCAATTTACATCTAATCCAGGTACCTTGAAATTACAATTTGAGATAAGGACTACCCCTAGATAGAAGAAAAGTACTTTCCGCAAGTTGCTACTATACGATTTGATTATGATAATATACCGTTGAGTTTTACAATCAACTCTAAAATTGCATCTGCACCCTATTCCATGTTAGATCCTACAGTAAATCACTATCATTTGAACTCGAATTAAAATTCGAACTTCAATTTAAAAATATTGCTGCTGCATGCCTAGCTAAAAGCCCTTTATGGAGCAAATGGCCAACCGTTGATACCAGCAGTAAAGAGTTGACTCTGTTGAATAGAGTCTTTCTTTGCCTTGAGCTCATCTACATCCCAGTTCGCCCAGACCGACCGACCGTTTAGGAAGGACCCCTCAGGGCTTGTCAGCCAGACAATGAAGTGCGCCGGAAGTTGAACTGCCAGCATCATAGTGTTAGATAGATGTTCTAGGCTTTATATCCCAAAACTCTCCAGAAAAGAAAAAAGAAAAGAGCACCCGAGGAACTCGTCACGCACCTTTGTCCATTGGCAGGCTGTCTGCTGAAGCGCCGCTTTTGGTAAAGATTGTAGTCTCGACCATTCCTGGATGCAGGGTCGCGGCAAATAGATTGGAGTGTTCGAGAGCCAAGAACTCAATAAGCTTTGTCTGTGCGAGTTTCGAAGACATGTAAGCGGATAGGCCCGGAACCATGGAAGCTGGAAGGGCCGTGGTGCCCGTGGTCAGCGCCACAACCGATGCTTGGGTAGCGTTGGCCGTGGGCAAGAAAGCATGAAGCGATGCATAAGTTCCCTTTGTGTTAGTCTGATTTGAGAGGAGGGAAAAAGAAAACAGTCAGTATTTAACCATAGAGGCGAGAAAGGAAACGAGCATAGTAATATCACCTCGAAGCTCTGCCAGAACTCTTTGAAGTCAGAGGCAGCGATAGTAGACGGCGAAGACACATAGCCGGCACCTAGGACAAGCACATCCCATTTTCCAATTGCCTTGGCCACCTGAGCCAAAGCATCCTCCTGCGTGACATCGACCACATGGGACGAACTCGAGACGGAAGAGGGCAATGCGGAGGCTGTCTGCTTCAGCGACTCACTGTTTCGTCCCAGCAAAGCAACGTGCGCAGCTCCGGCAGCTGCAAATGCTACGGCGGTTTCTCGTCCAATGCCGGTACCCTTTCAGACGCAGCAGTTTAGCATACATGGAGCTAGCAGCAGGGTGAAGGATTTCGCCCCCAGCAATTGCACCATTCTAGCACCAAATATGGGGCCCCTGGCTGACATGCGTCGTAGTCAAGTGGGGAGAATCGTCATATGGTTGCTGAATGGTTGCTGAATGGCACAGGCACTGTAGGAAGTGGTGGCTGGGGGTTTGGCCACGGAATATAACGCAACTGAAACAGAAAGCTCAGACATTACTTACTGCGCCAGTGATAACAACTGTTTTCCCGGAAGCGCTGAGCTCAGGCCGTGAGGGTGAAATAGTTGCATACGTATCATTGCGCCAAGTTGGCGTCGCAGAGGGCAATGGAGGTTGCATGATGAGCGATGTCGATAATACCCTGTGGGCCTCGTGGCAAATTCGGATCAATGCTTGTAAAGGGCAGGCTCGATATGATGTCCGGCTTACGAGCTGCTAGGGCGACACTCGTAGCTTTTTTCAGTCTATCAGAAACCAGGGGAGAGTCGGCGTACAGTCCAGGATGGGCTCTTAAGTATTTGCGTGGTCTACACGTGGGTGGAGATGGCGGTCTTATTCCTACTGCTATTTCAAGGAAGGATCAGTGCGTGGAGAGACGGCGTTTTGCGTTCATGCCAATCAACCAATGCCGATAGCACGCGGACTTCCCGTTTTAGGATGCCTGCTCTTTGCCGTGCGCGGAGAATCAAAATGTGACAGGGTATCTGTCTATCACCCGTCTTACTAGCGATATTTCCCGCATACCGTTGCAAAATAGGCACACCACGAGTATTGCTAGGTGGGAAGCGGATAGAGGGTACTATGTAATATGTTGGTTGATTCTATAAAGAGCAGCTTTCAATTTACAACCTCATGCCTGTTGCCACACCACCACCAAATCTGATGTGTGCATGGCCATGGCGCAACGGTATTGCCACCCCTCCATCTCCACACCATCCATGACCCATGATATTGAATGCTGGAACTGATATAGGTACCTGTACTGTAGCATTGCCCCAGGTGCTCGTGCGCCGTTTGCATACATGCGGAGCATGGTTCTCTGTGACTGATCTGGATACTACATATATGCGATGGTCGTTGGGCCACCCACGAGGATGAACCTGGCCAACGCTTCTTCGACCCCTCAAACCAACCAACAAGTCCACCTCATCGCATCCACAACGCCACACACAGCCAGCCGTGAATATGTCCGCTGGCGGGAGAGGAATACATCTCTTGATATGGCTGTGTGTGTTTACGGTGGTATGCATAGTGATCATATCGCTGCGTTTCTGGGCGGCGGCGATTGCTAGACGCAGAATATTTCCTGACGATGCCATGATTGTATTCGCTCTTGTAAGTACAATTATTTAGTTGTTTCTTCTCATCCGATTGAAGGACTACCAGCATGAGCATGTAAGCAAACTTTATACAATGCTGATATCAATCTTTTGTGTCCAACGATCAGGCCAATACCATCGCATTGGAAGGGGTTGTCATTTGGGCCATCTTTAATGGGCTAGGCAAGCATACGACCGAGCTTAATTCGTATGAATTCGGAGTCCAGTTCAAGGTACGCTTCTACGAATAGTTTTCTTCCGCATAGCGTGGATACCTTCTTGGAGTGTGTAGCACAAACTAAAGGGCGCCGACCAGCTTATCCTCGCCAGTGGAGTAACATGGCTTCTTGGTACGGTCTTTATTAAGTTTTCGGTTCTCTGGCTATATACGAGGGTCTTCAGCACAAAAGAATTCAAGAGACAGGCGCATATAATGATGGGGGTTGTTGGCTGCTACGGCATTGCCTTTTTTGTCCTATTCATGACACAGTGCCGACCTATAGACCAGCAATGGAACCCGCACCCGGGAGGATCATGCCGTGATCTCGTTATCCAAGAGCTGACTTCGGTGTCACTAAACATGATTATCGACATTATAATTGTATTTCTACCTCTGCCGGTCCTCTGGAACCTTCAGCTGGCGACACGATCGAAGTTGGTGGTTTCTGTCATGTTTAGCATCGGTCTCATGTGAGCATTTTCCCCGACCCTCTCTTCATTTCTCTATCTTCACTTGTTTCCAAAAAATGATCAAAGAGATGGTGGATTTTGCGTATAAGCATTAGTGGCTAACTCTCATCAGCACTATTGGTGTTATGGCATGGCGACTACAATTCACCATTGCGACTCTCCACGATGCCGACTTCGTCTTCAATCTCTACGACATTGGATTGATCAGTCTCCTCGAGTTATGGCTTGGAGTGATTGCTGCCTGCATTCCCACTCTTGGGCCGCTTCTCAAAAGTTATGTTAAACCGGCTCTCACGAAATTAACGAGCCCATCCGATCGAGCTACTCGCAGCCAGAGTGCAAATGCATCCAAAGTCGACAGCAAGACTGGGCTTCACAGCAAGAAACATTATAGCCAGATTGAAGACGGCTTCGATAGCGGGTTTAGCCAGTTGAATGGAATGGAACTCGCATCCGTAACTACGAAAATCGAATCTGGGCCGGGGATCAAGGCTATGACAGACACGCGGGGCGTGATTTATGTCCAACATGAAATCGAAGCAAAGTAATGGCTACACAAATGATACCAATGTATATTTTAGAAGTTAATATGTAAATACCAATGCCGGTCTGTTGAACATACCTGCTTAATTTCATACAGTTAAACTCGATTCACTCCAATGTGCTTGTTTTAAAAATTACACTATATTCTGCGCTCATCTTAGGGTGACAGAACCTCATATATAAAATCCGAGATTATGCGCTTTCACATAAATCTATATGATAATGAAAATATCCAATCGCTTTAAGTGCTGCTTAAGTCTCCCAGTCAAGTTGACGAGATGTTTCGTTATCTCTATCCTGTATCTATTGTAAGCGTAGGACTTTTCCAAATGCATTTCAAATACTTAGTCCTCCAGAAGAAGATCATTATATACTCCACGCACGTGGTGCTGCTATATTTGATGAATCAAGTTGAAGATGATGTCACAACATTACCTGAGTTGTGCCTGATCATCAGTGTAACCCGGATGTTGACCGAAAGAGGATGGTGAATGATCCCTGGACTATGTACAAGGATGTCAGATCCTTTCTTCGCCAATTTTTCAGTCCGCTTATTACAAAGATTCACCTGTCACAACTTGGTACAACATTGCAGAAGATAATCTCCTATGAGTTAGAAACTGAGCGAGGCTACGAAGGTTATTGTGTAGTGCATAACCAGTGATTAGACCGCTTACCTCGTTCAAGATGTCGGCTGGATTGGGCTGCGGACCACCACGAAGTCTTGTCTTCAATCTGTACACTCCGTATTCATGGCAGCATTTACTGCTTCTATACATGGAGCGTATAATGTTACATCTTTGAGTCGTAATTCACACCAAATTTTTTGTACAAGGCTCCTGGCCCTTGTGCGATACCTTTTGGATGTTCTAAGGTTACATTCCCGTATTGAACTAAACATCACACGATAGAGACCACCTTGAAAATTATTAGTGCTTAGATCTAGACTTAGCGTTTCTCAACCAGTTTCGCTTAGAATGAAAAAGGGCATACGGACGGGCGTATTGCACTTTTTACGTGGCCACGACTAAGTGAGGGCAGCGTCAGGATCATATACAGACTAACTGACCTACCGTAAGTTATACGAATGTGTTCAGAGTCTGACATGTGCTCGGCACGAAGGGCTCGCTACTGAGGGCCGGGGTTCATCCCTGTCTCGCGTGGAACAGAAAAGCAGCGAATGCGAGAATTTGGAACACACACACGAAGATTATGTACACACAGCATTGAGAGTCATTCAGTGTAAACAGCGCTCATATTACTGTTTTGTACGCGTCTATTCAATTCGGAATCCCTGCTTTTCTGCCCTCCGCTTGTCTGTATACCTACCCTGGCCGTCGTTAACGGGCCGTTAGCTCCAACGCTTGATAGCGCCAGGCCATGAATAGCAGCTTTCATGCAGATGTAGCCCATTTTGTGAAAAAAGCAGTCATGCCGGGTAAGTCAAACTAGCTTTGGTAACGCTTAGTGATAAGAACCCAGATGATTCCGGTACTTCAGTCGGGAGAATCGACTTTTTATACTACTCTGTCATACACAACTCCTTTGTTCATGTGAATTGGCAAATAGGTATACTCTTACCAGCCAGGAACGTTGAGCGCGTAGGTCCTTAAAGGCGCAAGCAAACAGAAATTTGGCCTGCCAACGCCTAGATGGGACGACATTTTGAATAAGGCTGGCCCATAATGTAGAAAAGTAACAGGTAGTCGTATCGTTAATAGAAACTCCACAGCATTTCATTGGTAATTTTATTCATTGGTTTAGACTGCAAAGGTCAGGGCTCTCTGAAAACCAAGTCTTGATAAGCTAAAACCCTGATACACAGGCCCCCAGAGAATGACGCTGCCCCTATCTCCGGTCGAGAGATCAAGAGGAATTAGAACCTGTGGCAATTCTCACCTGTTCGAATAGACTGAGGTGGAAGTAATCTGTAGGTAGAGGCCATTCCCAGCCTAGATTCCAGCAATTCGAGCTGCCACGCCATGCCCCTTCGTTTCTTCCAGAGCCGAGGGTTTCGTTTAGAACATCAACATAGCAGTGCTCCTTATTTACGACGATATAGTCAACGAACCAGGGTAATTTCGCGTGTTTTCGAGCATATTATCGAGAAGGAGCTATCAGCGGCTAGAAGGCATGCGAAGGAAGAATGTGAGTATATATTTTAATTTACTCCCAATCTAATATCACGAATGCCGCATATGTAGAGCCAAATATGATCCATACATCACCTACGGACACTCGTGTAAGCTTCTGCGAATCTGGAATAGCATATCTCCGCAGGCTGCGGTCAGCTGCACCACGTCCGCTGCCGTACATTGAACCACGTCCAATATCCCACGACTAGGTTCTCCGCAGCCTGTTGTGAGCAATCCAGATGACTTGCCTGATTGACATGGTAAAGTGGCAAGGGCCTGGCAGGATCAACGGTTACCGTACTTCCAGGCATCCGGTCTGAGGTCTGTGTCAGCTCCTTGGCAGACAAATTGTCGTCATTTCATAGCGACAGCGTGTAGTACGTCGTAGAAGGATTGATGTCCATGCTCTGGGACAAGGCATTTGAGACCTCAAGCCCTTGTGAGTTTGACACAGACACCCTCCGACGCACTGTCACCGGATTCTCACCAAGCCGGAAGGCGGAAATTCCCGTTTGACAAAAGGGCTGGTCTGGTTGTCATGACCCTGTTGTCTTAGCTATGGCGTTTACATGCTTGTTCGTTTCAAAGAAAACCCATATGGTTTGAGACAGTGTAGATAGAAAAGCTCTGGAAAAGTTCCATATCTAAGCAGTTGAGAGAAGGAAACATGTTCTAGAAAGCATTTTGGCTCAAATGTCTTGGCAGATTGGATCTTACGGCGTGTCAGTATAAAGTTGAGATACTTCTTGGAGAAATTGTTAGTTAAGATGGATGAGTATTCTACCTTTAGAATTTTTACTTCGCTCAAAACTATAAATATACTAAGTCTGACTCTCTTTTATTTCCATTTTCTTATCAGTTGCTGCTCCTAGCGGCATGCCTTCGCGCAAAGCATTAAAAGATGACATTATCCCAACCTCTAATGAACATTCTTACAGAACTTTGACTAGACTGAAAGAAACCATGGTGTTCACTCTCTATTTGTAAAATATATTGTACCTCTATCTAACTATGTGAAAAGTCACGCGGCTGAAGATGGAAGGCAGTTCAACAAACTGGACAAGTTAAAATGCGTCAAATAGAGCCTTTCCTCCATTTGAAGACGTATCTGCATGATTTTGATGTCTTAGTACTCGAAGAAAAGTTTTAGGATCGTGAATATGTCTCCATGCGAAACTTCCTCACTGATAAAGATTTCCCCAGAAAATAGTCGATGAATTACACATTTTCCTACATCGCGTGCATTTACCCATGCCTCTGTCTCGCTAAGCTTCTTGAGTCGTTAAATAGCTTTTTGCTTTTCTCTTCCTTTTTTTGACCATAGAATCCGAATCCCTTTCTTCATTTACTTTAACAAACGAATAGAGTTATAGCTAGAGTAATACGTAATAGGCTGGCTGGCTTCTGAGTATAGTGGTTTTGAGATGGGAGCTAAAGAGCTGGTAAAATTACACAGGAGAGTAAGCCCGTATAGGAAGATGACTAATATCACGTATTTAGTGACGTCTGAAATAGATAATATGGTGGTTACCCAAGCTATTGTGAGCTTGTTATTATGGTTATACAAACCGTTAAGCAACGTCGTGCTAGTAGTGTGTGTAACAGATATATCCTTGGCTTTCTACAAGACCGGATCTATCTGCTGTAAATGATATCAGGGCACTATGGCGAGGAAGCATATCTTACCTCACATCGCGAAGCACATCATATTACCATTTACTAATATCCAAACGAATTTACTAATGTCTCAAATGGTAGGGAAGCAGAATAGCCAGAAGGCGTATATATATGCGCCGATAATGAAAACTAGATTGATAGCCCGTGTGATCTCTACACTACTCCCCACCGCTATCTCTTCTCAATATATATAGCCTGAACTATAACTAAATTTCGTTTCTCTCCACCAATCTTTCAGTATGTCTAATCAACCATGGCTTGTTACTACGACGACGTCGTCATACTCTCTCAGATGGAACGACAAAGGCAGTGGCGCTACTAGAGACGGTGGTTTTTGGCATCCCAAATCTGAAGGGGATTTCCGTCCTCTTGGTAGCGTTGGACTTCCACATTGGAAAGACATCAATGGTAGTCATTCATCACTGCTTATTAAAGCCAACCCAAACGCAACTGGGGCGCTGCCACCAGTCACCAGCCCGACTGGCTATACCCTGATCTGGAAGGACGAGAAGAGCAAAGCCGACAAGGACGGATCGTTCTGGCGGCCTATTGCTCCAAATGGCTATGTGGCACTGGGAGATGTCGCCCGCGGGGGGTGGTCGACGCCTGACATCAGCGACGTCTGGTGCGTGCGCGCAGACCTTGTTAAGCAAGGTAGCTTCGCCGCTCATAGCGTCTGGGATGACAAGAAGTCCGGCGCCAAGACTGATGTGTCAATTTGGGAGATTCGATCTGCCTCTCGTTCCGATGAATCTGGCATCGACGACTCTGCGGCTGCTGAACCTATCCCAGCTGACCCTCGTGCTACGTATCTCGGCGCTATCCGCGCAAGCCAAAACTATAACGCTCCTGACTCCAGCTTTGCCCNCGTTCCTGCCGTGTAGAAACAATAGGGAAGGGCTGGCCTTCGGCTCAATCTTATGTCGAATGTGTTTAAGGGTAGGAGGTTTTCATTTCAACATGAAATGGCTGCCAATAGTTTCCTTTTATTGGCTATGGAGGTGCATTGATTGGTCGTGTTTCCATTATGAGCTTCGTTGTAGTGGTCTCAAGGCTATGTGTCTTTACTTATCATTTTACATCATTACAACAATGACGCTGATCAGTATAATTGGTAGTGGCTTCTAATAAATACTTGTGCACAAACGAATCAATATCACTTTGCTGTGAGTGCAATAACAGGATTCGAGCATCTACGTCGCCTCCCCGTAGGTATCCATAAAAGGATAGAACTTGATAGTTAATTAGAGTTGGTTAATGTTTATTTTTCTGTATGAACCTAATGTAAATACCTTGTTTGACCATTTTATCTTGTTCGCTATAGCTTGGTTTATAACGTGCATACCAGTAAATGAGAGAAAAGGAAGTACTTCAAGTAGATTTCATGTATTACAGGCGGCTACTTATTTTATCATTACATTAAGAACCCAACATACAACTAAACGATCGTCAAGCTACGCGCCTACGTGGGAGACAAACATAAATACACCGCCAACAATGTCAGTACATCTCATAGCGCCAGTTCAGAGCTACCATTTCCTCTGTAACTCCGCTCTTAATAACCTTCGCAATCTCTGCCTGGTCGCCTGAGTCCAGACGTTTGTTTTCGCGCAGAACTAGCCAGCGGTAGAATGTAATGGTGCCCGCGAATAACAGGGCGCAGCCCATCAGGGTACCAAACGCAGCATAGAAATGGGGAGACTGGTAGTACAAGTACGAGGCCCAGATGTTGGAAGTGCCGCCAATGGCGTTGACCAGAGCAGATGCAGCTGCGCGCTTGGAGACCGGTCTTGCGAGATGCAGATTGATTGTCTTGTAGAGGAGGAGTTGAGGGCCAACTGATGCAAAAGGCAGGATCATCATGGAGAAGTAGCGGGCTCCAACATTGAGAGTAACCATCGGAATAATGTACATGCCGCACGCGATTGCGATGCAAATGATAATTAAGGGATATACGGTGTTCTTGCGATCCGAGTAGAACATGAGAAAATAGTAGACAAAACCAGCGAGAACGTAGGGCGGTGCAGTGAGAAGCAGGCTGATAGTAGAGGAGAAGTGCAGGGACGCGACAAGCGTGGGGAAGTAGTTAGCGATGGATCCTTGGGCTTGCGAGAGCATGTTACAGAAGATGAGAAGCAATAGCTTGGGATCGGATAGAGCTTTGGCGAAGCCCCGCACCACAGTCTCATTCTCTGTGCCCTCTGCTGCACCAGCTTCAGACTCGATACGCCAGACAGCGAGGTCCCTCTCAATCTGAGAGAGGATACGGCTGTTGTGCGGGAACTCGGGCATGACACATGCGCAGATCGCTCCAACGCCAACCGTAGCACTACCCTCGATGATGAAGAGCCACTGCCAACCGCGAATGCCGTGGACTCCGTCGAGCTGAAAAACAGCAGCAGCGAAGAGCCCGCCGAAGGCGTTGCCAACTTGCTGCGCAATATACAAGGCAGCGATGCGCTTCCCGAGCTCCTTTTTCGTATACCAGGCCGAGAGGTAATAGATGGCACCGGGAAAGAAGACAGCCTCGGCAACTCCCAGAATGGTCCGCACAGCAAGAAGCTGCTTGTAAGTCTTGACGGCCGCCGTCGCAGCGGAGATAGATCCCCAGATGATCACAGCACAGCAGATATACATCCCAGGTCTGGAGATTTTGGTGATAAGAAGATTGCTTGGAATCTGAAATGGCAAATAACCGACGAAGAGGATTGAAACCACCGTAGCAAACTGTTCGGTGGACATGTGAAGGGAGTCAGTAATGCCTTGCAGCTTGGCCGCGGCCAAGTTTTGACGATCAATATAATTCAGGATGTATAGTATCCCAATGGTCGGTAGAATGATGAGGTCCATTTTGCGGACTAGCTTGTCGTTGAGATTCTTGATCTCAATACTGCTAAGGTTGCGAAGTGTCTCTGGCATCCGCTCGTCGACGGTGTCGACTTCGCCTTCTACGCGTGACACATCATCCTTGATATTGCGCTCTTTGAGAGTATCCATGGCGACGCTTGTTCTTGTAGAGGATAAGAACGCTAACCGTTTGTGTCAGAGATGAAGTGACGAAGAAACTGGAATCTTGGAATTTGTGGCCGAGAAGACGCGGCTTTCTCTCTGGAATCGCTGATAGATTCGAGGCCAGCAACGACGTCCCCGTCGAAAGTGGGCCTGGGGCTATGAGAGTATCTCAAATGATCGAAAAGACATTGGCATCTTCTAGGAATATTGCGACCTTCTATGTAGTTTTTGACACCTTGCAGGAAGAGCGTACAAGATATCAGTCCCGAGTTGGCGGAACCTATTGGCCCCATGGGGGCGCACGATCTAAGGGCTCTCTCTCCACATTACAGGTGTAGCCATGTGGGCCTCGATATGGAGCTAGTGGGCAGCATGCAAACATTTATCCCGGTACTGACCCTCCGCGCCTTTTGAGAGCTCCTCCCGATGGGGCGAACATGCAGTTGGAAACGCAGGGATCTGAAGATAGGAACGGAGCTCTTGAGGAAACGCATCTGAGTGATGTATCAAGAAATGGACAGGGCAGATGACTCCTTACTACTTGAAGAGAGTGCCATGGCCATTATCTTGCCGCATGCCACCATCCTATCTCGCGTACGCTTTGCAAACAGCAACTAACTAAATTCCAATCAATTATGAAAATGAGTTATCCTACTGCCCACACCACCGGTATCGAGAACCCTCGACTGAGGCTTCTCAACAAAATAAAACGCGGAGAATACCCGTTGATGACCTTCATGGCCATTCCCTCCCTGCGTATGGCCCAGATTATCGCCTTGACTGGCGTTGACGGTATCATCATTGACTGTGAGCATGGTAACATCGGGGATGATTCTATGCACAACGCTGTCGCTGCCATATCGGCTCTCGGAGTATCGCCCATCATCCGCATTCGTGGGCCTGCTCATGACATTATCAAGCGTGCTCTCGACACCGGAGCGCATGGCATCATGGTTCCACAGATTAACAACGCTGAGGAGGCGCGGCAAATAGTCCAATCTTCCAAGTTTCCGCCGCAGGGTGTGCGTGGCCAAGGCTCAGCTTTCCCCGCCATTGGCCATGGGCTCACAACGCCCGAGTACATGATGTCTGCCAATGAGACGATTTTGACCATGATCCAAATAGAGACGCGTGCTGGCGTTGAAAACGTCGACGCCATTGCCGCCGTGCCAGGCGTGGACATGGTCTTCATCGGTCCCAACGACCTCGCCCAGTCTATCCTCGGATATGTGCCCGCCCGGGGAGATGAGCACGAATTTGTCACCGCAGTTGACAAGATTATCGAGGCTGGCCGAAAGCATGGCAAGTGGGTTGGACGCATGGTCAACAATGGCACAGTGGCCAAGGAGGTCAGATCGAGGTACGACACGGTTGCCATTACTGGCGATACAAAGGCAATACAGAATTGGTATATAGCAGAGTTCGAGACAGCGCGGTCATGAGAAGGCAGTCGAGTTGTTACAAATGGCATATAAGAAAAATTCTCATATAAAGGAATATAGACGATCATAAATAGATCATTGTTGATAATTGACCTAGAAGAAACAAGCATTCAAACACAAAACATAGTAGCGAATATATATATATTCTAGATTACGCTTCTTCCCAATTTTATTCTACCATTTCTATATTGATTTGGTAAGCCAATCGTCGCTGGATTCGTCCTCATGGACTGATTGCAATCGCTCTAATCCAAACTTAACGTCCGTCTTTGTCAGTATTCTCTGCAGAGTCATGGACAGTGCTTTCGCGAATTGCCTTTTGCTTAAATCTACTATGCAAGCATTTACTTTAACTGCTCTGTCTAACTTGATTACCTCTAAGACTATATGCGTAGGTATCTGCGGACTTGTTTCGGGAAGGGACAACAGTGAGACCTGACCACACTAATTTTGTCTTTAGCATGAATAGGACATGAGAAGCCTGCCAGCAAAAAAGCTGTCTGCTGAGGCTGCCCACACATGGGTTTGTGATATGGTATCACCGGTGGTGACGGATACAGACCGTTGAATTTTCTTGGCGGATTGTAATTTTGTAGGCAAAACTTCATTTTGCTAACCATTGTTCAATTTAATAACTTCCACTCACAAATATATTAAACAGTTATGAACAGGATTGAATAATGCCTCTTGTGAGCGAGCCATCATTCGTACGCAAATCTTGTTGGGCGTTGGCTTGCATAACTGGTGAAGTTTTTGAGCTTTTGCTCACAGTTGCAAATATTGATACATTTCTATTAGGTCTAAGTTACAGCTATATGCTCTTGATCCACATGCGGTGAGCTCTCAAGCCTGTGCGATACACTCAATCTCAATAACTGTCCCGTCTCCTGGAGGAACTGCCTGGAGGCACGAGCGAGATGGCATCGGCTTGGGCAAGAACTCAATGTATGCCTCGTTCATAGCGGCAAAATCCTTCATATCAGCAAGATAGACATTGTATTTGACAACCTTTTCAAGCGACGATCCTGCAAGTTCGAGAACTTCTTTGAGATTCTGTAGACAGGTTTTCTATTTCAGAAGCAGGCAGGCGTTAGCTCAACAACTGGCATAGGAATAGACCACTTTGAACAAAGAATTGAGAATAATAAAACGCACTGTTGCCTGTCTGATCTCTCCAGTGGCTGTTTGGCCAGCGCAAAAGACTAGACCGGGGACCTTGACTGCAGGGCCTAGGTAGATAGCAAGCGTTGTCAGCAAGTGGTTGGTATTATAAGCGCATGCCTCGCACTCTCCCACTACCCCGGAAATTACTTACAGTTGTGCGGCTTAGGAGGGAATTTTTCACTAAAAATAAGTTCACGGGACATTTTTTTTTTTTTTTTTTTTTTTTTTTTTTTTTAAACAAAAAGTGGAAGAATTTTAGAGCGATAAGGTGACTGAGAAGTGATGATGAGAAAAAGAATCTAAAGTACGGTCGTAGGCGAATGTTCTCATGGATACTTAATTGTATGCGAACCGGTTCACTCCTTTAGTAGCAAAATTCTTAATATTTGCCCATCGAATCAAAGTCCACGAGGGGCGGAGATCTCCCATCGATTAGACAAGGATAGACGGAGGAGCTCCGAAGACGTGCAACAATGACCGTCATCTCTGCACACGGCCCTAACTGACACTTACACGTAGCGGATGGTGGCCAACCTACAGCATTAGCGTGGGAGGAGCTCCTCCCCGCCTCTAGCTGCAACGTAGGTTGAAAATCCTTGCTTCGTGATTGGCCTGGCATGGTAATCCAGTATTCCGGTTTCCGCCCATTTCAGCACTTCACAGCTCCGCTGATTCGTGGTTCTGTAAAGCGTGCCACACCTAAGTGGCTGGGATTGCTGGCCGTCTCCACTATAATTGATCCCCTTAGTTTGTTGGAGTTCCCGCCAAGAAGACTAGGTTAACCGTTCACCATAAATGTGCGGGTAGACGGAGCTCTCGTGGCGAAAGGAGGAAGAGATATGGGAGGAGGAGGATTAAGCGAGATGGAGGGAAGTACTGTGCTCCGGCAATGAGATACAACACTAAATCATTCATCTTGCCGATCATCTGGGGGAGGGAGTAAATGGTCAGCGCTGAGGAGGAGGCGGGGAGGGGGAGGGTGTTTGACGCAGAGTACATCGTAGTCTCAGGGCAGGATGTGCTATGGTCTGACTTTGTCCGATTTTTGCGTCGTTCTCGCCTGATCAAGGAGCTCTTTTGGAAAGAAAGTCAAAAGCGAGGCATCGACATAAGCTGCCACAATCCTTCAATCATATAGCTCGCCTAAAAGTTAAAAGGAGGAAGTTGCCTACACAGGTAGATAGCCTCCTACCATCTTCCACAAAATCAAATATCTCGTTGAAACATTCGATCATATCAAGTCATGGCACCCGCTACTCCTTTCCATCCACCTGCTGCCGACCTACCTGGCAAACCCTTTGTGCCAGATTGGGTTCCACCTCCCATCACAAAGCAGAATGAGAACTTTGCAAAGCTCAAATCTATTGACTTATCTTTGCTCGACTCAGACGATCCAACTGTCGTTGATAACCTCATCCAACAGGTCAAGGTTGCTATTCGCGATGACGGGTTCCTCTTCCTTGAAAACTATGGCATTACATTGGAACAGGTAAGGGGCAAACTTCATGGAATGAAAGGATGAAGCCACTAATAATGCCGTTCCGTCTCATTTAATAGCTCCACCGACAGTTTGCTCTTGCGCAGTACCTATACAACAACATTAGTGAGGACGATAAAGAACGACTTCTCTTCAGTCCTGAGACAGGTGTGTGGTCTGGCTACAAGCATCCGTATGGATTCAAGGTAAAGAAATATCCGGATTGGTAGTATGTGTGGGAGCTCTTTGTGACACTTGCGCTTACGTTTACTCTCTGTGTGCCCTTTCTCAGCGTCACCGTGGACCCCCTGATGGCATCGAGCAATTCAATTGGTACAAGCCTGACTGGGAAGATATCAACCGTATCCCAAATTGTCTGCATCCCTTCATGGACGAAATCGAAGCGTTTTGTAATTACCTTACCCAGTCCGTCAATCGACGGCTCCTCACCGTCTTCTCGCGCGTTTTAGAGCTGCCCGACGACTACCTCTGGGAAAATGTACAATCACATGGCAGCCCAACTGGTGAAGGATACTTCCGCCATGCGCTCTTTCGACCTGTAAGGAAAGAAACCGAAGAGGCATCAAAGGGCCTGCGTATGCACGGCCATACTGACTTCGGCTTGACCACGTTGTTATTTTCCGTTCCCATCTCGTGCCTTCAAATCTGGGGCCGCGACGAGAAATGGTACTACGTTCCTTACAAGCCTGGCGCTCTCGTAATCAATATCGGCGACACCTTGGAGATTGTCTCCGGCGGTCACTTTAAGGCCACACGCCACCGCGTATTCAAGCCCCCGGTGGACCAACTACACGAAGAGCGTCTTTCTCTGGTGCTCTTTAACAGCTCCGTCGGCGATTTGCGCATGACTCCTGCAAAAGGTGAGTAGGATCTCAACTAACCTAGGAAAGTGGCAAAAATAGGCATAGCTAATCGCTCTCGTTCTCTTTATAGAATCACCACTTATTCAGCGAGAGGGCTGCATTGAAGAGCAAGGCGTTTACAAGGAATTTAGGGATCGCACATCAGAAGGCAAGCTTGTACCCACGAATCGCGAGTGGCGCGAGATCCAGATCTCCACGGCGACCGACCCAACAGATCGGGAGCACAACCGAGTTGGGGTTCATCAAGTGCTAGTCGACGGGAAAATCATGCATCAACGAGAATACATGGGAGTCAAAGTCCTCCTGCCTGTCTAAAGGGGCCACAGGCAGTCAGCCGATTCGCCTTGGAGAAAACCTTTACCGGCGCGAAAGTACATGTAAGCAATTGAGCCAAAGTACCTGTACTCAATATCTGTATTATATAACTTGCCATATTTGAATGTTCCATTTATTCGATGATAATAATGCCCCCAACTATTCTAAGAGATTGTAGTAAGAATGTGTGAAAGTTGCCCCTTATCTTTTGGAACATCTGCTCCCCCCTTATCAAGATAGTATACATGGTGAGATTTGGAACGATTTTGTTCATTATCAGTGCTTGGTGGGTCTAGATAATGCAAGTTACATACATAACTATGTGGCGGCGTACATTGTAGATAAGCAGCCATGATGCCAGCTGAAACGGCATCTGCCCCTCAGCCTTGCATGTTCCAGCTTTAACGCATACTTGCCATGCTTAACAACCAGTTTGATCGCTTTTAAAGCTTTTGAAATGCAATCAGCTAATTACTCTGATCCGTTGTTGCATTGCCTCCCCGAACGCGGCATTGCTTGGGGAAAAAGACCCTAGTGGTTAGTGTCATAGATCTAGTCATTCAGCTTGAAGGAGAGACACACAATCTAGCCACCAACCCACTAATACTAGTCTACCCCATTATCATTATCCCCATGCCTATGGGGCCTTTCCCATGCGGGGTATGCAAGAAGTTTGTGGACCGGTAGTTAGGCTTGTACTATTACTACTACTACTATTACCATTGTTCCAAGTGAAGATAGAAACATCGTCGCACCCCAGGAGCATCACGCCTCTATCATGATCGATTTTGTTGCCGGCGGGGAAGTCCCAGCCTATCGTCCATTCCAATGCCTCGTCTGCCAAAGCCGGTTTACCCGACATGAGAACCTTAAGAGACATGCTGCACTTCACGCACGCTCGCATGACAAGGCGGCGCTTCCATGTGGTGTCTGCGAAGTCACTTTCTCACGCCATGATTTACGACATCGTCACATGAAGAGGAAACACCCAGAGCACAACGATAGGCGGCCTGTAAAGAAGCCGCGATACCAGCAGGCGGCAACAACACAAGTGAGTGATGAAGGGCAATGTGAGGGAGGAGACGGGGCGCTATCTCCATCCTCTGCAACGAGTCGGCGAAGTTCGCCTCCTCAGCAGTCGGGCGATGAAGGTGAGGTAGAAATGGAAAGCGGACTATGGCACACGGAGCTACGGTACGAGCAGTATCATGTCGATCACGGACATCCTGGCTGCGCAGAAAACATCTATCTTCCGACAGGCGCGCCCACCAGCTCCGAAGACGGCAATAGACCAATTGTCGCGGCCCAGCTGATGCCGCAACTGCCCGTGATCAGGACCGAATCAACATGTACCGACGATAATGTTCAAGCTGCAGCTGTCATGGAACAGAACCTGTTGATGGAAGCGACATTTCTCAAGCCTCCGCTGCAGTTTAGCACCGCAATGCATCCGGTGGCAATTTCGCCAACATCTTCATTTGACATCCGATGGCCTAGCTTTGACTTCAATCAAGATGTCCCGGATAGATTGCTATCGAATGACCGCCCCCGGATACATGATGATTGGTATCCCTCTGTCTCGCAGGTCACCGAAGGCTGCGATCTCTTCTTTACCTACGTCTCGCACTTCGTCCCCTTTCTACACCGGCCCACATTTGATGCCACACTCGTTGCTCCTCACTTGGTCCTTGCCATGCTATCCCTTGGCTATCAATACGGCGAGGATCCAGACCGCAGCGACCAGACAGGCTCAGGCGCCAGCTTATCAGCGCGATGCTACCATCAAGCTCGGATCCTTAACGCCGCTGAAGAAGAGAGTGCGGATGATACGACTCAAAATATCCTCGCTGTTCAGACGTATCTGCTACTTCAGATCTGTGCTATGATGTATCTATGTGGTAGTGACTCGACGTATGGCCTCAGGATGCACTCCAAGATGATTTCCCTTGTTCGGGCTGGAGGACTAATGCAACCAGTAGCAATGCAGTCTGGCACAGCAGAAAATCTAGAGTCACTGTGGCGGGAATTTATCAAAGCCGAGTCCCACAAACGAACCCTTTTTGCCGTACACCAGATCGATGCGCTCTGGTATCAGTTCCTGTCCATCCCCCGATCCATCTCGCATCTTGAATTCAAGCATGAGTTGCCCTGCTCGGAGGATACCTGGGCGGCATCCACACCCGCCGAGTGGGCGCATCGGCAGCTTGTTATGAGGCATCAATCTGGGCCATCAGTGCTGTATACAGACGCTGTCAGACGGTTCTTATCCCCCGAAGCGGACCTTGACACCATTCCAGCATTTGACCCGTATGGAGCTATCAACATTGCGCAGTTCCTAATCTCTAGCGCACGTGAAGTATCTGGCTGGTCTACCATAACAGGAAAGCTGACAATGGAGAGAATCAAGCCTCTGAGGTCATCACTCATTGCGCTCAGCCCCTTCATCCACCAGCAATCTGGAGCTGGAAACACAACACACGCAGCATTATGCGAGGCGACATGGGAAGCCGCCATGATTGAGCTGCAGCTCTGGTCGCCGTCACATACTAGTGGCATCGTGGAAGGGAGTATGGATGCAGTATTGAATAAATCGGTTTATCTGGCACCTTCATGTGAAATCCTATGCGAGTCTAACACTACCAAGGCTATCCAACCCCATGTTGATTGGTTCTTGCGCTATCTAGATTCAACACTCTCACCTGCCTCTGAGGCACCATGGATTGCTTTATATGCATACCGAGCTTTCTTGATTGCCTGGAACCTCTTACAGGGAAGCATTTCAGGCGCGATGCAGGCAATTAACATCCGTGACGGTGATGTGGAGGGAGCTTTGACGTGGGCCAGGAAAGTCTTTCAGCGACGGCAGCACTGGCAACTTGGTAAGCTCGTTTTATCGAGTTTGGATGCTCTTGAGAAACAAGTAGCTTCATGGCTTTAATTTAGCTGGAAGTAACAATCTAGATTCCCTTGTTGGAGATTTAATTTCGGCCTAGTAAATAGTTGACAGAAGGTATTCTTCGTATACTAACATAAGAGCATATTTCGATATTAATATTGTTAGGCATAGCTATAGGATTATATTATAATAGATTATATATTTTAATTCACATCCTTACATGCAGTATCCCTTAAGTAACATATATATGTTGTGATTTAAAGTAAACTGTATTCCCTAAATCATGAACAATATTATGAATTCTTGGTTTAAGAATTATTATAATTCTATTCAATCAGCAGCACGTACGCTAATATTTATAAGTTCATCCAAAAGTCGAGTAAACGTGGTATGAATCATAGCTACCGATGATGGACATTCAGAAAAAAATCCCCCCCCTTCGATAATCTCTATGAGAGACTAAACAAACATTTATTTGTGTATATTGCTGTCGATTTCTGTGTCCTTTTGGTTATCCGGCACTATTTTAGTGTCTCGGAACATGATCCTAGGAAGCCACCCATTGTTAAAACGTCAATATACCTCTCATCGGTAATTATATAGGTTTTTATAGACATGAAGTTAGCTATCTGGATCATATGAGGTAAGAAGAACTAATGTCTCCTGCATTCTTGCATACTAATTTGGCAAGAATCATACGTCATGGCCTTCTTATACACTCAGCGTTCTAGGCCACAAGACCTATGTCGTCACAACGCCGGAACTATCCCATGCTGCTCTAAAATCCAAACCAATGTCTACGGATCTTTTAACTAACCTCATATGGCGCCCCCAAAATACTGAGTCTGAGCAAAGATTCAGGCCATCATTTTTGTATCGACTGCACAGCCTCGAAAGAACGATCTGAGGAGTTTAGTCACGCTCACGCACTTGCCCCTGGCTTGAGTGTAAAACATGCAGGGTCAAATCTGTTCAGATGTAGTGGCCGAAGTTATCAACACTTTTAATGCCAATTGGACAATAAAAGACATGTACCAATGGCCCCGAGATATCATTACACTGAGTACAGCTAGTGACTTGTATGGACCAAAAAGGCCCAGCGGCTCTTGACAAAAGTGATGAAATGTATGTTAATTGACTATATCTCTTCTACTATTACTGACAGGGCGTACTGCTCCTACTTATGCCTAGTAGCCGGATTAACCCCTGCCCTATTAAGTACAGCTACTTGCTAAGTCGGTGCCCCTATTTTCAACAAAAAGCATTATTCAAGATATCTGGTAAGATAGCTCAAGATTCACAAAGATGTTCTATTACTCATAAATTTGCAATTATATTACATTTGATGAGAACCAGCTACAGCTTAGCTGGGGCGTCCTCCCCAATCTCATCGCATCTAACGGCCGTCCGTATCCTTGACAAAATCTCCAAAGCTTTCCAAAAGGTCGTTCAAAATGGAATGAACAATCTTTTCAGTGATGATGTGAAAACCGCCATCGCCACAAACCGCAAAATGGATGTCAGTGTCGAGGATTACTATCGTACCGAAGCGTTCAATATCTCTGTTGCTACTGTACTCACAGCTGCTATCTTAATACAAAATTTCCTTGCTAATTTACATCTATTACAAGCCCTAAGTATACATTAGCGATGAGTCGACAAGAATCATGTTCGATCCATCTCGACTCAAACTTGGGATTGATGAGAATCATCATCGATCCGTTACGATCCAGGAATATCAACTGGATATATAAGTTCACTTCTTACACTCATTTAGATAACTTAGATAGCCAGTTGTTAATAGCAGACTCAAGATTGGAAAGCACTACTAACTATCTAGTGTACGGTTCATCACAGTTGCGTACCTAGGTCAACAATGAACCGTATCACTTGCCTTGGCATAGCTTTATATGCTAATCAGAATCGAGGAAATGTTCTGGGAAGACAGAGGTTTTCTAGGGCGTCTGTGCTATGAACTGCTCAACTGCTGCCCACGTTTAAAAGACCAGATGAAGAAAAAAAGGCTTGATTCGAAAGTTCACTACGTTTAACTATGATTCATTACCTAATTTATACAATTTATAGCCTGGAACTTTTAACCTTGAATCTCATGATTGACTCCCAGCCCGGATAACACCTCTTGGATTCGGTTGCAGCCGTAGCTATTGCTAAATAAAAGGAGCCATCAGGACTCGACAAAGGATTCGAACAAGCACTTGACTAACAATAAGTAGACGGCAAAACACTTGCTACAATGGAAGAATACAATACGTATTACCGACGTCAAGGAATATAATTTGATGAAGATATTTAATAGACAGATTTGCTTGTGAGAATGCAACTTGTGGTGGCTTAATAAATAACAAAAACTTTTAAATGGTACTAAATACTCCCAAAATTAACATTACCACCCAAACGCCTCTTCAAAATACTCAACTGCATTGCTCTGATTGCCCATTGCCCGATACGTCGCTTCCCTGGCCGCATCTACCATCCCACTGGGACCACACGCCATCACAGCTAGCCGTGATCCAGACTCGACAGCGGAAGCCGCTGCACTCTCAATGAGCATTGGGATGTCAGGCCTGCCCATCTTGATGGTTAAAGAATCGGCCTCGTGTATATCATCGGTCGCCTCTTTACCCTTAAGCACACCATTTCCTACAGTCTCTTGGCACGCATCTCCAATTGAGATTTCGTCTGGAGACGGTAAATCTAATGATTCGATCGAAGCCTTTGCAGAATCTGTGCAGTAAAACATACATTTGACCTCATCCTGCATAAGTGCTGTTGCAAGTTCCCGCTGGGCAATCCGATGGAGATAAGCTTTTTTGCGATCGGCCCAAACTAATGTCAGTCCACGTATGCGTGTCTGGCCTGCAGCGACCCGTGAGACATGATCAAGTATATAAGGAACCATGGCCGCAATGCCTGACCCCCCTGCAATAAGAAGGACCTCGTCAAACGTCCACAAGGGCTCGGCCTTACCGTACGGCCCTTCGAGGAGGATAGTCTCCCTAGAGATTGCAGAGAGTCTGGATGTAGATTGGGTCTTCAGACAGATATCACGAAGGCGGCGAGTCCAACCATCATACGGGCGAATCCAGAAAGAGAGAATGTACTCGTTTTCAGCCGCTGCATGAATTTTTGAAGGCTGATTCGCTGTGCTATTCGTGGTCAGAGAGCCAGCTTGAGCCTGAATAGTTTCTTCCGTAGGCTTGCTCCAATATGCCAAAGTGAAAGGATGATTCTCCCAGCCAGTGAAGCGGAATGGCTGGTACAGATAATAGTGCTGACCAGGTCTTGGCCTTACGTGGGTGTTAATTTGAATGCGGACAATGTTGGCGTCTTGGTCGTAGGATATCGCAGCAACACTACGATGGAGTCTCTTTTTGGACAGCCGAACGTGGAGATTGCAATAAACTACCCGAACAATCCTCAGGAAACGGTCAAAACTCCAGATGGCAACGAGAGGCCATAAGTAAGGATCGTATTCTCCATCGAATATGGATGTGTGGCTGTTATAGAAGTGATAATTAGTACACAATAGAAGTTGGGCAGCTTCAATTTGATCTGGGAATACATACTAGAAGAGAGCGATAATTACCACGATAGATAAAGTGATATGGATCAGAAGGAAAGACTCATAAATCTTGCGACGGAACCAACTGAAGGAGAAGAGAACGATAAAGCTCATTGAAATCGTTGCCTGAAGCATACCAACATCAGCATATAAAGTCATAAATGCCAAGGACGCTTGAGAAATGGCGATCAGAAGCAATATCTTACCACAACTCCTAGGCACCACCAAGCCTCATGGAACGATTCCCGATAATCGTCCGCTGGATTTGACCCCATTATTAAATGGTCTCTGTATAAATATCTCAAGCATGGATAGGAACATACCGAAGCCCGCTGTAAAGTAGAAAGCCGTATATCCAATAGAATGGAAGATAGCTTGCACTGTCGCTATGCGAGCGATATGTCGGTGGAAGAGATTGAATGTAGAGAATTGCCAACCTGTTAGCCAGATAAAAATATTATTCCGGCCGCTGAACATCCATATCAAGGGTAAATTGGCAAATGCCAGTATGCCTGTTCGGTCGGCAATATATCTCCATATCTGAGGGGCAACCGCAGACCAGCTTTTTATCAGCCGCTCGTTAGCCTTCTATATCTCACAAAGAAGTTTCTTTTTGTTCGCATAGGCACTTACTAAAGGTTACCCTTGAATCCACGGTAGTTTACACAACAAAGTACAAAATTGACGATCCAATATGACAGCACAATGAATGCTTCGATGCGAGTTGGTATGGTGCATCCGAACAAGAGCTGGCTCCGATAAGGAGGTAAAGCGCTTGGAGTAATAAGGTGTTTCCGGATCCATGAGTATAAGGATGCAATTGGGCGGTTTTTTTCTGTTGGTTTCTCCCGACTATCTGCCAACCCGGTGTCCTCAGGGCCGGTAGATGAAGGTGACAGCCGGCTTTCATTGATCAGGGTGATAAGTCGGTGCAGAGCTCCAATGACGAGAACACCGCCCCAGAATCCATACATTGCGAACCTGCAGTATTGAAAGCATTAGCCTTGCTTTTGTCAACCGGTAGCGTAAGATAGCAAAACTAAATCTCACCCATAGGCAATATGCGTTCGGTGCTCATAATCCCATGCATCCTGGTGTGGTCTTAGTAACTCTGCTAGATATCGAGACAATGAATATGGTATAATTGAAATGGCAAAAGGCGTACCTCTGTGCGGTAACCCAATTCAAACCAATCTCTGGAAATCAGAACCGGCGTCGTGAGGTTAGTCAGAACCCTCTTATCATCTTGATCGAGAATAGGAAAGCTGTTAACTGCTTTATCAGTTAAATTCGCAGCCAAGTCGGCCTCTGGAATGAGTTCTACGCTGCCATAGCTCTGACAGGCCAAGCCGAAGTAGGCGAGCCCGGGATCTAGGTCATTTGGCGGGCAATATGCCCTGGAAATAGCGTAGACAGAAGTGGCTTTTAGCGGGTTCTGGCAAAGTCCCAAGTAATAGTCACCGTATCCAATGCCTTCGAAGTTGAGATTTCCGATAATACCAAAAACAGCCGCAACACATTCCTGGTGGACCGCGACTTCAAGAGCTAGTCCATGCCAAGGGAACAGACCGACAACAGCCAGGCCGACCTTGAGGAGATGTCTTATGGCTATCATAGTCATAAGGCTTCCAAACCCTCGATAGCTGATTTGTCTTCTCGGGATCTGCGTGAGCTCTGCCTAGATTTGAGTACCGAGAGTCACACGATCAGCTTGGCAGCTTGGCAGTTTCCATGCGGAATCATAATATATAATATATAATCCTCCAGATCACATGAACGTATCCGCTCATGCAATTCTCGGCTTTTCTTTTAATTTTTTTCTCAAAATCTTCCCCCCACAACCGAGGGCTCTCTATTCCACTTAGTCGACATTCATGCATAACCCAAACTCCATTAGCCATTGGGCTAGCACGCCCTTTCGCAGTCATTTGCAGGCTTTGGAAGACTACATTCAGCTCATGGAAAAAACTTTATTGAAGTGGAGGTATGATCCTAGATATGGACTCGATCGGCGGTCTAGATCTCGTATTAAATGCCTCGCATTGAAGTGACTCAATATTTTAGCTAAGGATGGACTGATTTTGATCTTATCAGATGGATAACTCGAGTCATCAGATTAGATTAGATCTAATACCTAAATGTGATTGGCCCTATACGATGAAGGCCCACTTGAATACCTTACTATACCTTACCTAAATAGGAACGCCGGCGTCTTTCTCCATCCCGTCTTTACTCTCCCTCTCTTAGTTATAAGGTAACGGACCCATAAAGTGGTCAATAGTCGGATTGTACGTTCCGGTTCGTTCTCTAGATATACACTAAATTTTCAAGAAGCTGTGTCTCTAACTAAGAGAGCGACAGATAAATGTCCTGGGGCATAGCTGAGGTTTTTAGCGGGTTATCAAACCTAGTTATAGTCTAAACTAATAAATAAGTTCAGAACACTAAGCAATATTCATTATCAACGAGTAATAAAGGTATCTTCGCACAATGTCATACATACAACATAGTAACCCTTAATTATACGTAATTGCTCAAGTCGTTCAAGGCAGGTTATTAGTAACCAAAACTAACTTACGGCATCGCGTGAATTCCATGTATAGTATTAAATGTAATTTTTATTTTAAAAAAAATGTTATAGTTTAGAGGCACAACCCTGTTGTGAAAATGTAAAATTTGCCTCAAGTTGGGCGGGGCCCGAGGTTTCAGATCCTTCAGATATGCAGCTAAATGTTGATGTAACTATTGATCAAAAAGACGCACTAGGAGAAGATAAACGAAAAATCCAAGGTGTTGCCCGCGATCTCTCGGGACCTGAAAGCGGAATCCTTTCCGATAAAGGTGCCAAGGACGTGGGATTAATCATGCCTACCGCCTAAAGCGCCTCTTTTATGTCTGTGAATATTGCATTCTCGTAAGCTTCCGCAATTAGCATTGCAGAGGATCTACCTAGACTTGAGCTGGGCCAAGCTCTTAGAATGATACCACAAGACAGAGGCCGAGCAAGGGGAGAGTATTGCTGACGTGGTGGCCGCTACTCTTAATGCCTTAAACTATTTATATCTCAACGCTATTTGTTGCTCATTGATGAGGTAGAAGAGAGTATATGTGTGTTCCCATGTGGTTGACTCTGTAAACTGGAAGCGACCTAAATTAGCTTAGAAGATGTCAATCCTTCAGATGGATCTCCTTGCTGCCAACTGGAAGTGGGCTTAGGCTTTAGTTCCACGAGAAAATTTTGCTAAAGTAATCTAAGCTTACTTCGGCTTGACTCTAAGAAGTATTTAGCGTTCAGATGGGTCAATGGTCATGCGTAAACCTGGTAGTGGCGATATTCTCATCCCACCCGTTATTCCTTAGGTTGGATAGTTTGTTAAACACCGAGCTTCGGCTTCGGCTAAAAAAATCTTCTGTCATACATGATCTCTTTACCCAGTCTGGATATGTATGGAGCAAATGTTATAGGCATTCTAGTTACATTTGAGAAGAACAGAGGGGCAAGGCATGATACAGTTAACTAGGCGAGTGTTGTGAATTAAATTGTAAAGATACGCACAGAAGACCAAGGTTTCGGCTGCGATACTAACGATCAATCGGTTATTTGTGCTTAAGATGTAGTTATTCCTCTCTTTTCCCTTTCTCTTCTTCTTCTTTTTTTTTTTTTTTTTTTTTTTTTTTCCTTCTTCTAAATTAAACTGTACATTAAAATTGAGGATTAGTCCTTACTCGGTGTTGGAAGCAATAACCAAATTCTTCAGTTAGCTCTCCATTAAGGTGTGTATTCCAAATGCTCTGTTTGAATAATTGAAGACTCGTATAGTTTTGGATTGTCGATGCGGTGCAAATTCCGCCTCCCTTTCCATGTCTGCATCCATGTACACATCCGTCTACAAGGAATAATTGGTCCTCATTCCGGCTTTGCGATTTGTCTAAAGCTCTCATAAAGCATGCAAAAGCAGATTGAGGCATTTTGTGTTGTATTCAGCCAAACAATGTATGTGAGGCTAGTTGTAGGAATCGTACCAGTTGCGGCACCGGACGCTGTGCTGGGTGATTCTACCGGCCATGTCCCTTAGGGCTGCGAAGAGACCTCGGTAAGATTCATAACTATACTGACGACAAAATTGCCTTTTCTATATATATATATAGGACTTTGCAATTCATTTTGAATTACTGTAGTTAGACTATACTATCCATATTTCAGTGTATTAAACTTGTATATTAGTCTTTCCGTAGATTCCGGCATGAAACAATCTTGCCGGTATATATTATATATATCGATCTACGCATGCGATTTCTCCCTAATATACCTTAAATACTCGTCTGAAGGCTTTTATTACACAACGGTTGTGAAACTTACGAAGGAAAACTTCAAATGAGCTTCTAGGCACTTCTTTCTCGCAGTGGGAATCAACTTTAATGCTGTACAGCTAGGGCTTCTCCTTTTAGTGTCACTTGAATATGGATTATAACATGAAATTGAAAAAAATTCCATCGTTTCCATATCCAAATGGTTGCCTGAGCGTGGGATGATTGGGGAGTCAATGTTTGCAGCTTACGATTAATTTAAAAGTAACTCATTTTCGACGCTGCAAGTATACCCATCTTTCAAATATCCAACAGATTAACCACTAAAAGGCTCCGTACGTGCGGGGAAGTATTGGGGGATTATTTATACTGTGTCTATGGCATCTGATGGGCTGGATGCCGCGCTTCGAGGTGGCCAAGCAGCAATCAACTACAACAACACCGATATGATCTGCTACAACTGGAACGGAGCGCGTTTTCCTCTGCACTCTGCAAAACATATTGAACCAAACCTTCAAGCGCCATGTCGGCAAGTAGATTGGCATATTACGGACAAACGGCACTAGAGCTCTTCATGGCCTGAATTCTTCTCACCTCTTCCGACTTCAATGCCGTGAAGGCTTTCTCAACCCAATTACCTCGTCATCAACTAATATTAAACCAGAAAATCTGGGAGCACAAGTTATTTGCAATACAGCTTCAGTCGGCGTGCACGCAGTGCAGCAATTCTTCTTTATCATGGCGATTAAATTCGCAAGCCAGAAGTTCCGGATATTCTCCCGTCGCTCGATCCTCACAAACGACTCGATACGCAAATGTATTATGCTATATCTTCTTTTTTTTTTAAAAAAAAAGCCTTATGCTGCGCAAGATACGTCTTTGCGTACCAAGAAGACTGGCGCCTTAGTGATGGACAATTCGCCCTTACCTGGATGAGCGGCTGGTCTTACCAGTTCATCGCCATCGAGTTAATGGATGCCGTTGCCGCATTCCCCCCCTTTGCATGTGCGCCCTTTGTTATTACTACTTGGGTTCCCTTCAACATTTCTTCTTCTGCATTGAGTGCTAACCTTTGGGGCCGGGCTTCTATAAACTCATGTATGCTCTAGCGGTCGAATTTACTGAGACTTTCGTTACAATCACTTCTGGTGGAGCGGTCGATCATTATACCGCAACTTGCCTGTTTTGTTTGCGCGGGCACTACTGCTACAAGCGTTCGCTGCCCCAGCGCGGCGAATATATATCGCTACCGAGTGGCGAGGAAGTCCGAGAGAGGCGAGGGGAGAATAGAGTAGAGTCGCTAATTAGCGCACTGGGGCCAACGCAAGGAAATGGCGAGAGTTATTGGAGCCTCAAACTATGTAGTTGGAAAGTAAAGAAGCCAATGGTAATTCTAGAAAAGAAAGATGGCTTATTTGAACACTTCTTTGGTCTCTCATTTCTGGTTCCTCTTAATTCATCTGCCTTCATATATACGTTATTAAAGCGGGAATCTTTTGTTCCTTAGACAACGCCTGTCAGCCCCCCTCAAGACATTACTGAAGTCTTTTTGATAATTTCCCTTTCGTTTAGTAAAATAGAACGCCTTGTAGTTTTCGAACTTTCTGTCCTAGCTGCTAAGGAACAACGTTATTCCATGGTGCGTGGGCTTGGAAGGGGTATATTTGACACTTTGGTCAGCATTTAACTACCTCTCTACCAGACTAATGCCTCAAGGCGGTTTATTCGCATCTTACCACGTATTTATTGAAAATTTTAGTAATGCATCTTGAATGTAGTCACTTTTGATTCGTTTTACTCCAGATGAACTCCTCAAAAGCATATTTGCTACTAGCCTTCCGGCAACGGACCTCATTGCGGCCATCAACCAGCTTACTACACCCACATCTTTTGAGTCACTTTAAGGGAATAACAAATCCCGTCTCATCAATATCTATTCGCAGCCACTCTAACATGCCCCCAAAATTAAGAGAAAATCCAAAGATAAGTTGTCAATGTGGCACCATCTCCCTCACAGCCTCGCGCGCTGAACCTCTTGGCAAATATGTATGCCATTGCACAGAATGCCAGAAACAATCGGCTTCTGCATTTGGTATCTCTGCTCTCTTCCCATCTGAGGGAATGTGGCCATTCCCCAAAGAATTACAACAGCACATTGGCATGTGGGCTAGGCCAGCGGACTCGGGCAACACAGTAGAGTGCTACTTCTGCAAAGTGTGTGGCGTTCGTATCCTGCATCGGGTTATCTTCAAAGATGGTACACCTAGGCCCTCACTTGCGGTGAAAGGTGGCTGTGTCGAAGGTTTTAATATGGACGGTGCCAAACATATTTACACAAGGTCAGCTTTGGTGCCTGTGCCGGAAGGTAGTGATCTAGGAGCACCACGCGTGAAGCCATGAATGTGGGGTTAGTCTGAATAAACCTACGTACATGTATTCAGATGGGAATGCAGGCTTGTTGTGTAGAGCCTGATGACCGTATGAAGATGAGTCAGGCTATAATTATTCACGAATAGTATAGCCAATGACTGAGATGCTTGCTTACAATGCAGATGAGTACTCACAATGGAGCAATGGAATAACTGCTATATACAGTTTCCAAACTAACAGCGTGTGTCACTTGAGTTCATGTGTACCATTTCGGCCCTGGTTCGGATGGCAGTACATCGCAGAGGTAGCGGCACTTCTTATCACAGGAAATTTTAAAAAGCAGCTCTAGCAACGAGAGTTCATTGTAGAGTCCATATAACTTGCGAGAATATGGACCCGGCTGAGCTAGCTTATGTCGTTTCTTGCAATTTGGATGGTATAGTGTATCATGGACTAGCGTTTAACGAGCGTCCGTTGTAAGACAGACAATATACATTTATCTACATTGTAGCGTATAATGCTGTTGTCATTAGCTAAAACTCACAGCCCTCATTCAAAACGCAAAGCGGATATAAGTCTCTATCTATATAAAAGATATAAAAGAGAAAACTTAAATAACTCGAAGCAGATGTATTTTATGGAAAGATTTATCTTATGCCTCCATGATCTATTCAATCGTCCATTTTAATGCAGATTTGCAGAGTAAAGATAAGTACAACCTCTAATACTTAGTCCAAGGATCATATGTAGAATACCTCACGCTCGATCTCTACTGGATTTACTATCTGCCAGAAACGGTGCTGCAGAAGACAAACGTCACAGCATCCAATTCAGCTCACGGTTAACAATGTTGAATTGGCATCTGTCAGAGGCACAGAAGCTAGAATGCTGAAAGGAAGCATCTAGGTTCCAGCTAGTCCTTTGTGGCTTAAACGAACTATTTAGAGGAAGAAGGGTTCCCTTCTTTGTCCAGGGAATTCAGAGATAAATACAGGTATTATTGTGCACCTAGCAGCAGTATCGTAGCTACCTGGCTGCCCTGAAACCTCTTTGACTTCAGCACTCTTCTCTTTGCAATCTAAATTCCTTCCCCCAGAAAGCTCTACCTCAACCACAATCAACAATATCTGCCTCGCCATCAATTGGCCCGCCGCCGAGACAATTGCGAAATGCTGCCTGCTGTCTTCAGGGCTGGCGCGCGTCGGCCTGCTTTCCGGGCTCTCTCTCTCGCGCGCGCACCCGCCCTGACCTTGACCCAATGCCTCAACTGTACCCTCTCAACCACTCGCACCCTCACCACCGCTTACTCGCCTACCTCGGATAGGACCCGCGAGATTGTGGCTCAGACTGTTAGCAGCATTGGCAGCAAGCGCGAGGGGTGGGTCGTCGATGCTGCGGGATAACGAGTGCCTGGGGAGATTTGACTAATTTATATCAGCCAGCAGTACCTCAAGCTTTTCACCACCGTCTCCTCCCAACAGTTTGCTGTCATCAAGGTTGGGGGCGCCATTCTTCGGGATCACCTAGACGACCCCTGTAGAAATCTTTTGTTCCTCTTCGAGCTCGGATTATGTCCCGTTGTGGTTCATGGAGGCGGTCCGCAGTTGAATGACTTGTTAGAGGCTGCGGGGGTGGTTCCTGAATTCCAAGACGGAATAAGAGTAACCGATGCGAAAACCCTTGGCATTGCGCGAAAGCTCTTTCTGGAAGAGAATCTGCGACTTATCGATCGCCTGGACTCCCTCGGTGTTGCGACACGCGCTATACAGGGGGCGTCCGGGGCAACCTACCTCGATAAAGAGAAGTGGCAGTACGTCGGTAAGCTCACCGAGGTTAGGAAGCAAGCCATCGAGAATAGTATTTCTGCCGGATATATACCTATCCTTACTTCAATGGCTGAAGGGGATGATGGTTGCCTCTTAAATGTCAATACAGATGTTGCGGCTGCTGAACTTGCCCGCACTCTCAAGCCCCTAAAAGTTGTCTATCTATCTGAAAAGGGGGGCCTGTTTAACGGCGATGGCAAGAAAATCTCCCAGGTCAACCTTGACGAAGAGTTTGACTACCTGATGGCCCAGCCCTGGTGCCGTTATGGTACTCGCCTTAAGATCAAGGAGATTAAGGAGCTTCTCGATGACCTTCCCCGCAGCTCGAGTGTAGCGATTATTCACCCAAGTGATCTTCAAAAAGAGCTTTTTACTGACTCTGGTGCTGGTACACTAATTCGCCGCGGTGATAAGATCCAAAAAGTTACCTCAATCGATGAATTTAATGACATCGAGAAGCTAAAGGCTACCTTAGTCAGTAACTATAAGGGCCTTGACGCTGAGGCTGTTGTCGATCGATTTATCGATACGCTAAAGGAAAAGAAATTTACGGCTTATTGTGATGATGCTATGCAGTGCCTAGCTATTATAATGCCCAAGGGTGAGAGTCAAGATATAGCGACACTTGCCGTTCTAACTACTACTAAGTCTGGCTGGCTGAGTAATGTTATGGAGAATATCTTTACTGTTATTAAGAAAAACCACCCTAAGCTGGTTTGGACTATTAGCGAGGAGGATGAGAACTTGACCTGGTTTTTTGAAAAGGCTGACGGGAGCTTTCTTAAAAATGGCAGCGTCCTCTTTTACTAGGGTTGTGACTTACGCTCCGAGGCTCTTGTCCCCATATATGAGGACTTTATATCCAATGGACGAGCCATGCTCGGCGGCGCTAACCTCGAAACACTCCTTCGCTAGGCTGATCAGACTTCTGCTTTGTCGGGTAAAGGTACAGATCCCTAGCTAAGAAGGATATATGCCCGGGAGATGGTAAATAGTAAAAGTAAAAGGTCTGGGAGGTTGGTGGATATAAAGGGCAGACTTAGGTCTCGTTAATTAAATACCCAAGCATGGCGTTTCGTTTTATTCTTTTGAGCTTTCATCCGAATCAAGGGAATTGCTTACTCTCATTGTATTCGAGGATGTCGTGTGTGGCCCTCGTTGTCTTATCCATCTGACTTACACAATGGGGTCGAAACTACCTGTTAGGCTCTGACCCGTACAGATAGTGACCTTTTAATCTTCCGTATTACCTGATCTTGCGACTCCGGGCCTCCTCCTTTGACTACACTATCATTGCTGCGCGTGGATTTGGTGTGCTCTTTCGTCTTCAACAAACTAGCGTCTCTTAAGAGTTCAGCGCGTTCGTGCCTAGTCTATCTCGGCCCGCTCGTATAGTCAGGATCTACATGGCAAACGCTATCAACACCAATATCAACCCTTCTTCAGAGATGCGGGACGCATGCGATACGTTTTCTGCGCGGGCCAGCACTACCAGATCTCAGCAACACACTATTGAAACCCCAGCGAATCTCTCATATCTTAACCTCTATGTTAATTTCAGGTATATCCCCTTTTAAGAAATCACTAGCCGGAGGCTTCATGACTGGTAAGGAGACGATTACAAATGAGGGTCTGCTGTTGGAAGTTATCTTCACATTGGCATCTTCAAGACCTTTTATACGGCAATTATTGACAATGCTTAGAAGCAGCTTGGGAGCTCTAGCGTTGTTATCGATCTTTTTGCTAGTTACCCAGATAGCTACAATATCCAATTACCGTGTGCTTAATATAACAATTACTTTATTCCCCATGATACTTGGAAAGGACGGAGCTTTTCTCTTGACATGACGGCGCTGAGTAGAGAATTAACTAGTTGAAGTCGCGTTGACTTGCAATTGTTTGATATCCTCATCCGGTAGAAGGGGGGTCAACAATTCATTATTGCATTGCTATCAAATATTCAAGGTGGATATTTAGCAAAGAGTGCTGATACAATGGAATTCATACCCTCATTAACTACAACAGCAAGCGCAAACAAACAAATTCGCCAACAGACACAGGCAGTAGGCAACTTGAAACCACTTGGGAAAAAGTCCTAGTCACCGTCTTCCTCGTTATTGTCTTCAACATCAGTAGAATGGGCAGCAGCCTGCTGTTACTTTAGTGCACTCTTTTCGCCGCGTCTCTTCTGCAGCTCCTTGTCAATGACTCTCTGACAAGATTTACATCTCTTAAGACCAGGTCTCCCCTCCCAGTTGCATCTCTCGCAAATCGGCTTCACACTCTTTAGACACTCCGCGCACCGCACCTTGCTTGCCCGGGCACAATCTCTCAATCACAGCCATCCTCGACGCAGCCCGTTTCAATACCGTCTTCTCTCCTCTTTTCTCTCCTTCTCTGTGCCTTGGCTGTTGTTTTCCTGCTTCCTTCTCTGACGACATTCAGCACGCCTGTTAGACAGGCCCTCTGGTGGTCAAGGGCAGATCTCTTCTTCGCATGTAGGCAATAGAAAAAATAAATCAATATTTATTTAAAAAAAAATCGTAAGATTCTTTCTAATAAGATATACTTTCATGGAAAGAGCAGGTTTTGCCAATCTGGTGATTGTCTAGGGTAGTGAATATAGAAGATACTGATATTGTGCCCCGGTTCCATAACAAATCGAGTCCGCTTCAACACCACATATAATCTCGCGAGAAGGAACATCAAGCACATACGACCATAGGTAGTGGAGAACTCGGGGTCCCGTCTGCTCCCCCATAGATAAGCCACTAACCGGCAGATTAGTAGTCAGGTGGGTGACCACTGGCGAACACCGGCTGTTGTATGTTTTTTAGAATTTTTTGATGTTTATGTCGCGATGATGGGATGTGGTGATATAAGATGGTTTAAAAGGTCCTTCCTTCACATACGACCATATCCATTGGAGAATACGGGATCCCGTCTGCTCTCCCAGAGTCAAGCCAATGAGAGGCAGATTAGTAGTTGAGTGGGTGACCATCAGCGAACACCGGCTGTTGTATGTTTTTTTATTCATTCTTCTTCATTTTTTTTTTCCAGATCATGCTGCGATGCTGTGGTCCAATGTGAAATTCTTCTTCCTGTTGCCCCGCAGTGCCGTTAAACGGGCTAGTAGTCTCGAGATGCAACGTCAGGGATATGCAGAGAGACAAACAAAAGAAAAAAAAAAAAAAAAGAAAGAGAGAAAGAAATGAATGAATGAAAAAAAGGAAAAAAAAGAAAGCATACTATCATTAGATGTAACTTAATTTCATTGGCTCATTATTGCAAATTTACATAACGACTTGGAATCTCACGCCTTTTATCGACCTCCCACTCGGATGACGCCCGCGGCCATCAGTTTCTGAATCTTGGATCGCACACTTGGGTTCTTCATATGCTCGTTCAGAGCCATTGGGTCAGATTGTGATTGTTGCAAAATGGATTGCATGACTGGATCTTGCATTATGCCCATGATCTATAAAAACTATTGTTAGCAAAAGCGTCTCCTGATTAGGTATATGAAAGGGGAAAAAAAAAAAAAAAAATCTCACCTCTGGGTCTTGCATCAGTCTCTGTCTTGTCTGCTCCTCTGTCTCATTCTCTCGGGCTGAGTACATGGCTGAGAGAGCCTTCTGCTGCTGCTGCTCAATCTCACGGGCGTTGGCACCCTTGTGGTGCTCGACATCAACCCGCATAGCCTCGTCGCAGGCATCCACGCATTCAGAGTACTTGCGCATGCCGAAGTAAGCCTGGGCCTTTCGGATGTAGGCTCGGATAAATGCTGGGTCTTTCTTAATGGCCAAGTTGCAGTCGTCTACTGCGCTAGGGAACTCAAATAGCTTGACAAAGGCAGCAGCACGGTTGCTGTAGCCTCTGGGGTCTTCTGGTGCACGCTTAATCATCTCGGAATAAGCGGCTACGGCTCCAGGGAAGTCCATTTCCTTGAACTTCTTGTTGCCCTCTTCACGAGCCTCTTCGGCCTTGGCCGGGTCAATGTAGGCCTGTTTGGCTGCCTCAGTCTTTGCTCGCTCAGCAGCGCGGAGCTTGTTCAAGACATCAGGAGTTCGGTGCTCAGTCAGAGATTTGTTGTAGTTTTCGATAGCCAGGGCAAGATCGCCCTTCTTCTCATAGGCGGAGCCGATACGAGCGTAACTCTTAGCGATGAGCTTAAAGTCAGCGTAGATCAATCGGCCCTCATCGACCGCCTTTTGGCAAGACTCGACACACTTGTCATAATCTCCCTTCTCAAAGTAAGCCGCGCCGAGGTTGTTAAGATAGGTGATATCCTGGTAAATCTCCCACGCCTTGCTGTAGTGCTCGATAGCCTCGTCAAACTTTCGCTTCTTGTAGTTCTCTGTGCCAAGGGCCTTCTCCTTATCAGCCTCCTCCTTTTTCTTCTTCTTCTCCAGAGCTTCTTCGTCAAGTTCGGGTTCGGGTGCTGGCTCGGGAGCCTTCTTTGGCTCAGCCTTCTTTGGTGCATCTGGCATGGGGGTATCTTCAGAGACAGTGTAAGACTGGCTGCCCTCGGGAGGGCTGTCGCGCACTTCCATATCAACTCCCATCATGACGCCCAATACTTGTATCATCCTGGGGTCGCTGAAAAGGTCTTGAGAGTTGAGAGGGTTCTGTTGAATCTGTTGTAGTTTGGCCATGAACGAGGGGTCAGCGAGGTAGGCGCTCGTTTTGGGGTTCGCAGCAAGCTTCTGAATCATGTTCGGGTCCTTGAACATGTCGCCAAGGCCACCCATAGGGTTGCCGCCGGCTTCCTGCTGCATGGCCTTCTCAACAGAGGCCAGGCCGCTCTTGAGCTGCGCGTTATTTGGGTCGTGTTTCAGACCTGCTTCGTAGGCGTCGTTGGCCCCCAGCAAGTCTCCCTTGCCATGAAGAGCAGCACCTTTGCGTCCCCAGCCCTTGGCCCAGTCGGGCTTGATTTCGGTCGTCTTATCGGCATCCTTCAGTGCATTGTCCCAGTCCTTTTTGGAAGCATAGGCGGCCGATCGGTTGGAGTAGAGGATGTGGTTTTCGGGCTGAAGAGCGATGGCCTCAGTGAACTTGTCGCTGCAAGATATCAGTCTTTTTGGTCCTTGGATATGGTGTCCACGATAGCTTTGCGGGCATCACGGAGGGGTCAAGTGGGGTGATGCGCAGGGCCCAACTTACATAGCCTCGTCAAAGTTTTTCTCAGCAATGGCCTTGTTGCCTAGAGCTTTGAGCTCGTCTGCGGAAGCCATGGTGGAAGAGGGATTACAGGAGAGATGGGTTCAATTCGCAGCAGGATACACAAGGAGAAGAAGAGGCTTTGCGGATGCTCAGCTCCAGATGAAAGAAATCAAATCCGATGTGGGGTCTATAAACTAAGTGGCCAGCACCAAGCACCTTCTAGCTGCTTCGATGCGGGATCGTGACCCACCCTGGGATTTTCCATAGGCCGGAGCTGGTGTGGGGCTCTCCGGATGTGCAAGGCTGAGCGACAAAGAGAATGCATCGCGAGCCTCATGACAGCACGTTGTATTGGCGAGTAAATGAACACGGCCCCCATTGCCTTGTAATAGAATAAAAAATATCTCCAATGGATGCATCTTAAGCACCCTGTGGCTGGATGTAGCTCTGCAGCGCACAGAAGACTGTTAATGCTCGCTGCCCATACCTAGGTCCCTGGGGAATCTGTCTTCAACACAATGGAAATGCGAGGGCACCCAGACGGAATGCCGAGGCTATTAAAGGGGTGCATTGACTTGTGACCGAAGTGGAAAAACACAAATCATCTGATACACAGCTAGATCAAAAATTGTTTGAGCCATTGAAATGTATATGAATAGCTACCTAGAGATTATATCATTAACGCTTTCTGCTAACAGTAAGATACTGAATTAATAGGCAGCTAATAACGATTGTTGATTGCCAACTGGTGGTCTCGAAACATTGATTGCGGATGGCACGTACAAAGAAACGAGATATACAGAGAAAACTTGGGCATACACATAATGTAATCTGTCTCTACAACACAACGGAGGGGGCCAAGGCACCTAACAGAGACAATGCCTACCTACCTAGTACCTAGATATCCACGAGTGTTATGAAACTACATGTACCAGCAGAAAAATAGAAATGGGACAAACTAGAAAAATGCTTCTATACATACTCTTGCCATTATCTCACCCATCTTTGCCTCTCTCTTGAGTAATTGGGCAATCTCGTGTATCCTATACCCTGATTCATACACTTTGTTGAGTGCGGATGCCACTAACACCAAGCGCCGTCGAAATTTGTAGCGGCTTGCCCAGGCAGTGCGTATTAGCTGAAGATGACGGCTATGGATAGATATTCCAAGCCCATTATTCCCACCAATAGTGGAAAGAGAAGCAGAAGAAGAAAAGAAGCAGCCAAAAGAAATACAGCCAGGGCACAAGCCGATTCGCAGTTCGGATCATCGGCCGATCGGGCATCGTTCCACTTTGACCGTTTCTGTCGGGACGGTTTGACGATCAGCTGCACGTCCATTATGTACTGTACGGAGCTGCAAAACAACACGTTCCAGCTAGTCTACGGAGCAGTACCCCGCTATTTCAAATTAAAGCTGAGGGTGTCGGATCAGGCAATAAAACTTTGGGTCGAAAAACTCAAATCTGCAGAGGCGTCTTACCTGCCGATCAGACAACTGACATCGGGCCTGCGCCGCGGGTCGTACAGGCACCAATATGTCAGACTCACTGCATGAACCTACAACTGCTGACCTGCCCATCGAGGAGCATGACCTCGTGGTGGTTGGTGCAGGCCTCAGCGGCATAAACACGGCGCATCGGCTGCGGACCGAACTGCCTCACCGATCCTTCACGATCCTCGAGGCACGGGATGTGATTGGTGGCACATGGAGCTTCTTCAAGTATCCCGGCATGCGCAGCGACTCGTCCCTCCGGTCCTTTGGCCTGGACTGGCACCCGTGGAAGCTCCCCCACAAGATTGCCACTGCCGGAGAGATTTGCGAATACTTGGAAGACGCGTCCAAAACGGATGGCTCGTTCGAAAAGATCCAGTTCCGGCACAGAGTCCTCAGCAGCGAATGGAGCAGCGCAGAGCAGAGATGGACCCTGGTCGTTGATGCCAACGGAACAAAGAAGCTGTTCAAGGCCAACTTCCTCTTCAGCTGCATGGGCTACTACTCGTATGAACGGGCGCTGGAGAGTCCCGTGCCTGGCATTGGCGACTTTGGTGGAACCGTGATCCATCCCCAGTGGTGGCCAGAGAATTTCGACTACAACAACAAGGATGTCGTGATTATTGGCAGTGGCGCAACCGCCATCACGCTTCTGCCCGAGATGGCGGGCAAGGCCAAGTCCGTGACGATGCTGCAGCGAACACCGTCATACGTTGTGTCCATGAAGAGGAGCTCGGGCTTTGAGACATTTCTGGCGGCGATGCTGCCTTTGTCATGGGTACATTGGATCGGCAGCTGCATTGATGTGTGGTTCGAGGTGTTCATCTCGGAGCTGTGCTTGCGATATCCCCGCCTCGGACGCTTCCTGATCACAATGGATCTGCCCAAGAAACTGCCAAAGAAAGTTGACGCGGCGGTGCATTTCAACCCGACCTATGGGCCTTTCCAACAGCGACTGTGTCTGACGCCTGATGACGAGTTCTTCAATGCTCTGCATCGAGACGATGTTGAAATAGTAACGGACTTGATCGACACGGTCACCAAAGACGGAATACTTCTTAAATCTGGCCGCACACTCTCCGCAGACGTGATTGTGACTGCCACTGGGCTGCACATACAGCTCCTCAACGGGATGCACCCCAAAGTCGACGGCAAGGCCATTGATCTCGGCCAGCAGTACGCCTGGCGAGGCTGCATGATCGAAGGTGTGCCCAACGCGGCATCTGTTTTTGGCTACGTGACTACAACGTGGACTCCCGGCGCAAACTCAATGGCCAAGCTGGCTATCCGGGTGATCAAGCAGATGGAGGCCGACAACGCGTCGAGCGTCGTCCCAGTCCTCAAGAGGACAGAGGGCATGCCGCGATTCTCAAGCGCAGATGCAAAGAGCAGCTATTTCCTGAAAGCAGCTGACCGCATCCCAAAATCGACGGGTATCGCCCCGTTTTATGGACGCCTCAACTATGCTGTAGATCTGTGGGCACTAAGTTTCGGCAGCTTAAGAGATGGATTGGTGTATACGAAGAGAGAAGCCAAAAAGGTTAAATAAATGAATGATGGACACGAGATCACGTACAGACTGCGGCTGGATTAGCAACCGCATTGAAGACTTGGAATAGCACTGCTTGACTGTTTGAGATTTATCAAGCCAGATACAGAATCAGCGAGAATAGACGCTGCTAATTTGCCAACAGAAAACGAAGTCTATGAAATAGCATTTATTTATCCATTGATCTCTTTATATATTAGCTTGTCTGATAG